GAAAGCGAGTTTTCTGATATAATGTAACGGCGCAGGCAAGACAATGGGTCCGAATGCGGTATGAATCCACTCAGAGGCATATGGGAGTGCGTGGGGACTCAGAGACCTGGGAATACCAATGACACCTATAGGCCTTGTACGTAGGATATCAGAAAACTACCGAGCTAGCTACGGGGCGAGGTGCGACTAAATACATGAGGGAATAGGGGTAACAGCAGGGGGCCGGGCAGAGTCGAGTCAGGGTCGAGCCAGGGTCGGAGCCGATACGGAGACCCTTCGGATAGGTTCCGGGGCGACCCGAGATGGAACGATTCATGAGAATCGTTACACTAGTGTGCTGTACCTGTTTATATAGCTTCTTTAGCTCCTACTAAGGCTGCTTTTCTAAATTAGGTAGACAAATTAGTTCCTATGTAGGCTAGATTTTAGCTTAGCAGAAGTAGTAATAAACTATATTACTATAAAAGTTGTTATACTAGGCTTAAAAGGCCTAGCATAGGGTATAGTAAAGGTTAACTTTAGTAGCTAAATTAGTGCCTTACTTATAGCTAAAAACTATATAGTGTATCTACTACTTTTTATAGCAGCGCTTAAATTAACTAATTACACTTTAATTAAGTAGCTAATAGATACTAGTAGAATTTACTAGTAGCTATTAAATCTAGATATTTAGTAAAGGTAGCATTAGATTAACTTCTAATATATAAGCGCTATAGTTGTTTATAAGTAGTAGAATAGTTCTAGTTCTAATCTACTAATAAAAGGCCTGTAGCTAGTCCTTTATAACTATATAGTTTATTTACACCTTTAGATTTAATAACTATTAAACATTTAAAGCCTTAAGGTTAACATAATGTAAAACATGTAGCCTAGCTGCCTTTTTAATAGCCTAGAAAGTAAAGCGCTAGCTGCTAGTAAAGTTATAGTAGCATATAATTAATATCTAGCTCTTATCTTTCTTTTTACTAGGCTAAGCTCTAGTTAAAAGGCCTAATAACAGCACCTACTGCTAATATAGGCCTGTTTTATTTATATTAAATATATTCTTTTTTGTGTACTTTCTACATAGCGTTCTAATAGCCCTTATCTTCTGCTTAGCTTAGGCTAGCACTAAAGCAGCCTTACTATAATGCTTATAAAGCTTAATATTATAATGTTACTTAAAGTTAGTAAGCTAGCCTACACTAAACTCTAGTATAGAGAGGTTAATATAATTAAGTATTTATAGCTAAATAGCCTTTACTTTCTTAATAAAAATATTACTAGGGACATTGCTGCTAGAGCTCTTAAAGTGCTGCTACTAGTTAAAAAGGATAGCTTTTAGGATAAGCTACTATGCCTACTGTTAATGTAAGTAGTTAGTAGCAGAGCTATTAGCACTATTAAAGTAGCTATATTGCTTTAAAAGAAACTTAGATACTGTTAACTAATAAATTTAATAGCTATATTTTTACTTAAACTAGTTAATTATGTTAATCTGCCTTTAAAAGGGCCTTTAATGTTAATACTATTATTACAGAGCACGCTGCTGCTTATTAGTAATTACTATACATAGTATTTTCTTTTCTTAATATAACAATATTTAATTAAAAAGCCTATAATATAGTAAGTATTATAAATTATAAATTTCTAGTAGGAAATTAATTTAAGAGCTGAAATAATATCGCTATATTAAATTATTGTTATATCGCGCATCGCGCCATTAAGAGTTGACTGTAGCTGGATTTGATGTGCCTGCTGCACCTTCGGAAGCAATTCTGACCTTGGCCTCAAAAACAAATGTCAGAACGAAGAAGCCCGTTGTCCTTCTCCCTTCACTTCGATCTTCCCAGAAAAGGAGGATGGAGTTGACTGTGGGAGATTGTTTTATTATTAACCAGGAATGTTGTGGCTCGAGTGAGCTTTGTAACATTATTTAGGAGATATTATGATAGTCAATTGAAGAATTAAAGAGAGGAAAGCTCGAGGATGAGAGAAATGATGTAAGCGCCTTCCGACGCCAACTCAGGTCATGAATGAAGGTCCGCACTCCCTCCGTTTTCCTCCTCCAGGGATCACCAGTCACCCTCCCTGCCACTTGGCTTTCCATCTTAGACATTAGTGGTGGATAGATCTCCCGACGCTAGTCAGACTTTCAGGGCCAGTCAGCATGCATTTCGCAGCTCATCTTGATCAGCGACGTCCGTGGTGACAGGAGTGGAGAAGAATGGCGATCAGCTGCAAGATAGTTTGCAGGGTGGTCGAGGCACAGTAGCAATGGAGTCTGAGTAGCAAAGTTAGTCTCAGACTCAGGCTACGACCCCAAAGAACTTCTTTCACCGTTCGCTTTATGACCATCTTACTGGAGTCGTTGGTCATTGTGTAAGTTTTACCTTTGGATCTCAATTATAGCAAAGTTATGGGTTTGATGGAAACCGGGCTCGCTGCGCCTTCTATACTTCATATTCTCCTCTCCTCTCCGTACGCAATTTTTGCAGTCCGTCGTTAGGATTTACTTTAGTCTTTATGCATTATTGCGTATATCAAATTTATTGCGTTTTTCAATCTTAAGCTTTTGCCGATCAGTGTGGTGTCATATGCGCTAATTTAGCTCAGCCTTGCTTCGCCCCAAGATCCGGTACCAACGTTCCCACTCGTGGCAAAAGTGGAAGGTTATTCCCTGTCTCCCGGCTCCATGGGCTAACATTTGTTTCGTTGCCAAGTCACGCAGGCAGCTGCCCACTGTTTCAAGGGTTTAACACCTCAACGTTTTAGCCACATTCAGATCGACCAATCTCCACGAAGTCATGGGGTTCGTTTGCAGGTGTCTATATCTCGGTACCTAGTCCTAGTTAGATGCTTCATACTCACACTCCATCTAAACATCATCAATTTGCTCTTCCTTCCTTCATTCATTTCTGGCTCAAACATCTCAGCATCAGCTTCCAACTGTCTTCGTTCCCGCCTGTTCCTCGATTACCTTTAGTAAACAAATGACGTCCGGAAACAGAGTGGAGAAGAGGAGGAACGTGCGGAAGCCATGGACCAAGAGGGGCAGAGGACCTCCCCGGCGTTGGACCGCATCTTTGCAGAAAAAGCTCGTCATGCTCCGTCTATGTGGCCTTCAGCTCCGCGAGATCCTGGAGATCTTCAACGAACTTAATCTAATGTGTGAAGGCACGTACAAGGCAAAGTGAGTGAACACTTCTTTCGTTAATAACTAATATGACCCTAACTGGAACAGAGAACGGCGTGCCCAACAGCTACTCCGGGAGCTTCTCTCGGATGGGCCCCTAGTGAAAACGTCTAAACCATGGCAGAAGGAACCATATCGTCGGTTCTGCTCAACCAGCAAGGCGAATACTCGACAGCGAGTCAAATTTCTCAGGTTCCAGGCTTTCCGCAACTGTAACAGCAGAGTAGGGAAGATAACTTTTGCCTCTCAGCATGCGCCAGGAATGCAAACGGATTCCATCCAGCTCAGTACGACCCATTCCTTGGGTGAATTCAATCCTGCAGCTGCAGGGACTGCCAATCTCCCGTTCACAACCGCGGATAGCACGCAACATCTGGGCGACTCTGGTGTGCCTGACATGACTCGACCTCGACCTAACCTCATTGATGCTCTTCGAAATGAAACAATTAATCCGCAATCTGTATCAGGGAATTCGACTAGCCGCAGTTCATCTGATAGACCCAATTCCCGACGCAGTTCAGGAATCGGAGAGATATTAGAAAGGACAAGCTTCACCTCGTCTCTCAGATCTGACATCGCGAGCCTGCTGCGCAAGAGATTCTCCAGCAGCACCGTGGCAACATCTACCATTGGGCTACAAGAGGAGCCTCCATCAACAGAATTGGCTACATCACACATGGCAGATGGGCTCGGCCCTGAACCCGAGCAGCCAAACACTAGTCAGATACCCAGCGAGGAAGACTTTGCCTTACAGGACGAAATTCTACGCATTATGGCTAGACATCGCCGAAAAGGCGAACAGGCAAATACTTCTCTAATTCAGAGTTGTTGCATTGGCACGACCTGGAGGCTCACTGGATGCATTCACCGGCATATCCAAGATCAGATTGAAAGTGGATATCTCTCTACCCGGATGCTTCTCGGACTTCCCTGCAAGTGGGACGCCTTATTCTTTGCCGCGCGGATTGGAGCCCCTGCTACTATCATCTTCCAACTTATAGATAGTACTTTGTCGGTGAACACGACTAACGACGACGGCCAGACTTTCCTCTTTGTCCTAGACCCAAGGGGCCTACGCAATGCAATCTGCACCTGTAGAATGGCAGCGCTATCATCGCGTCTAGGTATCATTGCGCGCCGTGGGCGCGAACAAAAGCTTTTCGCAAAACATTCATCGGCTTTTGAATGCTTGATCCATCAGTTGGAACGCCGGTCATTCAATTTTGACCAAATCGACCACGAAGGACGCCATTTTCTGATGTTTCTTTGCGCGTCGGCATCATTCGATCTTCGCTGTTTAATTGCCCTTGGAAAACGAAGTCGAGAATGGGAACAAAGACTGCAACAACTTTCCACCTACCGCGACAACGCAGGCATGTTCTTTGTTGATTTCCTGGAGTCACACCCTGATTACTCTTGTTATATCAACGAGCTGGCCCCTTTGGGCCCCATATGCCCGCGATTGATATACAAAGGAGATGGGTCAGGGCTTACGAGAATACTAGGTGGGGAAGATGACTATGGGCGCTCTTGGCTACACAAACTTCTCCAGACTTGCGACTCCTCCCTAATTCCTGGGCGCATATTTGCCAAAGAAGAACACAAATGCGATATCAATAAATACGACAATACAGGCCAAACCCCGCTCATGGGGTTTCTCAACTCTGCAGTCGGACGTTCAGTCAACGAGCCACTGGAACTTGGCTTCATCCAGAAGCTGATAGAGTGGAGCCCCAACATCAATATCAATGCTCGATCGCGAGACGGCAGCACGGTGCTCCATTTCGCCGCTAAAGCATCTTTACCAATGATATTAATGTTTCTGGTTTCCAAGGGAGCAGTTGTCAACCAAAGGGACGCCACAGGCAAAAGCGCGCTTGATTATGCAGCAGAGAGCTTAGACCAGAGTAGAAGCTCGGGAGCACCTGCCAGCTTTACTGCGAGGTCAATGAAATGTATTACAATTTTATTTAACCATGGCGCGGTGTCCACAGACGAAGGGGAACATAATACACTAGCTTCAACATCCAAGTCCGTGAAAGCTCTGTCCGAATTCATTTAGTAGGAACATGTTGCGGAGATACAACGCGAAAGGAGCGAATTCCATGAGATGAGATGATCAAAATGTTCACTATCAGTAGGAGGGTATATCGACATCTTCCGATTCCGTTCCTGGAGATAGAGTGGGAAGGGAGCGAATTCCATGAAATGAGATGAGATACAAATTTTTGCTATCAATAAGGGGTATTAAGGTCGTCTCGCGTATCTACAGCTTCCTCGAATTTCGTGCCTGAAAACCCGTCCGGATCCTATTTTAATCCTCCCCACGAATCTATCCCACACAACCTACCAACCAGCCATCCACGGCAATTCGCAAGAACTCATTCGACGCAAAAAGAGGCGATGTATACACGACAAAAAATACATCTTCCCCGCAACTTCTCTTCCCATTCATTTCCCCTGCTCCTACTCCTGCTCCATCACCCCACCATCCTCTTTCCTGGCCCTAAAACCCACCCCCGGAATCCTCGACCGCAAAGCCAAACTACTACACACCACACTCACACTACTCAAAGCCATTGCCAAACTCGCCCAGACAGGGTCAAGTCGAACATGTTTCCCGCCTGCGCCTCCCATCCCGCCTCCCATTCCCAGCCCACTATGCTGCATCTGTCCCGATCCCACTTCAGCTCCCCCCGTGGTGATCGGGAACAGAACCCCAGCGGCGACTGGCATAGCAACGATGTTGTAAACAAGCGCCCAGCCGAAATTAAAGTAGACGCGACGGAAGACGGTGCGTGAAAGTGTGAGCAGCGTAAGTAGGGATGTGAGACGCGAGTTTATGAGGATAAACGAGGAGGATGACAGCGCAATATCCGAACCCGAACCGATTGCAATTGAAAGGTCTGCGGCACTAAGGGCGGGGGCGTCGTTGATGCCATCACCAACCATGGCAATGGTGGCTCGAGAACTTTTACCGCCGTTCTTAGGATGATATAGGCTCGAGCTAGGGCGATTGAAGGGGTTGAGGAAGAGGCCGCGTTGTGTCTTGGATAGGGTCTTCTGGAGATATTTGATCTTCTCGGCTTTTTGGTCGGGCAGGACGCCGGCGATGATGTTGGAATATGGGATCCCAACTTGTGCGCCCACAGCTGCCGCAGTAATTAGGTTGTCGCCACTTAGCATCCAGACATCGATACCCTGGCTCTTGAGTGCAGAGATGACGGATACGGCTTCTGGGCGTAAAGGATCTGCGATGGAGAATAGCGCAGCCAGAGACCAGGGTAGGGAGGGAGTTGGCGGCGTCTCTGTTGTTGAGCTGAATGAGAGTTCCGAAATGGTGGAGAGCTTCCGTTCGGGAGCATTGGAGTTGGAGTTGGAAGTGTGGGTTGAGAGGAGCACAGCGGCGAGGGCAACTGATTTTCCTTGGGCTTTCCACGTCTGCAGTGCTGTGGCTTCGGAGGCTGAGATCGAGACCTGGTGGTCGGACATGTAAGCTTCGTTACCGATTATTGCAGTTATCTCCTCGTCCCCAGACTTGAAGGTTCCTTTGAGACCTTTTCCAGGGACTTCATCAATGGTGATGACTGAGGGGTCTTGAAGCTTTTGAGTGTTTTTACAGAATGTGACTAAAGCACGAGCAATGGGATGGTTGCTGTTCTCTTCTAAAGACTTGATGATACCCAGTACAAGTGGCGCGTCGTGGCCGTTGGCAAACTTGTAATCCGTAACTGCAGGATCGCCGCCTTGAGTCAATGTGCCCGTCTTGTCGAAGACAATGCAGTCAATAGAGCTAGCTTCTTGGAAAGCCTCTCCTCCACCCTTAACCAGAATGCCATGCTTAGCGGCTAGACCACCACCCACGAAGAGCGCGGTTGGTGCTGCAAGACCAATACCGCACGGGCAGGCGATGACAAATACAGCAATTGCAAAGCGGAGGGACCAAAGAGCCCAGCCACCGGACCCTTCGTCGCGCCAATCCTTGGGGATAGCTCCAGTGGATCCAAGAATAAGCCAGGTTGTCCAAGTGATAATGGCAACAAGGACGACAAAGGGAACAAAGTGGCTAGTTATTCTATCCGCGACTCTCTCAACAGGTGCTCGACGAGTCTGGCCTTCTCGGACAACGTTGATGATTTGATCCAGCATCGAAGTTCCAGACACAGTCGTAGTTTTGACTTTGATAGGTTGTCCCTTGTTGATCGTACCTGAGAATGCTGTGTCTCCAATCTCCTTTTTTACGGGCCGAGACTCCCCAGTAAGGCTTGATTCATCGAAGTCTGCTGAACCTTCAATAATTATTCCATCAAATGGTGGTGACGAGCCGTGTGGGACTCTCATGACATCGCCGATCTCGAGCAGGTCGGTAGCAATCTTTTGGTCTCCTTTCTTAGCTTCGATAAGAATGGCCTCCTCGGGGCGAAGCTTCCCAAGTGATGTGACTGCGTCACCCGTCTTAGCCTTGCTATATGCCTCCAAAAACCGTCCAATTAGGAGGAACATTGTTAAGAATACCACCGAGTCGAAGTACGAGTCAGTCATCGAACCCGAAGATTTCTTCGTTGCAGCCAAAGCCAGCTCTATGATCGAAGCAAAGTATGCAATACTCGTACCGAGCGACATCAACATGTTCATGCTTCCGAATCTGTAGAAGCGCTGAAGAATCGGAGTGCGGCTGCCCAGCCTCCACATAGCACGGAGTTCCTTCAGTGCTCGTACATGAAATGTGTCTGCAGCGAAGAAGTATACCGGCGTTGCCAGGATGAAGAGAGCCCAGCTGACACGGGTGACATATCCTGCCCACATAGGCTCCATGATGTATTGACGAATGGGGTTTGTTGATTTAACCAAGCTCATGAAAACGATGCCAAGAAGAAAGGTTGGAATGGCCACGATGACAGAGAGAACAAGACGGAACAGTATGCGCTTCCTCTCTCGAGCATGCATCTCTCGAGCACGTTCTTCAATTGAAGGAGGGTGATACACAGACGGCTTGAAGGAAGGGTCAAGTCCCGTGATCGTCTGAAAGATATGGCGGATCGTGAAATTTGGAGGTTCCGGCAGATATCGGATGAATAGGATCGGCGACTTCTCAGATAGTGGCGGCTCTTCTAGCCCGAATGTGAATTTCTGTCCAAATTTGTTGGTGAGCTCTCCAGTTATGCGTCCTGGGCAGTGGTGACAGAACATGCCGTCAATACGGATACCGATAGATCTCTCCAGCATCTCTTCTGTAGTGTCATCCTCAGGAACAATACTATCAAGTGTCGCATCGTAGCCCATGTCTTCGATCGTCTCCTGGATCTCTGGTAGGTGTTCCTTCCCTACAAAGACGATAGTGGCGCTGTTAGAAACCAGGTTAACATCGACTTTTTCGATCCAGGTATGAGGTTTCAGGGCGTCCGTGACATTCCCAACGCAGGAGCTGCAAGTCATTCCCCCGATTGCGTATGTAGCACGCCATCGGTCTCCGTGTTGCTTGTGCAGTGGGGCAACCCTGAGCGCAGGGTGCTCCAGTTCCTCGAGCTTCTCCACGGTGGCATCGAAGCCTGTATCCTCGATCGTTTCTATGATCTCTTGAACTCGGTGCTTGCCATCGAAAACAGCTGACCCACTGCTCGTGAGGAGATTGACGTCAATAGATCGTACCCATGGTAGCTGCTGTACCGCATGCGTGATGCTGCTCACACACGAGCTGCACGTCATTCCTGAGAGGCCCAACGTCGCCTTGTATAGAATCGGGCTCGTTGGATGGTCGACGACAACGAATCTGTCCGTCGCGGGGGACTTTGAGCCTCGAAGGGAGTCATGGTCCTCGAGGCTCACCTTTTCGGTGGTCGTCACTGCCGGTTCTGGCTTCAAAGGAAGGAAGGTATCGCTGATAGCTTGCAAGCTAACACCCCCCGCTTCCGCCTTACATTGCTCGCACTGGTCGACGTGCTTCTGTCGCTTATGCATGTCCGGTTCCTTGGAGTTTTGGCTGTGGCCACGAGAGTGCTGCCAGTGTGAAACAGCCTGCTCCAAACTGTTCTGCCACTCTGCGTCGTGCTCCTCTGGGTTCCGAACCTCGACCAGGTCGTGCGATGGGTGTTTGTCTTGGAAAATGCTGTGTACTTCAAAGCCAGCAACCTCTAGAGATTCGGATATATCCTTTGCTGTAAGGGATGGACTGTGACGGAGAACGACCGAATGAGAAACAATAGAGTGAGAAATGAAATCGGGAGCAGGTTGGAGTGAGCTTAAGGACTCCCGGATACTGTCTACGCATGACGGACAGTGCAAGTTGGATATGAAGATGGTGGTACCGATCGTGTCAGGGAGTGGTTGGTGCAATCTGGGTGAGTGAATCTTTGGCGACGTACGTGACATGTTGATTCGGATAGCACGGTACAACCGCGCCGCGATCGTGCAATATCGAAATCCCGGTGCGCGTGCCCTGGGGTGAAATAAGGGTGGTGGAGGTGATACGCCAAGGCTGTTAAGAGCCGACGGTACAACCGGGTGGTTTAATCTAATAAATCTAGCAAACTGGAGGAAGCGAGTCTGGGTAATAAAGGCAGTGCCGATCAAGTGGGTGGAGGTTTTATGTATGCAAGTTGGACTTGAAGTAACGGAAAGGTCTGGCAGATAACAGAAGGCGGAAACTTTTTCTTTGATATAGTAGTGGGGGTGCTTCAAGTGGGTATGTGGCAACCGCACAAGTCGCGCAGCACTATTCACGCAGTCATGGACAGCACAACCGCACAAACAGCGCGTCGTTCGATGTCAGTGGCCCTCCAGGAATGATCAAATTCTTGGTTGACACATGTTTCGTGCATGGTTGCTGTTAGCCATTTAGGCGCAACAAGTCCATAGCTAGTGAGGCATCATGTTAATAATCAAAGGAACGATGATTCCGAATGGGGACGGGTGTTCAGGAGAAGGAAGGATGACGAAAGCTTAACCATAGACAAGCTTTCTGCCTTCTCGTTCCCCACCGCGGCACCACCATCTCGGAATGTTCGAACAACAAACCATTCCCAGAACTAGCTAGTTATTAATGACAATCTAACTATCCCCGTTTCGCGTGCTCCATCTGCTCACGACCTCTCATGCGCATATATTGCGGTTTAGATGAAGTCGCTCCGCGGACGAGTCCTGCTTTTAAGATTCCAGGGTCGACTGTCTCGTGCACATCCTCCTGTCACTTGCGACCAAAATCGTCACGCAGCATCGCCTCCGTATCACCAAAGGGTACCTCTACCAACGTGTCTGTGATATTGAAGTTGCTCGGAATGGCGCATCGGCCCTGTGGAAGGCAAACTTACCCGCGCGAAATAACGCTGTGAGAACGATTGCGATATCTACAAAAGATGGAAAAAGCTATTGGATCCGTGGTATTCAGGCGACTTCAGCGATAATGAGATTTGAGCGATAATGTGAGGCATCCCAAATGGCGTGCTGCCTATCTCGGTGTTGTGAGTATTCAAGAATCGGACAGGTGTCCAGTCTCGGCCTGCCATCGTAAATGCTTAACCAAGGCTTTCTCAGCTTCCAATTCGGCTTCCAGGGTCGTGACACGATGTTGGAGCTCGGTTATCTTTGCATCCTTTGCCTTGAGCGTAAGCCTCGTGTATTCCCGACCTTTGATGATGCCCTGAGTTCGTAAGACGCTCTTTGAGAGCAGACTGCTCAGTGATTTCTCTGCTTGCTCGTCTAAAGCAACATCCTCTTCTCGGAGTAGGCCAAAGACGTCCCGAACGAGATCATCGTCAGAGCTATCGAGCCCAGCATCTCTATGCCGGGTTGGAGTTGGAGTGTCGAAAGGGGACGACGCCGGCGTCCGCCTACTTGAATGGCCATTGTCCGGCCCTTCGTATTTTGATGGCGTCAGGAACGAGGAGCCAGGAGCGGAGAACCTGGTGGGGAAGAGATCTTTGGAGACACGGGGCTCGGATTGCGGGGTCGGCATTCCATCCGCTGGCTCGGCCCTAGTCCACGGAAGCTTGCGCCTCCCTGGAACCGTGTTGGCATCAATTCTCACCGCCTTCCTAGGAGTTTCGACATCACGAGCGACCTGTTCCAGTTCGTTGGTGAGGGCTACGTCCCCTTGATCGAATGCGAACTCGTCCTCGTTCTCGTCATGATCCCCCTCTATGAACGTTCTTGTTCGCTTTCTCGGTGTCTCAGAAGGCCCCACTTCGGCAGTGTACGGAGGGGGAGGCTCAGGGAGCCTCTGGGTTTGAGCGGGAGTGTCTTGAGCGGTGCGGCCGGGCTCTGTGCGCGAGTTATTCAGCAGGGCGCGCTCCTCTCGTGGTTTCGCATCGTCGTCCCATAGAAAGAACCTGCAGTTTGTAGGGTCGTCCTTGTGCTTCTGGCATGTATAGACTGCGCACAGAGTCAGGTCCCTCGCACTCTCTGTTCCTGTGAGGTAGGCAGGACTTACACCAACGACCAGTATTCGCTCCCGCCTTCTTCACCTGGAAATGAACAGCGGGATTGCGGGGGTTGCAGTCGCCCGTGGCTCGTCAGCTTCGAAAAGCAAACTCTGAAAAGAAACAACCTACAGCGCCATGTACCATTCTCGAAGAGACCGCGCGGTGCGGTGCTGTGGCCTCCGAAGCCAGACATTGTGAAGTTGCGTCGTTGATCAGGATCATGTGGGATAGTGAGGTGATCTTGGATGGAACTTGGATGGAATGTTTAAGGTTGGCCGGCGAACAGACGCCATGGCCCAAGCTCCCAACGTTCACGCTTTCACCCTTCATCTGTGGGCCGCTGCGACGTCATGCGGGGAATTAGACGGGCCGCTGCGACTATTATTCCCTTGTTCTTGCGTGTACCTGCATCCTAACCTTTTGTTGACTTGTGTCACGTGGGGCGACTAGAGGGCTCGTATTGGCGAGACCCCCCCCCCGTCCAGCACATTCCTCTCCAAGCCCGAGCTGAACTGGCTAGCGATGGGTGTGTCTGGACAGCGACGCAGCCAAAAGCACCCTCACATGCTTGGCACCCATGGTGGCTCCAGAAGGAATCCCTTCTCTAATTCCCCTTCATGACCTGAGCTCTCACATTCCTCGCTGATAGCGATCGACCCTCGAGATGCTTTCGCGGTCACTAAGAATATCCCCGTCGGTGTGCCTGTTCTTGCTGTTCTGCGCATTCCTAGGCTGGCAGCTCAGCCATGGGCCTATCCTCGGGCAACCCATAGACCCCGCGGGCCCAGGAGCTGGCGAACCAAAGATGCCGCTACGCATCGCGGTTGTTACCATGGTCACCGACGAGAAGTCGTATATCCACATGTCGCTGAAGAATAAGGACTGTAAGTTTCCCCGCACAACACCATGCGAACACTCGCTGATGCAAGTTCCGAACAGACTACGCTCGTCGGCACGGATACGATCTCGTCGTTGACTTCGAAGCCCATTCGGACCTTGGGACGACATGGTGGAAGTACAATATGATGGAGCGGCTAATCAAGTCTAACAAGTACGACTGGATGTGGTGGATAGACTTTGACACCCTGATCACGAACACGGACATCAAAGTCGCAGAAATCATACAGGAGACCTTGGCCAATGCCACGAACCCCGATGATATCGACTTCCTAACCACCCACGATTGCAACGGCTTGAACACAGGCTCCTTCGTCGTCCGCAGCCGCGAAAGCTCCGTCAAATACCTCCGTGACACCTACGACATCCATGCAGTAGCCAAGTCGAGGGGGGAGCAATACAGCGAACAGGACGCTATGGCAAAGCTGTCAAGAATCGACCCCGAGTCCGCGAAGCGAACATTACAAGTCCCCCAATGGAAGATGAATGCGTTTCCGCAGGAGATCGCGTGCTTCGACGAGTCTCGTCAAGTCTGGAAACACGGGACCTTCGTAATACATTTCGCAGGTGCATGGGCTCATGTGAAAGGAGATGATCCGACCGGGCAGATGATGCGGAAGTATGAAAAGGAGATCATTTGGGGAGATTGGAAAGGGCTATTTTAAAGGTTGCTTGTAGATATCGCAATAGCGTTTGCAATAGGTTAGACATAGCGAGGAGTGGCGTTTTTGCTTTAGATGCTAATGTAGCGTAAAAAAGGACTGTAGTAAGATATCCCCTTTTTCGGGGTTGATACATATCGCCACTGGAAAATCAACATCTGGGTCAAAGGTGGAGGGCCTCATGGTCTCATTCTCCGCTAGCAACAGTTCATGCTCACCACCACCATCTAGCTGCTTTTTCCATCCTAACTTCTCCCCTATATCGCTTCGCCTATTACGCATCACCCGCAGTTCAGGTCGTCGCTCTATGTCTTTGGGATTCCTCTTTCACATTCATTTGCTCATCTCTCATCAGCTTCACCAAGAGCATAGAACGATTATCAGGGATTTTTTATCACATCTTCCAAAATACATAGAAATGCTAGACGACCATTCTTAAACCTCAGTCTTCGAGTCATTCACGAACCATTCCTAGTACTTTCAACGGTTTCATTATAGATAACCAAAGGCTGAAATGCACAAAGGGCTCCGAGCATACAATTGTCAATCAGATTCCAGGCATTCAGTCATCAGATGTGTTGGATGATAACGGAAAGATGATTTTAGGGTTGCCCAACCACAAATTTCACCCTCCTCTAGGAGCACCAGAAGGCCACCCAGCTGCCTCCTCATTCCAGGCTCGTACTATATTCCAGTCTCGATTCTGCTTTGCGCTCATCGTAGGATCATAGCATCCACAATCAGGAGAGAAGGAAGCACACTAACTCTCATCAACGGCCAAGCCAATGCATCGACCTTGAATTGTGCTACTCACATTACCCAAGAGTCGAGATTTCAATGCGTCAGCCTGGTCCTTCGTCAAAGTGGCACGCCAACAGTAGGTTGGCCGAGTGAAACCGTTTTCTTTGAGAATATTCTCAATGGTCATGTCGGTTGAGTCGTTGGGGATAACTGTGTAGTTGGCTGGCTCGCCTCGGTAGGCGCGAGACACTGCACAAGATGGGACATGCGGCATTATTTCGCGGTTTCTTTGAGATCTTATGTAGAGTCAGCGTTGAGATTGATGGATCGTTGGTCGAAGGAAAGCACTATTCCAAAGTTGACACTAAATATAGCGCGTGGTCCGAGCTTGTTGTCAACTTCCCAAAACTCCTACGTCAACGGCTTTACGAAATGCATGTTATTTAAGGCATCTGGTTGCCGGATCAAGCTTCATCGTCCAATTCATTCGCCCCCATGAGTCCACCCGCCACCGGTCCGGAAATTGCATCGTGGATCTGTCATCAGGGGACCGCGCCTTATGTCATACTCTCGCATGTGATGAGATCGGTACCTGCGTGATCTCTATTCTACTTTAGTGTCCCGAAAGCCTAATTGTTACCTGAATGGTCACAATGAGGCTGAAACGCCATGTTTCATAGTGCCGTCGACCATATATACAGACTTCGAGACAAGCTTTGATTCCCTATTGCTCACAGGCGTATATGCTTCTCAGCAGTTGCGACAGGTCATTATGGGAAGATTATGGAGCTATGAAGTTCAAGATAGGCTTTAGATAATCGTAGTGGAGATGCTTCCTTGAATCGTACCCGCGTAAGTTAGTATAAGAGATGGTTAGTTGTTCATGAATGCAGTCATCAGCATTCAGACAGCCTTCTTTCTTTTCTGACATTCCTTCGAGGTCACTCATTCATTTAGCTCTTTCATTCGCTCTTTAAAGGAACCTTTAATATGTTGTTCCTTCACTTCTTAGCATTAGCTGCGGTTGCCACCGCTGCAGGTCGGAAGCCTACCTCGAAGCCTCCTGTGGTGAAAACTAGCATCAAAGCTCCTCCTCCGGGCTCGACACAGGTGCCCGCGTCAATTGCCCAATCTTCTAGTCCGAGTCCTGTTGCTTCTCTTAGCTCTACCCGTTCCTCTTTAGTGGTTGTCTCTATCATCACTTCATCTGGCTCACAGGTCTCGTCATATACTTCTTCGTACTCTGCACTTTCCTCAAGCCAAGGCACATCCAGTTTCACTGCCGCCCTTCCATCTTCTTCTTCGGTTTTGTCTTTATCGTCTTCGGGTTCCCCAAGTCAGAGCACGGGCATTGGCTCCACAACCACGGGGTCTTCTTCGACATCCACTTTATCATCTTCCACTCTTTCAAGCCAAACCGCGCTCACCAGCTCCACGGCACCGGGGCCAACATCCTCAGCACTCATATCTACCACCGCTTCCTCCTCGTCGGTGTCGTCATCAACAACTTTGATCTCTACGTTATCTTCGTCGTCTACCTCGTCTACTACCTCTTCTTCCACAGCCACTTCGACATCATACATTGTCTACCCCAAGAAAGGTAGCAATAAAGTACAGACTGCGAAAATCAAGACACTTCTCAGCAACTACGTTACGGACAAGAACAGCCTGTACGAATCAGTGACCAACGGGCTTGGAGTTAACTACTGGAAACTACCCTTATCCAATGACAACGTTACAGCTCTCGCCAAGAATTCCGATGTGAGTTTTCTCTCGAGTAAAGCTAGCAGACACTAAGGAAAATCAGATTGCTTCGGTTACCAAAGCTGGCTGTGATACCACCTGCTTCGACCCAACAACATTTATAGTGAAGCAACGGAACGCTGCCGACGAGATGGTATTCCTATCCCAACGTCAGGGCACAACTCTGGACATGTATAACCACAGATACATCTATGAGAGAGGGGCCGCGAGGAACGATATCACGGTATATGTAGTTGATACTGGCGCCGATCTGGGGAATGAAGTAAGTAGAAAAACCTCAGATGGTGGGCCAATATAGCTAATGTGCGATTAGGAGTTCACGAGTGGTGCAAATGTTGCTAGGAGGGCCCGCTGGCTCTTTGCTAACCCAAACGATCAAGTCCGGGGCGATAATGGTCCTAAATGGCATGGTACTTGCATGCTGAGTAAGATAACTGGCCATCTCTATGGTACTTCGAAGCGAGTCAATCCCGTGATTGTCAAAGTACCACTGGCTGCTACTGTTGAGGACTATCTAGAAGGTGTCAGCAAAGTCGTGGACGATGTTAGAACGAGGGGCGGGCGGAAAACCGTTCTCAATCTGAGTTGGTAAGTACCGATAGCCTACCTCCAAAAAGGAATAACGGGGTTACTTACATCCGGTGCAGGTATTACCCTGGCCATGTAGTTGAAAGCAAAGTCGGCTGGTCAGACCGCCTTTACGAATTACTCAAGGAGCTTCAAGATTCAGGAGTCATTATTGTTGCTGGCTCTGGAAACGGCGGACGTGTAAGTTCCACGTTGCCACATCTAATCTTGTGCAAATATACTTACGTATACCAGCCAACCATGGACGGGTTTCCAGCTACTTTCGGTGGAACAAGGACCCCAAACCGCCTCCAGCACATGATTGTTGTAAGCGCTCTTGACGCCGTGAGCTACGATATGTATGTAGCTTCTAACTACGACAACGCAGCTGGCCTTCCACACGTCTTTGCCCCAGGATCGCTCGGCATGCAGTGTGCGGATGGGAATCCGGGAGTCGACCTGGCTTACAAGCCCACATCCGGAACTTCGCCAGGTAAGCTTTACGTCACGTCATGTCACAACTCAATAGAGTCTGCCTTTCATTTTCTTACAAGTCACAGCTACCGCCGCAACCGCTGGACTTGCTGCATATATGCTCGCGCAGGGAGACCACGGTATCACACCCGCCGAAATCAAGCAAGCCATCATCGACCTCGCATGGGTTCGTCAACAGGGTGGCCCTGTCACAGGCGGGATGAAGGGGATCTTCAATGGCATCCGGCAGCAGAATACGAGCAGCTGTATTATCATGAAGAAACGGGGAGATGATCCGCTAGATCCGGATGAGGAAGCCTGTGATGCTGCTACTACTACTACGATGGTTACAAGCACTCGTTCAGTGACCTTGTCCGCGACAGCAGGTACGACAATGGTGTGATATTTATTGTCAGCGGTTTGTTGAAAGACGGGTTGGTGACAGTGATGCTTCCTAGTTGGTGTTATGGTGAGAATCTGCTTTTGCAGGGACATTTTTGACCGAACAAGAGGTAAATCGATCCGAACTCTAGGAGTCAGAGTCTACCTCGGGCTACTTCGTATGAATAGGTCAATAATATCTTAACTTATGAATTGCGTCATATCCTGCTATTTTGAAGGTGGCTCAAACCAGCCTTAGCGCTGGCGTAGAGCTAGAGCGTGTATACGGGTGGGCACGATCCAAACCCTAAGTACACATCAGCAAAGGCCGTTAAGGATACTAGCTACTCTAAAGGCCCTGCTAAGATCGCACGAATACCTTTCCAAGTTAACGGCAATCCCCCAAGTACCTCTCTACTTCTACATCTATAAACCCTTTCTCATTGCTTACATAAGAACAAACTCTTATGCATTATAATGTGCCTAAAAGCACACATTGGAATCTCCTGCCTCGTATATCCGTAAGCAGAATGGCGCATGATGGAGGTATCTTGCGTTCTCAAGGTGTCAAACAATTTCTAGGTACACTGATAGAGCAATTAGTATCTTCTGTGATCCTTGCTAGGTAAGTTTATCTTTAGGTTGCTGGGGGGTTATGAGAATAGAGGAGCAAGGAAGTAGGAATTGTAGAACAGGGCAGGCAGGAATAGAAAAATATCATTTAAGAGAAACGTGGTAAGCGTTGGGTAGGGGTAGAGTTGTCCGGTAACGAGTTCGTGGAGACGATGGTGTGGGAAGAATAAGATAGGAAAGAAGAGATGGAAGATGGTTCAGCTCTCCCTAAGGGTGTGGTGCTAGAGGAGGGGTTTGAAGGCTTGCGTGATATGGTCTAGTAGGCCTTGTCGTTTCTTATGTAACTCAAGTTATTGCTTCTTCCCCTCCTAGTTCATCTTACTACAGTCCACACTGTGATCCAGGTCTCTTTTTTTTTGTATGGAATCTTTATTTCAAATCCATAGACCACCTACTTCACACGCTTCTCTTTCATCTGGACTTCCTTTGGGATTGAAAATATGGTAACCTTACGCTCCAACTGTACAGTAATGGCCATGAGGAAGCGAGCGTCAAGATCGGAGACTTTGAGTTCTATTACTTCTTCCCATTATTGGAAATGGTCAGTTGTGCCCCTTTGAGTGTGTTTGCAGTCAAGGTGTCAATCTCCCTAAAATATCGAAGTGTAGCAATCGTGTTTTCGATTATCAGCGTGTCGGTTTCCTTGGGACGAGGGATTCGAGCTTACTATCCTCCCCGTAATGTCGTAGTACCTCAGACAGATCCCAGTACAGCACATGACATTGTCATTCAGTGCATTGTTCTCTTCCTCTTCGATATCTGTTTCCCAGATCGCCTGCATCACGAATGAGTAAGGCTTGGGTCCCTAAGGAATACTAATATCCCCCGCTACCATTTATTTGGAGAGTTGAAGGTCTTAAGGGAGGTAAGGAGTATTTGATTCATAGCTGTTGTCCAATGGAAGAACAGTCTCGAGTATGTGCAGGTGAAGGAAAAGTTTTATAGCTAGCAGCCGAGAGTAGGACGATCTTAAGGCGGCCAAGGTGAAGTATATTTCTGCTGAACAGTCGAGGGTGGGCAAGCCGATCCCAAGGCAGTAAGATGAAACGGGACTGTTGACTACTAGGCTACCTCTATTAGTGACGAAGCCTCTTAGTTCCCTCCCCCAGTCAATAGAGGAACACATTACCTCTCTACAAAATTGCATGGAGTGTAATCGAGCTTAATATGAAACTGTTGCTGGCTTTCCTCCGCCACAAAACGAAATTTCGTTAGTCTTTGATATTGGCGCTCGCGGCGAATCCTCTACTAATAGGGTGGAGAGTGGCAGTCCAGAATATCAGATTGATCTTCGTGACTGATCATTTGGGTCTAATCTAGAGTAGAGCAGAAACTTTTGTTCTCTTTATGGCGTTTCGAGAACTAGCAACGGTTTCAAAGTATCTATTAGTATCTAGTAGTTTTATAATTATAACGCACTAGCGTCTATTCCTATCGCAGGAGGTGACTATAGTGTCTTTTAACAACTCTAGATTGCTAAGTGCAAAGAAGGCAATTTAAATGTAAGGATTTAGGATAGGGAAGCACAGGTAGCAACACAGAGGAATGGAAAGGGTTAATGAAGTATATTTAACAAGGCTGTTAGTGAGACAATTACTGCTAGCCACGATTTGTCTTATCAAGCCTAAGATAGTGACGTAAGCGCCAATAGGGGCCAAAATAGGCCACCTGGCCCTGCAACTGCAAATATTAGCATTTGCCAATATTTAATTAGCTAGATTTTCCCTATTTGGAAACCACTCGCACGATTTACAGGCTTGGTGATCGCATTCTATGCAGACGACATGATTCCGATAGGTGCGGGGCCCTTGTTTGCACTGGCACTATAAGAGATCAGTATTCGGCCAGCAAAGGAGGATACTCCTCACTTACGCAATACCACATTAACTCTTGTCTTCCCTGTCTCCGTTCACGCTTCTGTGGGGGAGCTTTCTCGTGGGTATCTGCCTCCGCTGGTCTCTTTTTTTGCCCAGAACTAGGAGGGCTTGAAGCTATTGGCGAATGTTGGGTCTGAGGCTGCGATTGGCATTGCGATGGTTCTTGATTCAGGATCATCTGACCCTCATCTGACGATTCGTTCGTCAGGCTTATCTCAGGCTCCGTATCCTCCTCTTCAAACACCATCTTATTCATTTCTTTGAGCACCTTTCCCTTCGTCTTCTTCGCTTCAATACAATGCCACTCCTCAATCCTCTTTCCTGCCTTAAAGTGTTCGTCGATATGGTTGAAACGCTCGTCCCAGGCAGCATTCCGTTTTTGCGTTAGCTTGACGATTTTCACACAAAACCCACAAAAGAACTGCCCCTGACCGTTTCTACCAATACGCCGGTTCTTAGTCTCCAGCTCGATCTCACCTTCGTCCGTCTTCTTATGTTCTTTCTGGAGGTGGTTTTTGAAAAGATCGGCACGGTAGAAGAGCTCGCCGCAGGGGGTTTGCGAGGCGAGGGAGAGGAGCTGGCACCAGTAAGATTCGAGTTGGAAGTGTTGGCTGTTTTCGTGGCGCTTCCAGTCGGACTTTGCGCCGAAGCGCTTGTGGCATCTGGGATATGTGCAGCCATATGGCTTCGTATGACGTTTCATATGTTTTCTGACATTTGTTAATACTGTAACTCATTTAAGAACATCAAGCTTACCTCATATCGCAAGACCGGGCCAAGGTGACATCGCAATGCTCACATGCCTTCATGTTACTCGAGGAAGTCCTTGGGCGGCTGCTAATTCCAATCGGTCTCTTTCCGCTTTGCTTGATTATTTTGGAAATAGCCTGCGAGGCTTTTAACGCCTCGGTCTTCGTCAATGTGTTCGGATCCGTATCCATAGACACATTCTGGCTAGATGAAGACCCACTGGTTGCATTTTGACTAGAGGATGGTAAAGACGAAGAGGTGGCATCTTTCTTGCCCAGCCGAGAAAGGACACGCAAAACAACTTCCTCTAAATCCACCGGTTCAGAGCTAGAAGAACTCTGTATGTCCCTGACTATTATTTTGGAGAACTTCTGAAGCGCCTGTTTCTGCTGTTCTGCCTTGGTCTGTGGCTCCTTGGATAACTGGGGAGTAGGCTGTGGGACTGGCTTTTCAGGGGAAGACTGTGAAGAGGCAACTGTAGCAAGCGCGTCTAGTCGGAGTGAGCTATTACGACGCATTGTGCCTGGAGGTAGTGAGATCGCGTTCATGTCATATACGGCTGTCCGGGCTTGGGCAGCGGGTTTATATCCAGGATTAATTGGCATATTAGTCTTTTGAGGGCCTTGGTCATAAATATTTGGATTTGATTGATCAACGTCAATAGCAAAGTCTTGTGATGAACTCGGCTCAAATGAAGACCAAGAAGTAGGAGCCTGGTCTGGGGTTAAAGTCATCCCGGAGATAGGATCATCGAACCCATTACTAGAAAACTGCCGCTCGGGGGCTATTCCGGCTAGGGTGGTATCCATTGGCGCTACCGATGGGGTTTCGGCAGCCGGCGTTGATTGTTGTGTATGGAATACAGACCTGCAGGTGTCAGAGCTTGATAGCATCGATTGCCTTCAATCATACCTTCGGATGAGGTCTGTTTCATCCTCTTCACTGTGCATTCGGTGAATATGCTGCTTGAAGTTGTCGAGGCGTGGCCAAATCTTCTCCTTGTTCCTGCAGGTTTCGGAGGCGCATCGATAGGAATTCTGCAATGCACCGATTCCATGAACACTCTTTTTGTGCCTATTTAGATCATTCACAGTGGTGAAGCCTTTGTTGCCTCGTCTGCATCTTGGGATATCACACTTGAATGGTTTGTCATGCTTTAGCATATGTTTTCTATGACATGTTGTCAGTAATATTACATGGACACTGGATTCGATGAAGACGCACTTGTGATCCGATTTACATTTTGAAATTTCTTGGCACTGAGGGCACTTGAACTCCTTCCCATTACCTGTGCTGCGCCCGCTATATTGCGATATTTGGTCAGTATTGGGAGCGGGATACATCTCTGTCGTCTCGCTGGATGCAGAGCCGACAGTTATGTTACCAACTTGGAACATCTCGGACGGAAGTTCCTGGTCACAGCGCTCTTGGTCATGGCTTATGATGGAATGAGTTTGATGAGTGTAGTAACCAGAATCTGATCTGGGCGCTAGACTTTCATTTTCAGATCTTAGGTCTTCGCGGTAGGATCCGAATGCCATATTGGGCTGGGAATGAGATAATCGGCCTCCGGAAGAGCCAGTATTTCTCATGCGTTCTGAACTCCACGGTGCGTCATCTCCTTCGTAGAATCGGGTAATTGGATTTGCATTACTGAGACTGTCTAGAGCAGAACGTGGACGGGATAGTTCAGGCACTTGAAGTAAGGAAAGGTTTGGATCAATCCGACTGTCTTGCTGGTGCATGTGTGATGGATTAAAGTTCATAAGGCTGGCCGGCCTTGAGATAGGGGCAGTTCGTACGGGTCGATAGGTTTGTGAAGGTTTTGCGCTAGCAACGCCTGTTGGTCTCGGCCTTTGACCGACCCATTGTGGAAACGATGCGCCATTACCAAGTTGAGAAGACTGAGGGGGGTAAAACTAAGGTGGTCACTATCCATTATTTACATCTATACAAGACATACCTACGGACTCGAAGTTAAACGTTGGGGGATAGTTGTTTGGTTGCGACATGCTCGTCCTGCGTCCAGGTTAGCGACATGGCCTGAGGCATGACTGACGTGCCGACAAAGCGGCTGTCCTGTGCTTCAAGGCAGCGGGACTCGACCAAATAACATGGAAATCTACAACTCATGACGCAAAATTCGACGAATAGATGTTTTAGGGAAATGAAACAATAGCAGAAGCAGTCCAAACCTACCGATTTTTAGCCTGCAGCCTTATGCCTAGCCGTTCGCCTGGGTGTGGGCAGAGAAGGTTCACAGAATAGTGAATGCGCAGGGTGGGCGCATTAGTAGTCCTTTTGCGCTCTTCACCGCCTCGGCCGCTGACGACTGCAATACGTCTAATCTCTCGATTTGAGCAGAGAGCATCCGGTGGAGCGCATTAGAAGGACTTCTGTGGCACTCGCCGGCTGCCGGTGTAGGAAAAGGCAAAGGTAAGCGGCAATCTGGGCGGACGAAACTCAGGACTCGTTGTTGAAATGTGGGCCTGTGTGGAGTGGTATCATATCGGGCGCGAAGAGTGAGGCTCCCTAGCTGTTTTCTGGCAGTGGATGTGATGCTATGGGATGAGGGCGGCCTCTTCGAGGGACACGGAACAAGGCAAAGGTTTGCCTCGTTGCTGCCTTGAGATGGTGTCCGCCAAGCGCCGTAGGGACGGACACCGTGGCTATGTCGAGGTCGAGTCCTCCAACCACATCCTCCACCAGCGGAGACACATCATGGCCATTGTCGCAACTGCATACAGTCCTGCGAGTCTCCCGACATCCCTTGCCGCTCTCTCGCCTAACTCAAAAATCAAATGTCTGCCATGTGTTATCGATTAATACCGCGGGTCCGTGTTCGCCAGATACTTCAGCAGCGCAGTGCTACAGCAATATCGCCACGCGGCCAGTTACATGTCCGCTGGCCATGTTACCAAGGCAGAGATGATATAAGCCCGCCTGCCCAATGGTAGGCGGCTGCATAGCCTGAATGTCGTGACTGCAACCTCCGTTTTTGACCTGGGATGCGCCTCCGCGCGGAGGGAGTCAACAGGTGCCAACATCCAGTACCGGCCAATCACCGGCCGTAACCGTTCGGCTTTAGAAAAGGTGTGTCTCAGGGATTGTCGAGAGGGTGAGTCAGGCACAAAGGCTGTTCGCTAGCATCTAGCGCCAGTCCCACCTATACGGAAACATCTCGAGCAGAGAGGTTGCAAGTACATTTGATGCCATTCTGAAGTATAGTGCCCTAACTCGCCGGAAATGCCAGTGTCAGAAACTTAAAATAAAAAAGAAACAAAAACTGAATGTACTAGAAAGACAGGAGGTGCGCCTGAGATGCGTCCAAGCCATCATTGGTAGTGAGGAGCCAATTCCAGAGTTGCCTCACCACATTCACTCATTGGAGACCTTCTAGACGGGCTCCATTTTGCTATAGGGATATCAAACGAATAACGGGAACCTTCATAGTCATCATCAAATAAAACAACTAAAGAAACCCAACCACAGTTCCGGCCACGTGTATCATCCAAAACATTTCATCCCAACATATATCGTCGTCTCATCTCATTGCCCCTGATACTGGTAATTGTGCTGTTGTGTGTTCATATACGACATCTCCTGGTACGCCGATGGCTGATATTGCATCGAATTCCCCGAATCATATCCCATATCAGACACGCCACCTGCCGTCATAGCCTGCGGCTCATGCGTGAAGTACGTCGTCGAACCCACCGTGTCGGTCGAATAGGGAGTCGTGTCTACTGGGGATGTCGTAAACACAGCCTGCTGCTGCTGTCCAATCGCTGAAATGGGCGTCATTGGATAACGGTTCGGCCCGTTCTGGATATTACCATTGTGGTAAGGCTGGCTCGGAATCTGGAGCCCATTGACATAGGCACCCCGTGCCTTTGGGGGCTCCTGCAGTCCTGGATATGATCTTACTGCATAGCTCTGACTATCTTCAGGAACAAAGTTGGTGTAATTTCCCTTCTGTGGCCCTGGTTGATTTCTGTACGCCACCAGCTGAGGTGGAGGATACGTGTGCATAACATTTGGCGCGACTGTCGAGGAAGAGTTATCCGGGGGGAATTGACCAAAAGACGGATCAATGCCAGGAGCGAGTGTAGAATTGTTGTTGGGCATGTACCTGGAAGGATTATCGATTGGTGACCTGCTTGGTGTTACCGAAAGCTTGCGCGACTCTGACATCTCAACAACGGGACTGATGACAGTGTCGGCGTTCATTTGCTTCTGCTCTACGAGTGGAAGAATTGGCATGCTGATTTGCTCCATGTGCTTAGCAAGATGGACGGTTAGCTTCTTCCAACTGTTGCAGATGTTGCCGCAGAATCGGCAAGGCTCATCCTTGGGCAGCTTAGTTGTATCGCGCCGACAATTCTCCACCAATTTCCATATATCATCAGGACTGTCTTTGGTCGGCATTCCTGAAAATCCTTGCTGCCATGAAGCAGATTCTGTGTTTGCAGAGGTGTCTTTGTTTGCTCCTCGACCAGTCCTCGCCCGTGGCTCAGCGATTTTATGTTCCCGCACTAAGTGTTGAACAAAGTTATCCTTCCGATAGCACGTATGACTACAGTCACCAATGCAACAAGTCCAATTTTCCAGCTGCCTATGTCGTTCGTTCTCATGTCTGACCCAATCTGCCTTTCGCTTGAATGACTTCGGTTCGCCACAGTTCGGGAACGTGCAGGTAAACGGTTGGACGTCTTCATGAACGTGTTTCGTCCAGTCGGATGGCTTGTAGAACTTCTTCACCTTGAAGCATAATGGACATTCGAACTCGGCAGGGAGTCGCTTGACTGGAGGTAGAGGGACGCCGGACGGAAACTGTGCAGATACAACTGTGCCTTCTGGGGGAGGCTCTCCGTCATCGTCCGATGAGCCAGGCGCAGTGATTTGGAAGCCGATGAAGGGCGCCTCGGAGTCTTTGTTACCTGCGCGTGGGGGAAGCTGCTTGGATTCGCCACCTAGCGCAGTGCAAAATTTGGCGGACGAGCAGTTCCGGTTCTTGACTGCGTTTAAGTGCTTGACTTTGAATTCGAGCAGCCGTTTGTATCTCCTCAACTGCTCTTGCGTGATTCTCTCCACCATGTAGTCTACTAAGCGAGGGTTGAGTTGGCGAGCATGGGTCTTGAATCCTTCGAACGTCGGAATTATGGGATCGCAGCGCACCTTGAGGTCCATGGTTATAGTTTCTTGTGTCTCTTCGTCATCATCATCTCCTCCAGGACTTGGTAAGGGTGAGTGCTTTGTTGCTTCGGTCTCTGCTAGTGGGGAGGCCAACATAGGCATAGGTGGACCTCCATGTTGGGTCATGAGTTCGGCCAGTCCGGGTGATTTGCCTAAATCACTCCTACTCCTGGAGCGTCTGATCGCGTTCTTGGCAGTAGCCCAGGGACCAGATGTTGCCGACAAATTTGTTGAGCTAGGTGGCCCGACATCCCTTCCATGACTTGCCACACTTGTATCAAGTCTTGGCGACTTCGGACGTCCCCAGCTACCCATCCTCTTGGGTTTCTCGGGGACGGGATCTTTCGCTTTCTCTGGCGTTTCAGGAGGCTGAGCCGGTATGCTTCCTTTGCGCTTCAACAATCCACTAGGAGCTCGTTTGGGTATGATACTCTCCAAGAAGCTTGGACGTCGTTGCCTCTCTTTGGCTTTCTTCAGGTCTCGACCAGGTTCAATAGCTTTCACGACCCCAGGAGCGTCCCGAACGCTACCCAAGTCAGATTCGCTCATGCGACGTGAGCCAAGAGTGGCAGCAAGCGAGGCCGACTCCACGTCCTTGGCTCTTTGCCGGAAACGCATCATGGCAGCATTGGAAGTTGGAGGTTGGTACCGTTCCGAAGTTAACGCTTCAGTGGGTGCATCGTTCCAAGGCCGAACAACTGCGGTGGAAGGGGCACCATTCTCTGGGGCGGGAGGGAAGTACGATTCGACATCAGTGTTATTGAAATCAATCGCAGCCGGTGGCGATTGAGGCTCATCATCCTCGTCCTCGTCTTCATAATCGTCGAATTCGCTTCGTTCGTCTATGTAGAGTCCTGGTCCAGGAATACCGGAATCATCTATGTAAGTGAAGTCGGTGCGCACTCCTAAGCCCGAATTTGCTCCAAAGCCTTGGCGATGAGCGTCGTTGGTGCTTTTCGCTCTGCGCCGAGTTGAGAATGGTTTCAACAAGCCGATGGATGAACCGCCATCACCTGCATCGCTGCCGACCTCGCTCTTGGAGAGCCAGTCCACAACCTCAAGCTTCTTCTCGTTCTTGAACCTTTGCTCTGCAATGTCATCAATGCTGGGAACCCACACGTCTTTCATAGCATCACGATCCTCGGGGTTTAGCCCGACCTGGCCAGATGGACCGCCCGGCAACCAGGCACCATCCTCACCGCGCTCTGCGCTCCTCACGATCAGCTGCGCTCTTACCTGCTCAACCTTGGCATCGTCGTCATCAGATGACTCATCTGCCGGGACAGACAGATGGTTGCCAGACCGGCGACTTCCATGACTTCGTTTGCTCATGGGCCTACTTGTGTCGGAAGGCGATGGTGATCCCCTTGTGCTGTAGTTCTCAACCCTAACAATGGGGCTCGTGAGATGTGTTGCACGTGGTTGTGGGTTTGCGAGTGTCATATTGCCAGGGCTGTTAGTAAGCGCAGGGCTGTGTTGCTGCTTGCTGGGGGTGGATCGCAAGGTATGAGAGGGAGGGTTAGGCGGCGTAGATGAGGGGTGGAATTGATTGGCAGAGTATTGTGCGCCAGATGTATTCATATGCCGCGACGAGTCGTCGGCAATGATTGGGCTCGAGTTGTTTGTAGGGCAAGGTGACATCAATTGGGAGTGGGCTTCTGAATGAGCCGTTGTTGGGAGTGGCAATTGGGTTTGTGCGTTATATGTGGCCAGGACGTCGTCACTTATAGGGAGGGACATCTGCATGCCACTTGGGAAGTTGTCGAATGCGTCGTGTGTAGTGAAGGGGTCGGCGACGTTAATGTTGGAGAATTGGTCCTCTAGATATTGGTCACCATAGCTTGGGGTGGTGTAGGTGCTCAAATCCTGATAATTGGATTCACTGAGATATCCTGTTTCCGGACTGATATGGTCGATGGACTGGGATGGTGAAAGACTGTGGCCGTTACGGCTATTCATACCAGGAGATAGGCTGTAGTTCGATTGCTGTTGCATGTATGCATTGGGTGGAGGATAAGATGGGTTGATAAGATCCGGGTGTAAAGAGGAGTCAAAGGAGGATCCGGTATTTGGGGTAAAGGCCGACTCCTGAGGATTTGTGTGGGAGGTGGGGAGGGCATTCAATGAACTATAGTCCATCATGGCTGGCTCTGCGGAGAAGGTAAATCCACCTTGGGCATCTGGCAGGAGGAAGTTCCCAGAGGAAGTAACAGGATGAAAGCCATTGATTGATTCATCTTCAGGGTGGCGCTGCTGGCGACGCTGGCCATTGAAAGGCTGCGGCCGGGACTCGATAGTGGGCATCATGGCTCGTATCACTCAGGCCTGGCAAAAGGCAGAATCGAGTGATCCGCTCTACGGAGGGCGGGCGGCGGCTTGGTGCAGGATCCGATCTCAATAAAGGCAGACCCGGGGAGTTGGAAGTAACGTGACTGGCCGTTGCTGCTTAAGGAGCCATGAGTGCTGCCTTGAGGTGGCCTGAGTAGGGAATTTGGCGAACTCGGCGCCGGAAAAGGTGTTGCAGATAGACAAGAAGCTGGGTCGCGGCGCGTCAACAGCGGAGCCAGCAGCGAGTTGAGGGAGGGAATGCGGAAAATATTGCACCAGCGACGTGGTGGGCGACGTTGGAGTGATGAAGGCTCACAGCGGGCGATCCGCCTCGCACAGGGATGATATGTCGAATGCGGGAGGGCTAACGGGCAGTGCGAATTCACGAGGTGCTGTGCAGAACAGCAGAGCCGTCAGTGGTTGTTTGAGGGTGGGTGTTTCGAGACGGAAGAGTGAGAGCCGCAGAGCGGGTCCTGGGCGATGAGAATGCGGGTGAGAGACGTGAGGTTTTGCTGTCGATGGGCAGCCGCAGCAGCAGGAGACTTTCGAGGCACCGGTCAAGGCTGACTCCTCCAAGCTTCCCGCGAGACCAAAAGGCTGGGTGCCAAGGCGGACGATTTCGAACAGGTCCTCTGACGTTGGGGAGCGGAGCGGCAGCGCTGAAAGTGTTCGGGGTGCAGAAGACAGATAGAGGTGCAGGAGGAGCGCAGACAAGCGCGATGACGAGATGGGAATATGAGAGCGAGCGTTGCTGCGACTCGAGGCAGATTTACAGATTTGCGACACGCTCCCAGCAGGCTTGACACGGCGGCACAGCCTCAGCGCTCTCGAGGGAGCGGAGCGTGCAGTGGCAGTGCCCTTCCGATAGCGACGTATCGCGAGACGTGGGGATTGCTGTTAATTTGCATTCATTTTTACCATGGCCACGAGCGATGACATGTTAACATGCCCATGGAGCCCTCTCCCTCATATTTCCCTCCCCTTTCCCTCGAGTACGCACGCCGGCGCTTAGCATTGAGTGAGCCCGAGGCCGATACTATATAAAGGCGGCCAAGCCCCTTAGGCGCGACTGCTCAAAAGCTCCTGGAGGCCCATATATATAACCACCTCCACGGAACAGGGCCTTGTTGGGCGGGCAGAGGGGCATCCGCGGAGGGAGCGCGTCCTGGTTGCTTTTCATTTCCCAGTATTTACGCGCTTGAAGCTGGACTGGGCCGATAATTGAGAGCATCGAGGCTCCCTTTCAACTTCAGCCCTGCCGCGATGCAACCATCCGTGCCCGGCTCTCGTTTCACCGTATGTAGCATGAGCCGATGCCGGGTGGCTCCCGGGGGCCGTTGGCGGGGTTTATCGGCACACCGAAAGATCGCACGCGAGGTTGCTCGCATGCCAGTTATAACCAGACGATATGTCTGGTCAGGATGAGGATCCGCGACTTTAACGATTTAGTAGCTTGGGTGGAGCTGGCAGACACGACACGAGGGTGCGTTGTTCCTCTCAAAAAATAGCCCTTTGCCGGGTCTGCCTTGGCAAAAACAGCCATATTAATGCAAGCCTGCTTCCTCCAATAAATGCATTCGATAGGCGACATGGAATGCGCTGACTGTGTTCCATGTGTGGCTTTGCCCTGTGACGCTCGGCGAGCAGAGTTGAGGAAGAGGTGTATTTGATTCTGAATGATCAGCTCCCTAGTGTACTGCTTCCAAGAGTCGGAGTGGGACGACCAACGGACACCGGGGGTTGAAAGCCCTTGTCCGTAGCGACGAAAAGAGCTCGCATGCATGGAACTTTAGGCGAAGATAGCAAACATCTAATGCAAGATATAGTGCAAGAGCGACTGTGGCTTGAATGCGGAAACATGTGAAATCTCATTTGGCACTTCATCTTTAATCTCAGACGATTAACTCCCATGATGAAATGCAATCTTGCAGCGGAGGATGAGGCTTTGACTGTCTGTCAATCTTCTCTGATACGATTGTGTTCGTATAGAACTTCTCAAGACCGCTTACAGATCTTAGCAGTGATCGAGTTCAAGTAGAGGCCGCTCGTCTGCGCATCAATATAGAAGTGGCAGAGGAAACTGAGAGTTGAGACTGAGGAGCCGCCTCTGGGTCGAGTGGACCCAAAGAAGGTGGCATAATGCAGGTACCCGTGACGGGTCGTTCTGATGCCCGACAGAGCGGCGAACGGAAGGATGTATCTTCAAGGCCAGCGGACGGAGGTGAAGAATCCTCCCAAGAGCAAGTGCTTATGGAGTTCTGTGGGGATATCAACACTGAGAGGCATTCTAGCCCCAACCTGCAGCAGACGACCACCAGACCTATTGATTGCACAGGGAATAGTCGGAGATAAAAGGCCCAAGGATCCTGACGCGTCCCAGTGGTGAGGTCCAAAACGGCATGCACTTCGATCAGGAATGGCTAGCACCGCGAGGGTCGCGTTTGACGTCATCGTGGAGCCGCGTGTTCTCGTCGCATTGCATGAAACCATTACATCTGGGTTGAAGGAAGTGCATAGAGGAGCGTTCGGTCTCCGTACGCTTAGATATGGAAATATAATTCTGAGGCTTATCAATTTTCTCTTGCCCTTGAAGATAACTTAGTGGAATGGATCAAAAGACTCGCATCGAACAAATTAGAGGACAGAAGGGGAAGATGATCAAGACAACTAAAGACGAAACAGTCAAGACGAGTGAGCTAGCCCTTTTGTCAACTTTAATTCGTGTATCTGTCGGTGAGGCAGTTCACTAGATTCTTTAGTCAAAGAATCCTGGGATGGCAGTTGTGGAAGGCAAGTCCGCTACCTGCACAACCATATGGCAAGGAACCAAGCATGCCTCGTCGTCGGCAGAGTGAAGAGCACTTTCTACTGTTGGGGCCGAACCTTCGGGCTTGGAAAACTGGCCGTTGTCCACCCGCTCTTAGTTCCCGATGACCTTGCCCAGGCGGACCGGAGTGACGGCAACTTTGGAAACAAACCCGGGATGACTGCGATGCTTTTCCAAAAGCAATTAAGACATTCTGGCCGAAGGGGACAATTCGATAGAAATTCGAGGTGATGAGGTAGAAATAAGATTGATATAATAGATGAACGGGCGTGAGGCTCTTAATCCTAACGCGTAAGTTTTTCCGTGCGAGAGTGGGCTGCCGATGCCGATGGGAAACCACCACGGCGAGACCCTTGATCCGGGGCAAAGGAGACTAGAGACAACGGCAACCAACGAGCTTGCACCGGACTTTGACGCCAGTATCGACAAAACATGGCGAGAGACAGCCCCTCAGGCATTTCTACTTTGCTTCTTCAAACTTCAGCATCTCCTGCTGTGCGCTTCATCCCTCTACAGTACAGGCGGTCATCGTTTGGTGTCAATGCGTCACACGTCGCGTCTCGTTCGCATGTGACAGCATCACCAGGTCGCAATACAGAAGCTCCACAAGGCATTTAGGCACTATCTGCCATTGGGGCAGCCCCAGCTGGTCTTATCCTTTCTTATACCTCACTTCATCCTCCCGGAAGCCTCCTCTCCTCCCCCAGATCCTTTAACTCTGCTCCCACCAACCTGCTGCCCCGCCGCAGGACGCCAGCATGACGGCAGAGCACATCCCTCCGCCCGACTCGCGGGAGCTCCTTCCTCCGCTTCTGGCGTGTCTGTCGACCGCGAGCGCCTCGAAACAACCTCCCTCTGCTTTCCTGCCTCTCCTCTCGCCCATCCTCCGCCAGCGAGTCCAGCTGCTCTCCTCCGATGCTTGGCTTTCCCTGCTCTCGTGGGACAACCAGGTTGCATCCAGACTACCGCAGATCGCCAGCAAGATACGGGTGGAACCCCATCCAGTGTCAGGAGAGATCGAGGTGGACGAGCCAGACAAGATTCTCTACCGGCGGTCAGACCCCGAGACGCTGCATTCGAGGCTCGTGCTAGGCGAGTTCGGGTTGATACCAACATATCTTTGGTGCACGGGCGGGGACAATGGCAACTGCTGGAAGCTGGCTGAGCTGCGGGGAATTCAAGACGAGGACGATGGGACGGAATGGTTCCCTACCATGAGCGAAGCCAATGAGGCTGGATTCCGTCGCACATCAACCAAGATGAATGGAGGTACGAACCAAACAACAACTACCATCACCTCGCACCATGCACCGGCAGAGGAGGATGATGACGACGATGCATATTGGGCTGCGTACGACCGGACGCCAGGTCGGACTCCCCAGAAGCGCTCACCTGCCCCAGTCACAAACTCGCGCATCCAGTTGCCTACGCAATCAGAGCTTGAATACTTTGCCAGATATGCCGCAGAAGTGCAACCCGCACTCGATGCCCACGACCCAGATGAACAGGGTCCGGCGCCAGGGGAATCCACATTACACGGCAACGCGCTGAATTTGCACTGCGAGCCGCAGACGGAGCCATTAGAGACCACAAACCTCGGACCGGACGGTTACGATTCTTCCATACCGCTAGTCTTCTCGCCTTCCACGCGCGGTGCGAATGGAGTCAACGGTAGCCGCCATGACTCCGTACGCGATGACAAACCCGAACACATTGAGTCAGTAGACGAGGATCGATACGCAGCGCTGAACCACCCCCGGCCGTCATCCTCGGCGTCGTCAAACTCCATAGAGAGACTCGAACGTGAGGCGGAGAGCCACAGCCAAGCCGAACTAGCAATCAAGCAACACATCAGCACGGATCTGAAGAGCTTGTTCCGCTTGGCAAGAACCGCCGGTATCGATAGGGAGGAATTCGAGAGGATTGTTAAGAGGGAGTTAGAGGTATTGCCCCTGCTAGAGCAGGACCACTAGTCTCGGGGTCAAAAGGTAGTCAGTGAACAATATCTTGTCAGTGATACCCTTGGATGATTAGTGGATTGGCAGGTCAAAAGGACAAGTTGAACAGCAGCGTCTCATACCCATTTCAGCATTTTCTAGCAGCGGAATTTGGCCAAATTATTTATTTTTTCATGAGGCAATGCATTCCAGCGGCGTTGGAAAGGTTTGGTTGCTAAAGCTTGAGTTTCAGCTTCTGCAGTCGGTTACATTTTCGTTTTTCTCAAAATGTCTTATGTAGCAACGAAGTTGATAACTAGCTATCCTTTAAGAGAGAGATACTATGTATACCTGCCCATTCAGGACGAACAATTCCTGCACGCTTTTCAGAGTGGCGAAGGTGGATTCTGAAGGCTTAGGATTGGGTTGGCGCACGGCCAATCAAACCACGCAAGAGAGAATTTATCAGGCCCACTAGGTGTGTACAGTTCTGATCAGATGGAATGGATGTATAGGCCTAAGCAGCAACGTTGACTCGGCATCCACCTACATGCTTCAATTCCTCTCGCGTGGTCCAGTAACGTGGACGGGATGATGGGTTTCTAGAGTAAAAGCATCACACAATTCACAAATCCTCGGTATGTCGAGCAGTAACAACAGCATGCTTATCACCCTTTTCCTCTTCAACTCCCGCCCGCAGGTTTGGCGGAAGAGGATGGCCCAGGCCTGGGGAATATGATATTCTCGTGAGCAAGGTCCACGTCTTGAATCAACGCAGTGCCGGAAGACGACGTCAACGCCGTAAAAATGGTGGAAACAAGGGATATGTGGAGTATAGTCCCTCCACGTTGCCGCGCGGTATGATTGTATTCCCTACGGCGAGAGTGCCCGATAGCTAGGTTCCGTGAGGGATGGTGGTGAGCGATGATGGGCTCCTGGTTATGGAGTCGTTATGGAGTCATCATGGAGTACGCAATAGGCCTGAAAGGAAGCCTGATAGGCACGGGGAAAGCAAGTTGATGTATGCAGTGTGAGGACTCCAGAGTAGCTAAAACCCGAATATGAATTGCAAAATGTGGATATCTTTCGAGTGGAGTAGAGTTAGACCGCCCTTCGCACAATAGGTTTGGGTGGGCGGTGGTAGGAAAAGCAAATGGACAAGAATATAGAAGTGAAGAATAGCGATCTCATGGAAGGAGTCAGCCAATTAGATGAAGTGCAGGGCTGAGCGACATCAATTCTCCGAGGTGATAGAAATGCATCATGTGCTACAGGGAGAGGTTGAGGGCTGGGCAAGAGGGAAAGCGAAAAGGCTTCAATCAATTGCTCGGCACACCTGAAAAGGCAAGAGTACGAGAGCCAGATCATAGCGCGGTGAATGCCAGACAACCCAGAATGGGCAATGGTTTGTTCAGACGCTCGTTCGTTTGACAAGAAATATAGGATATCTTTTATTCAGTTACTTTTCCCACCCCATGTTCACGACCCAAAGTTAAAGCCGCCTGCGATATCTCATGAGACCGAACAAGTCGTGTCGGCATGCAAACCGAGAACACCAGGACCTGTGAACTAGCGAGCGACAGCGCGAAGGCATGTTCGTACTCGCAAGTGGCGCTTTAGGCCTTCCTCCTCTTGCTGGTTCCGCCCGTGGGCTTCACTCCTGCCTTCAGCTGCTCCAGAACACCAATGACGTTGTTCCCTGACACATTGACTGCCCTCTCTGTCTCGCTCCCCCGGCCAATCTCCTCGATGACATTTTTTGGATCTGCGGTGCCGACGACAGGGACCTCGGAGGCGAGCCATTGCTGGAATGGCTTGGCGACAAAGTAGCCATCTGATGTGAACCAGCGGGTGAAGGGGGCGCGAATGCGAAGTTTCTGTTGCGGGTTCGAGGCATAGGGGGCGGGGGTAAAGGTGACATCGCAGTAGTAGATGGGGATGTGCTTCTTGGTCCGGGAGGCGATTCTTATCTGATGTTCGCATTAGGGGTGGTCCTAACCTACAACTACATTCTCAGGAAGTGTAGTTGCTGGGAGCGCGGGGCAGAGATGGCGCACCTTGCCAGTCTTCCCCTCCCCCTCAAATACACAGCCAGCCTCGACAAACCATATCCAGTAAGTGAAGATGGAGTTCAGAATGAAATAGGCAGCTACCGCCGGCGCTGTAAATGGCTTCGTGGCATCCCAACCAAATTTCCAGTCGAAGTAGAAGAGTGCACCGGAAATGGCGACGGCGGAGTAGCCAAGCACCAATCGAACGTCAGTCTGCGTGTGGATCTGCTTGAACTTGAGGGAATGGAGGTAGTTGGGGAGCGCATCGTCGGTGGTGTTCTTGAGGTCTGTCGGGGCTGTCAGTTGGGCTTGCGGCTCGGCGTGCGTGGTCAAATACCAGAGAGCGAATGGACGGCGACCTTGGTGGTTGCCGACATGGTGGGTTGTGCAGAGAGGAGTCAATGGCAGAACAGCAGCGGGTTGTGTTGAGCTTGCAGCTCGGGGAGGTGTGTTTGTCTGGCGGAGCTCTTGGTGGGTTTGGAAAGGTGTCCTGACGGCGTAGCGGGAGATCCCTGCACAGGGAATTCCGCCACTGAGGCTCCGGGAGCTTTCATCATCAACTCCAACACTGCCCCATCGCTCTCCCTCCCCTCTGCTACCCTTCTTCCTCTCTGCTATCCTCCTTCCGCTAGCCTCCCCCTCCCCGCGCAGGCAGCCTGTCTGCGTCTGCCATCATGGCTCAGCCCGTAGTGCAGACAATCCATCGGGATCCCGCCCTCTTGTGAGTAGCCCTCCCAAGCCGGCCGCACTAAACACTGACATGCTCGCAGCTGGTGGATTCTACTGCCCATCACAGTGGTCATGGTATGCCCCCCTCGTCGTCGCCAACTGCATCTTCAGCTGAACGAGCCGTAGGTCCTGACGGGCATCCTTCGCCATTACGCCATGATCCTGCTCCAGAGCGCGCCCAAGAAGCAGGCGCTCCCCCAGATCCGCCAGCAGCGCTCTCTTGTGCGCGGCATTAACCTCCGTGCGAACGCAAATGTATTGTCGCCGATCTCGTTCCAGGCAAGGAAGGCGTACATGGTGTCCGCATATCAGGAAGGAAAGTTTCTAGCCGACCCCGAAGGGAGGGGCAAGCCCCGTCCGAATCCTATGTCCGACCCGGCCGCCATGGAAGGAATCATGGGCATGATGAAGGGCAATATGGCCATGATGGTCCCCCAAACCCTGATCATGGGCTGGATCAACGCATTTTTCTCAGGCTTCGTGATAAGTGAGCGCTCGCCCCCCCTCCATCGCCTATCCTGGTCCGCCCGTTCGGCTGGCTGAATCTCCACCTCTCCTGAGCTGTGCCGTCGTGTCTACCGCGCGTCTGCTAATGTGGTGCTGATCGCCAGTGAAACTTCCCTTTCCATTGACGCCACAATTCAAATCCATGCTGCAGTCTGGGGTTGGGACTCGCGATCTGGACGTGCGGTGGGTCTCCAGTTTATCGTGGTACTTTCTCACATTGTTTGGGCTCCAGCCCGTCTACAATTTCATCCTGGGAAGCAACAATTGTAAGTCAGCTCCTGCGGAAGCAATATATCACAGGTGCCTCTTGAGCTAGCTGATAATCCTTGAATCCCAGCCGCAAATCAGGTCACCCAGCAGATGGGGCAAATGAATCCAGGGGCAGGCATGATGGGCCCCGAGCAGGACCCCGACAAGCTGTTCTTGAACGAAGCCGAGAACCTCGAGGTCATGGAGCATCGGTGGATTCTAGAGGGTGTTGAGGACCGCCTACTGGCCAAGTTCGCAATATGAGGGAGATGAGCTCATTCTCCAAGTGTCACGGGTGTTTGGTGGACGGCAACGGACGGGCCCCACCAGAAAACATAACCCTGGTGCCCTGAATGCTGACAAGTATCATCCCGCGCTCTTGCGGTGCCTGATCCGCGCTGCCGGCCAAAGATAGCCAAATTCTATGACAGATCTTATATGTACACCAGTTCGGTCCTCCCGTCCCAGCAGTGTGGTAGTGGCATGATCCCGAGCTTTGATGTCCGGGGTTCTCCATCTTGGGGCCGTGACAGGTTGCCAAGCACATTCGGTCCAGCTCGCCACCACAACAGGGCGAGCCAGCACGCGTCCATTTCTTCTCAATTACCTCACCTGAAATCACAGCAGAGCCGCCGGATAAACTGGCACCTCTTGACTCCCGACAACCCACGCTATCAGGACCTTCGCGCGTCCATGCAGGGGGAAAACGCATGTGATCGAATTGGTGCCTTTCGGGAGGGGTTCGTCGTCCTCCACCCACCACCCCTTCCCCGCCATCCAATCCGCATCGCTCACAGGAAGCACCGCCCCCAAAATTGGCTGTGGTGCGCCCCAACGCCCAAGCATCCCCAAAGGGACTGCGTGCTCAGTACACCAGCCGATCGGTGGAGAGATGACTGAGGACCGCGGACATGGTGAGACGGGAAGCATGTGTCTGCCGGCTTTCGTGGTCTGAAGACGCCTGAGGAGGCGTTCTCTCTCATCGCCCATTCATCATCTGTCTTTTGCGAGCGTTAAAACCTTTGTTGCTGTTGGCTGTGGCATTTTGGCGCCTTTTTGACGATATGCCGCGAGAGAAAGAAGGCAAACTGATGCTCCGCCCTGCCTTTCGATGCCTAAAATGAGGAGAATTTGCGCCCCATTTTGGGTCACCTTTCAGTCCTCTCCAATCGAGAGTCTCTTGCCCCGACGGTCCCCCGACGCCTCGCAATTGACGGATCCTTCTCGGATCGATTCAACACCAAATTAGGGTTTTGGCTGCTCAATCAGCATTTCTTTTCCAACTCCGACCCGATACAGGCCTGGGAACACACAAGTAATTATAAATTTTATCCCCCTTTATGCATCCCCCTCGGTCATTACTGTGTTATGTTCCATCTGGTAGCTGGTAGGTAATATGTTTCTCGCTTAGTCCTGCTCTTTAAACGGTTGCCTCCATCTCTGAACGGCCCCCAACGTGAGCACTTGGAGGACTGGTTTTAGTATTCACTTGGGGCACCCTCAGCCGCGCACGGTCCCGATGCCGAGCTCGCGAACCATGCGGACCGTCGGGACAGCTCGCACCACAAGGGAGTCCTTGTGTGCCACAATATGGCAGTGATCTGCTGCATCCATCACCGTTATTTCTTTTTATTTGAGGCTTCTATTATCACCTTTCCCCATACGATCATGCATTCAAGACCCAGACACCCACGTCAGGTTGGCAGTGGCTGGCCAGCTGGCATTCAACCACAAGCCATGGCAAAGCATCGACCAGGACCGGTGAAGCACCTGCAGGGTCGAAGCTTGGCCACTCCTCGCTCGTGCAGGACTTCTGATTGGTGTTGTCAGTGCTGTGTTAATGCTGAACATGCGGCTCTGCTATGGTCAATAACCATAAATGAGCAGGTAGCTAGCGGGTCCAAATCATGGTATACCACACCAAAATAGCGGGCGGTGCAAGTCTGCAATTCGTTTCAGGCGTATTTGCCCTCCGAGAAGCCGTACTACGAGTGCTTCGCCCCTTTTGTCATTCCAGGCCAATCCCGTTGTTTCTTAGTTGGCTACCTATCAATCTAGTCCTCCATTGCGACTATCATCTATATCAATATTTCTAGCGTTCTCGTCCGGAGTATCCGAATTGTCCAGCAGCAAATGTATGTTGGTCTGGTCAATGCACTTTCTGTCCATTTTGCTTATGCTCCAAAAGATACGATTATCGTTACACACTCCTCCTCAACCACTAATTGGCTCTTGCCGCTACGCGTGCTCTACCCTCCTTGATTTTGGCTATTTGACTCGCACTAAGCGCTGCCTTCAAACTAAGAACTCAGAATGGACGGCTATCAGCAATACAACGATATTCCTCAGATTCAGCTTGCGGAGGACTCTGTTCTCCACCCATGGGCAATTGAATACATCGGCCACATGGGCTCCTCCAGGCAAACCGTAGCGAAAACAATTAACGTCTTTGGTGAAGAAATAACCCTTGACGGATACGCCGCTCAAGGAATGTCGACGATGCCAATGCACCGCTGGCTTCATGGAGCCGATCGCTCTCCTGTGGCCCAGGGCCTGCTCCATGCAAAGTTCAACAGTACCCGTACTCCCCAGAATCAATATTGGAGACAATTTGAGCAGCAATGGCCCTCATCAGAGATCACAGAGTTCCCCCCTCGCGAATGGTCCCCCGAGCAGACGACCATTTCCGACACTAGTCATGCCACCCAGAACGAGCTTTACTCTCCGCCTTTGACGCACCAAGTACCATATGGAAGCCAGATTACTTCTCCCCATCTTGGGATGCCTTATCTGTCCTCGGAACAGCTGGGCGGCGGAGAACATGCGCATCAACATTCAATGGTCGATGCAAGCATCAGTCTTCGCGACATTGAGTATGAACACGTGGAACCCGAGACTACTATTGAGGATCAAGAGCATATCGAAATCAAGCCCGAGTTCGACTACGAGCAAGAACCGGTACAAGTGTCGGCGCCAGCATACACGAAGATGGAAGTAGACTCCGAAAGCTACCAAAGCTGTCAGGACTCTGGTCTTGGCCATTCCGTGCGGGACGCAGAATCAGTCCAGCCAGCTCAGAGCGACGAAGAAGCATCTGACTCAGACTACAAACCTACGATCCGAAGACGCTCATCTCACTCTAGCAACAATACGACCCGACCAAAGGGCAGGCGGTGCAGCCACAATCGAAAGGCCTCGCTCACATCACCCGTCTCTACCACAAATAGAGTTTCCAAGAAGACTCGCGGGCCTAATGCATCCCTAAGCGCTGTCAATGGTGCGAGCTATGCAAGCGGCTCTAGTGCCCGTAACCTCAACGACGCCAACCCGCAACGGCCTTTCCCATGCCCATTAGCGATCTATGGATGCCAGTCAAACTTTGTTTCCAAAAACGAGTGGAAGCGACATGTTAGTACTCAGCATATCAAGCTTGGCTTTTGGCGGTGCGACTTGTGTTCAACCACTGTTGATGCTCACGATCCTTCATCGGTCTACCATAACGACTTTAACCGGAAGGATCTTTTCACGCAACATCTTCGACGTATGCACGCCGCTCCAGCTCACCAAACATCATCGGCTCGCAACCAGAAAGAATACCCGGTGAACGAAGATAACCTCGGGGAACACCAGAAGCGGTGCTACAAAAGCCTCAGGTCAGCGCCACCACAATCCGCTTGCCTTTTCTGTGACGAGCGTATCTTCCAAGGACCTAATGGGTGGGAAGAGCGCATGGAGCACGTTGGACGACACTTGGAGAAGGATCGTAAAGTAGGAGGCGCTCCTATCGACATCTCAGACTGGAAGGAGGATATTGTCCTTAAACAATGGCTTCTTGATGAGGGCTTGATTGTGCCGGACCAGAACGGCTTCTTTAAGCTCGGCGATGGCAAGCCTAAGAGGAATTCAACACGGAACGGTGACGAAGAATCAGATCCAGAGGATTGAGTCACCGACATCACCACAGTTCCAACAACCTGTGGAGAGCTTTGTACAAATGATGGCTATGGGAACACTGGGATACAGGAAATTGTATTATGGATTATGGGTAGGTCTACTGGTTGGAACTTTACGAATCTCCTTATCTAGGCGGTTTCTGATACCCGGCGTTCGAGATATATCGTCATACTTTCTCTTGATGTTCAATACAAAACATCAAATGCCAAAAATATACATTTCTTATGTAGGAACGTTAGGATAGATAGATACTCAATGTGTACTAATTCAGCTACGAGCTTCTTTTACATACTCTCTATGTTCCTGCTAGTAATAGCCACATCTAGCGTGGGCTCGACATGGGAACACAGCCCCATAGCAGACTGCCACTTCTGCAACCTCCACCAGCCCCAACATCTGAGCACCATCCCACCATCTCAGCCCCCGCCAAGAAAATGCACCAGTCCTGCACAGAAACGTCTGACTCGAGTTCAGTGAACCATAACCAGGATTACAACGATTTTCTTGCATGGTGGTGAAGGTGGCCGCAGCATGGTTGATTCTATATCAAGATACTAATCCACTACTTTCTTCGGACTTTAGTCACCCACATATTCATATGTATTGTCGGTATTCCACCCCCACCATGAGTGCGCTGCGGACATGCATGCTTGCGAAGGCTGGTAGTAAGAAGCCTAGTTCAAGGGATGTTGCTGCGTTTGTCTTCCAAGCTGGTTTAGATAATGATCGTGGTGGAGTATCTTCATAATAGAAATGTGACTAGAAGGTGTCAGCACTCCAGCCATCGCGTGGGGTATTCGTTGGGCTTTCGAGAAGGTGATGAATGTCTAGCGTGAGGCTGAGGCCCAAGCGCTCTCCTTCTTCGGCTAGCGGTAAGGCTTGAAGGCCTTTTCTCTATTTTCCCTTGCTGAAGTCAGCATCTCCACCACCCGATGATCTGGACTAAAGTCTGATCGACGGTAGAGCACCCCTAGGTTACCGAAAAGTGTGTTCTACATCCTTCTGCCACCCTGGCTCCAACTCTCCCTGTCCATCTCGATATCATCATTCCCACACAACCTTTGACTCGCCGACGCCCAAGTCTGACAACAAAAAAGGACCGCAACCATGGGATCTTCCGACCTCTTCAAAGCGATAAAACACCCAGTCTGACACGTCAACCTATCTTTGTGCCTGAGGCCACCCATACAGGCATCCACGCCCAACCAGCGCAGGCAGCAATGCGGCTGAGACATGCATGCATACACGAACTCGTCCCTCAGTCCTCCATCACGATCTTCGAAGCCGAGACTGTGAAGAACGTGTCGCTGCATGTTCCACGCTTCGTTGTCGGACCCCCATTTTCTGCAAGTTGTGATCTGTGTCAGTACAGGGATAGGTGATCAGGTTGCAGATGACGAATGAGACAGAAGGCTCGGCAGACTGGAAAGTAGGGCAGAGGTATATGTGTATGCAACGACATCTCATATTGCGCATTGATGAGCGGAGTCAGTTCGCATTCAGGATTGCTTCACCGATCATTCGAGTTAGGCATCGCTGAGAGACATCGAAGGACTAGCCCAAGATGTATAGTGGAGACATTTATCGACTACGAATCTAAAACCTTGTTTAAGAATACGGCATCTGAAGAAGGCAAACTCCTGTCGTAACACTCAAGGCAGTCCTACGTCGCGGCATAAGAGTCTTATAGCCAGTCATGTCCCCTCACCGCGCCCTCATTTGCCGCCCAGCTCTTCCACATCCTCGGGTCACTTTGTCCGCCTCACTAACTTAATTCTAACCACGTATGGGATACTTCACGGTTGAAGTTGCTCACATGGTACAGCGGAGCTCTCATAGGATGGGGAGTGGCAACCTACGACCGCGTTCTTCATGTTTCATTTGACTCTACATATGCATCAGCTGTTTGAGAAGAGGACGCATTGTTGAGGAGGGAGAACTTCCACAATAAGTCATCTAGCGCGGGAGACATTTCGCACCTCCGAATTCAAACCTGCAGCCTCGGATCCTCGGAGCATCTTCGGATTCGATGCTATCCCTTGCATACACCTGTTCCACAACAGCAAGCCCCCTTCCCAAACGACTTCCTTCTAGGGTCTACACCGGTGGACTTTGTATGCTCGGTTCCTCCAGACGTCTCATTCATCTCTCCCTCACACCGGATCAATTCCATCAATTATACCCCATTGATCACCGGATGTACGACTGCACATCGCAGGTCTAGTGGAAACTCAACTCAGCCACTGCGATTTCGAAAGCGGGATACACGTGCGGATCGAGCCTCAAATGCGCCTTATTCAAGGGAAAGCGAAACGGTCCGTGGGAAGCTAGAGTACGTTGCAGGTGACTGAGCCTTTAATGTACATTAGGCTTTCCTGATCAGTTGAGGTCGAGAAGGTGGGACGAAAAAGTAAAGACTGGCTTGGGTTTGAAACGAGCTAGGAATGATTCTCGGTAGCTTCCAGCCTAAGGCACTAAATTTTCTCCATGGTTCTGATGGATGGGTGGCCACTTAGAAATCTCATCATAGGATAGGAGCCCTACTTCTCTCTTCCGAGCCTTAGTCTTTAGTCTTTAGTTGCCTAGATAGACTTGTGTGACTCTCGTTCAGAGATCCTTGAATGAAAAGCAATATCGAAATCAGCCACGAATGTGATACAACAACGGCGAGCAAGCATCAATAAAAGGATTTGTGGATTCAAGACTTTGCATTGGAGCGTTACAACTTATCATGATGCTATTGAGCTGACCAGCCAAAATCTGTCCTAGGGACAATCCAGACCCCATGCAAGAGGTTGAGACGAAACTGACTCATTGCTGTGGTTGCATCCACTCTTTTGATATAAGAGCCGAAGAGGTGCGATCTCACTCACTTCGACAGGTCAGAACGCTTCTACTTAGTCAACAACGTGAATGTGTAACCACGTGTCAAAATCTTGGCTGAAATTTCGGATAAACAGTTTTGCCGGGGCTCCGAACATGACACCTAACGTAGCTTTACTAGGAGCTTCTCGTTACGCGGCCTTGGAGAACCCCGACTTTCTTCAATTCCTTCCATCACATCTCCAATTATGGCTGGCACAGAGGGTGACCAGTTCCTGAAGCAGGCAACGGGCCGAAATACTCGGGGCATGCTCCGAGTAATTATCCTGTGCCTGATTGCTGGTGCGGCTGTCTCCAGTCGACTCTTCTCCGTTATTCGATTCGAGAGTATCATTCATGAATGTCAGTGCAGCAACCTCGACCCTTAAGGCCCAATTGACTTACCCCCTGTGCAGTTGATCCTTGGTTCAATTTTCGAGCAACGAAATACCTAGTCCAGAATGGCTTTTACAGCTTTTGGGACTGGTTCGACGACCGTAGGCCAATCTCCTTCAAACTCCCAAAACATCCTTTCGATGGGCTGTAATTGTACGATGGGCTAACCTCGATGAACCAGGAACATGGCATCCTCTCGGCAGAGTCACTGGAGGTACCCTCTATCCCGGCTTGATGGTAACCAGCGGCGTCATCTACCACCTCCTCCGATTCCTCGCGCTTCCTGTCGATATCCGAAACATTTGCGTGCTTCTCGCACCCGGCTTCTCTGGCCTCACCGCGCTTGCGACGTATCTTTTGACATCTGAAATGGTCACTTCGCCCTCCGCCGGTCTCCTAGCCGCCGCTTTTATGGGAATAACCCCCGGTTACATCTCTCGTTCGGTTGCGGGAAGTTATGATAACGAGGCTATTGCTATCTTTCTGTTAGTCTTCACTTTCTTCCTTTGGATCAAGGCTGTCAAGAACGGATCTGTCTTCTGGGGCGCGTTGACCGCGTTGTTCTACGGATACATGGTGTCGGCATGGGGTGGATATGTCTTCATTACGAACTTACTCCCCCTTCACGCATTCGTTTTGATCTGCATGGGAAGATACAGCCCACGACTCTACGTCAGCTATACTTCGTGGTATGCGCTTGGAACGCTTGCTAGCATGCAGATCCCGTTCGTTGGATTCTTGCCAATCAGGAGTAGCGAGCACATGTCCGCTCTAGGTCAGTGATATTTGCAGCATCTAATTATGCCTTGCTAATTATGTCAGGTGTCTTCGGCCTTCTTCAAGTTGTGGGGTTTGTGGAGTTTGTCCGCACTCAGCTCCCAAGCAAGCAGTTCCAGACTCTACTCCGTGCCCTGGTCCTCATTATCTTCCTGGTCTCCTTCGGAGGCCTGGTTATTCTAACTTTATCTGGTGTCATTGCACCTTGGACGGGCCGCTTCTATTCTCTCTGGGATACCGGCTACGCGAAGATTCACATCCCCATCATTGCTTCCGTCTCCGAGCATCAACCTACCGCATGGCCCGCCTTCTTCTTCGATCTAAGCATGATGATCTGGCTTTTCCCAGCTGGCGTCTACTTGTGCTTCCGAAGCCTGACTGACGAGCAAGTTTTCATCGTCATCTACTCTGTCCTTGCCAGCTACTTCGCCGGTGTTATGGTACGTCTTATGCTCACCCTGACTCCCATAGTTTGTGTTGCTTCTGCAATTGCATTCTCCCAAATTTTGGATACGTACCTGGATGCAGAGATGCCGAAATTAGAGATGAAGGAAAATGGAACCTCTGAGCCTGCTAAGGTGGCCGCGACCGCAATCCTACCCGACGGTCTTCGGTCAACCCGGAGCCCACTCATTGGAGTCTATTCCTACGCTTCCAAGCTGACAGTCGTTGGCGCATCGGCCGTCTACCTTATGCTATTCGTGCTTCACTGCACCTGGGTCACCTCGAATGCCTACTCATCCCCTTCGGTCGTTCTTGCCTCCAGGCTTCCCGATGGTAGCCAACATATCATCGACGATTACCGAGAGGCCTATTATTGGCTGAGACAGAACACACCTGACAACGCAAAGATTATGTCCTGGTGGGATTACGGCTACCAGATTGGTGGCATGGCCGATCGCCCGACTCTAGTTGATAACAACACGTGGAATAACACTCATATTGCAACCGTTGGGAAAGCGATGAGCTCACGAGAAGAAGTCAGCTACCCTATCATGCGCCAGCATGAGGTTGACTATGTCTTAGTGGTCTTCGGTGGCCTTCTCGGATACTCTGGGGACGATATCAACAAGTTCCTGTGGATGGTCCGTATTGCCGAGGGTATTTGGCCCGATGAGGTCAAGGAGCGCGACTTTTTCACCGCTAGAGGCGAGTATCGTGTGGACGACGAGGCCACCTTAACCATGAAGAACAGCTTGATGTGAGTCTTTCCTACTGGCGCCCATCATAACAGCCACTGACTTTGTCATAGGTACAAGATGTCTTACTACAACTACAATGCGCTCTTCCCCGCTGGCCAGGCGCAGGACCGAGTCCGAGGAGCACGATTGCCTGCTGAGGGGCCTCAACTCAGCACCATCGAAGAGGCATTTACCAGCGAGAACTGGATCATTCGAATCTACAAGGTCAAGGATCTTGACAACTTTGGCCGTGACCACCAGAGCGCTGGGGCTTTCGACAAGGGTCACAAGAAGAAGAGGGCTTCAAAGCGCAAGGGCGCAAGGGTGCTGAGGGTCGAGTAAATATTTCACTTTAAACGTCAAATGTTTTCATAGTAAAGGCCTTGGGCATTGTAAAACCAATATGGCAGGCAGGATGAGCGGGCGTTTCGGGAGAATAAAAAGAAAGGTCTAGCCCCAAGTATTAGCTTTCGTGATGTTAAGTGTGTGGTGAGGGTAAATGAGGCAGAATGGGGGTTCAGATGAACCTCACTTTCGTCACGGTGAGAGCACTAAATCTTTGTCGCGGTTGTTATCTCTTCGAAATGGTTGTAGGGTCACCGCCTTGTGGTAAGTGCGCGAAGACCCTGAGGCTTGGCTTTGTCCAGATAGCTTTCACCGCACATCATCATCGGAGTAGCGTGAGCCGTTTACCTTCACGCTCTTTCCTTGCCTTTCTTTCCTTTCTCTTTCCTTCTTCGCGCCCACGCCTTCTATTTTCCTCCTTGCAGTTCGAGCCATCTCTTGTCACGTCGTATCTTAGATTTGGCCTCACCGAGCTTGAAGACCAGGCAGGCCACCGCAGGATTCCCAAGTCCTCAGAAAAATCAGCTAATCCAAAGGTATTAAAGTTACCATTAGTCACAATCCAGTAGCTGCCAAGGAGGAGGCAGCAGAAAGCCAATTCAACATCAGGACACATCGCGGAGGATTGACAAAACTGAAGCTACCTGCCACTCACCCTCTCTGTAAGGCAACTGCCCCATTCACGGGCACAGGTGCCTTCCGGTCTCACATCGCGACTTCCCCAGGAATCGTTCACGAGAGCAAAGATCGTGACTATGTCGGACGAGGAGCAGCGACGGGAGTATGCCCACTACATGGGCGCTACGACCAGCTCGGGCCAGCAATATTTCTACCCTCTGTGAGTTCCCCTCCGTCGTACGGGCTATTATGTGATCACCGAAGCTGATCATTGTTTTGCAGTGTGCCTTATAAACCTACAGATCAACAACAGCTGGCAGAGATCCCTCCCGCCGCACCTAGTCCCCCCATCCCAATGTCGCCCAAGCCGTCGAGCTACGTGTCTCTCCCTCGAAGCTATGCTCCTCTGCCTGCCCAGAATGAGTACGGTGTTTCATGGCACTACAGCGGATCCGGTCCGCCACCCCCCGTCGAAGTGGGCGCTTCAACCGAGATGGTCCCTGTCCCTGCAGCCGGCTCCGTAGCTTCTGAGGTGTACGAGCACAGGAGGTCAAGGGACCGCTACTATCACTGTTCGTGGGACTACCGACCAGAACGTGCTGCATCTCCATCGCCTCCACCGCAGCCGGCCCTCGCTCCAGTGCCCGTCCCTACGGTTCCGGTCCTTTTCTGCCATACGTGTAGCGAGTGCGGGCGGATACGGTCAGCTGGCTTCCACCGCGAGAACCCTATCATCCCCGGCAAACCCGTCGTCCCGGGAGTCTGCAGGCGATGTGAGAAGAAAGAAAATAAAAAGAGTGAGGAAAACGATTGTGTGAAGAAGGTCACTCATATCCGGTCATGCACAGTAGATCCCCCCGAGGAGCCGTGCGACTGGCCATCAAGGTCACGGTCTGTCCACATTCAAATCGGACGAAACGAGCGTCGTGGAAGGCAGCGAAGCAGATCTCGCAGCAGCAGCGAGGACATTCATATCGTGAGCCGCGCCCGCTCTCACGACAAGCCTCGTCCTGTCATTCGGAGGTCTGAGAGTCATACGCGTCTGGGATTACGTCTAATTGAGGACGTCATTCCTGAACCACCGAGTTCGCCAAGGAGGGCTCGGAAAGGTTCGACATTGCGAGTCGCTTCAGTCAGTCCAGTGCGTAACTCCGCTCGCGCTCGTGTCAAGGTTACCCACCGGAACGTGTCCCACTCACCCCCGAGGACGGAATACAAGCCACGAAGCATTTCTGTTGAAGAACGCAGCACGTCTGCAGAGAGGCGTATTGCATCGCATCCCATGGCCTACCGAGCTGTTCTCCCAGATCAACGTGCGTTCTTCGATGGTGCCTCGACCGCAGTCTCTCACACGTCATATCCTCAGACTTCGAGTCAGTTGGCGGGTCAATCCCCCCCCTCCCAAGCACAACCGATCCTGAAGCCTCCGAATATGAGCCAAGAGACCATTCATGGACGTGTAGCAAGTGTATGTCGCAGTCAAGAGAGTACAATGGTTGAAGTGGGTGGTCCTAGGGTTCAGTTCACTCCTAGTACTCGAGCTTGGAGCACAAAACCGATGGCAGGAAAGGGGACTGCAGGAACGACCACGCCAAACACAGCGCACTGGAGCAATATCGCAACTACAGGAGCTAACACGACAAATGCATCAGGGTGGAGCAATAATACAACGGCAGGAAGCGGTGCCGAAGGCTGGAAGAGCAGGGAGAGGCGACATGGAGGTGGCAGCCACAGCAGTGAGGACCATGAACACTACCACCGACGCGTGCGATCAGGTTACCGTCATTATGAACCTCCATCCCTACCAAGTCGCAGCCTTGAGGAGGTACATGTTCGACATGCCCCTCCCCCGCTTCCATGCCGCGCTAGCACCCCACACCCGAATGCTCCAACTGCATCTGAGCGACCTCCCTCCCTTCATAGTTGGTCTCGTGCTCAAACCCCCTTCGACGGCGGCTTGACCCCTGGTCCAAGTGAAACCAAAGATCGTGATCGTGATCGTGATTGGGATGAAGTTACGGTGTCGGACACAACATCACAGAAGTCCGCAGAGGTTGAGATTCTGAGGAAGTGGAAGGGCGTTGATGAACGCGGACATCCCTGTACATTTGTTGAGGAGAGGATGACGAGGTATGTGCCTGAGGGTAAAATAAAGTCGAAGGAGGAACGGGGAAGTTGGCGGGAGGTGTAATGGATGGAGGAGGTTAAAAGTTTGGCAGAGTGGGTTAGGGTGCATTTCGAGGTGGAGGTCGGTATTCTTGCGTTTGTGGGGGGGGGGGGGGGGTGGGGGGTTAAGGGGGGGGGGGTGGTTTTTGGGGGGGGGGGGGGGGGGGGGGGGGGGGGGGGGCTTGGGCTTAAGACGTGGGGAGGAGCGATTTTAGGTGAGAAATCGGGCTCTCCTGAGCCCGTTGTCTCGTCAGGGAGGCTCTTCAATCTTGTTTTTCTCTTTCCCTTTCCTTTCGCTTTTTCTAAGGGTGGATTTTCTGCGATAGCGATGGGGTTGTGTGCTTGCTCGATATCGCTGCATAGTAGATAACCGAAATTTTCGGCTTTCAAGTGTGTATAGGTATCTGGGCATGTAACTTCTTTCCCCTTTTTCTCACTACGGATTAATAGTATCTGACCGGTTCTGCTACTCTTTCGGCTTGTAGGGTAGGTGGTACATATTAACTGTGTCTAGTGCATGGTTCGGGCTTTTAGTTGTGACTAATGATGATTATATGTGATTTTCAGCGCACTATACAAGCTCTTGTCAGCTGTGGAATACAGGAGGCAGTAAATCTTTTGGCTTCAAACCGCGCGGAATACTACAGGGAAGCCAAGCAGCCGGCCAAGAACATCGGGACGGCAATTTTGCTAGTATATGGATAGTATTTATGCATTATCAAGACCTGGAGTCTTATAGTAACAGTTAGGCGTCCTATATTCTAGCGTAATTTCTCCAATGAAAGGGGATGTGGAGGTGGTTGCTGGGGAGGACTTGGACTGTATTGCTTTTAAGCTTCATGACTTCGCTTATTAGTGTCACAATCCGTTCCCAAATCTAGCCGTGGGGCATGGTTTTGCGCTTGATGGGCGGCCAAGGCAAGGCTGTAGCTTAGATGTAGATATGCTATACTGTAGTTTGTTGGTCTAGATTTGGAAGGATTTTATCCGTGGAGGAATTTGGGGGTTAATGTAGTGTATATTGGTATGGATATTAGAACCCTCTGTTGATGGCGATAGCCATGTTAAGTGCTGTCTACGTGTAGAATTTAGGTGGCGATGAGTAAGGGCATGATACGGCTTAGGAGTCGTGTACTTGATGTAATTGCTATACGTGGTAAGCTGCTATAAAGGGGTGGTGTTATATTTGAGGGAGCTATGTGTGAAGTGTGAGTTTTGTGTGATTTGCAAGTCTACATACATCTCGCCCTCTCCTTACAACCTGCTCGTAGGGTGCGTATCCTAATCATCTTTTAAGTATATCTCTAGCGCGTTCAGCCAACTATCTACACATTTCATGTAATTTCGTACTATATCATTCCATTCTATTCCATTACCGAGTTTGGTTGGTCTGCGGCCTAGGGGGGGTATTTCTTGCGTCTTTCGGGATTCAGTGGCAATAGGTACAATTTAGATGACCGCAAAGTTTCCAATATAATATCCAGCCTTTCTACTATGACTCTTTACCCCCGCGCCTGGTAATTCTGACATCCGTTAGCTATTTACAGATTTCGAGGGAGTACAGGGGAGCAGAGGGGTGGATGAGAAGGGAAGGGATCACTTACAATGGTGGCACTCCCAAATAAGCGTCTGGGGCCCAGAGCTGTTGGCAGGCTCCGAGACCTCCATGATAACTATTCTGTTACTAGGCTTAGTGGTAGCTAGTTCGTTGGATAAGTATGTGTATTGTTTGGTTTGGGAGATTAACGTCTTTTTGGCACTTCTTTTGCTCTCAATCTGAGGAGCTTGGGATATATATTCTGTCATGGATCGGGGGTTTTTCGGGGGATTTTGAGAGTTTATATACCCCTACCCTCAACCCTGTTCCAATGGCTTGGTTTTAGAAGAGAGCCATATTTGAAGTATCACGCAATGCTGATGTCAAAGCGCAGGCCTTAGAAGTTAGCATTTGTATAGAAGGAGGTATTGATATTAGCGATAGAATGCATGAACGTATGCAAGCTAGCGATGTCGTGGGAGGTGAGTTGTTTTATTTTTATTTTTCTTCGTAGGTTCAAGAACGCTTCGGGGGGTCAAGGACGCTCAAGGATTTACGAACAGTTTGTAGTGAGTGTAAAAGTCATGAGGGACGAGGTATATAAACGAATCAAGATTTTGATTCACCGGGAGGTTCAATCTCGGACGCTCGGTTTGGATGAGTGGAGTGGAAATTAAAATGTTGCAACAGGATGTCACTATTCAAGCTAGATATATAGAGGGGATGTTCGAATGAAGAAGTAATAGCTGCGTCATATATGGACATGGTGAGTTTTGAGTGGACCCGGATGTTCAGTCAAAGACGTTTCGGTAGGGGTTGGCAATTGTAAAAAGAAGAGGAGAGAGTAGAGCAACTTCATGAGGTACGAATAAGCCACAATGAGTTAAGATAAATTCTAATTCATATGCAGATTTGTTACGCAAGTTTAGAAGCTCGAGCCCCATCAGAGAATCAAACACTTCTAAACTAGAAGGCATTCCACACCAGCTAGCTAACAACACCCTACCCGACCATGTTTAAACTCGACGTCAGGGAACTTGGCCTTCCTTCACGGATATTGAAATCCTTTAGATTTTAGCAGTTCACATATTCCCCTTCTATGTTGGTTGCTAGCTGGGATTTTGGAGGAATAAGTTAGGGCTTGTTACATCGCTGTCACAAGTCTAAGATGTCAAATGATTCTGGTTACTATTGATGAAGCGTCCAGCTCATCATCTCCGACCGTTCATGCACTACTACAGTAATAACACTATTCGTACGCCCATTCAGGTTTCTCGGGCCTAGAATATTGGCAATTGATATCTTGACATGTATCTTCAGTGACTGGACTCTCCTCTTTGCCCATATTTCTACGTAGCCTTTCTCCTACATCATAAGGTTTGTGGGAAATTTTAAAATCGTTGTATCTCTAAGCTACTATCAGCGCTGTTTGTACTAGAGGCGTGTTTTAGCTGGCGACGAGTTGTCGGTAGAAAAACTTGTGGGTTTTCGGTGGTGTTTTAGTCTCGTAACTAATCTCGTATCATAGTTTAGGAGTTGTGGTTGCTGATTTGGAAATTAGAGTATGGAACACCAGGGATTATGTACCTCTGCATCCTCCCCCATGCCACGTACGTGACCCTTTCAAAAGGGCATGAAGAGCGCCAATATGAAGACTCCACGCCCTGTTATGGAGTGGCATCCTAGGGCCGAGAACTGAGGGTGACCTAGGACAAGTCTTATTGTTTGCCTCCGTTAGGTTGACGGGCCTAAATTTCGTAAGAGGCGGCGAGTAAATCGGTATATACAGCCGTGTGAATGCTTAGGATGTTGGTGAAGGCTACGAACAGTGTGAGGTTGAGTGATGCTACAGGTTAAGATTTCGAAAGTGGCACCTAAGAAACTGTTGAAGGACGGCCACTTAAGTGAAGGACGAGCCAGGTAGTTGGTGGGGAGCTGGGTTCAACTTACTACACATATATGTATATTGACTTCCCATGTCACACCTTTGAAGCGACTTCTCATAGTCCAAAGTACAAAGACTAAAAATGCATCCACTATTCACGCCACGACAGCTGATTCTTCGGAAATAGCAGTGAAGCGTCCAATTCAAATATACGTGTTTACATCTTCAATATTAGCGCGTTTGATGAACAATGCTCATACGTGATAGAAGCCAGCTCTTGAAGTATATAATGACCAGTATCCGAGCTGCACTATGGTTCCTCAGAAACCTACCACAACATTCCACAATCGAGAAAGAAACATATTACTCACAGTCAATTCTTAACTCTCTCCAACAAACCCCAGAAAACATGTCTGTCCCCTACAAGTGGACTTGCTGTCAATGCGAGAAGGAATTTGACGGACACGAACACCCAGAATATTGTCCTGATTGCGATCACCCATATACGGTTTGCAAATATTGCGCAAAGGACACAAAATAAAATGAACCATACCTTTGAAGACCGAGGATACGGGAGGGGTGCGACTAGCTGCTTGGATCTCCACGATGACTAGTGCTGGACGCTAGCGATATGGGGTCCACAGCTATTTGCAGGAGAGGAATGCGAGTTGACTGGACCTGAAATAAATAGCATATTTGCTCTCAAGCAATAACAGGAGCAAAAGGACGGCTACTTTATTTAGACTCCTGCTAGTACTCTCTTCTAGGTCTTTCGCATCGTGGCCGTTCTCAATTTATTATAAATATCAATCTTCCAACTCCTGCAATTACAGAGTCTCTATCCCCTTCACACACCATCTTCAAACACCTCTCTAGAAGTTTTCAACATGACCGATCTTCCCAACGAGGTGATTATGATATCTTCGTCTCTACTTCGATGCTCCGAATGAAGACAGAGGCAATCCGAGTTTAAATTACCAAGCCTTTACCAGTTTGTCACTCGTTTCCAAAATGTTCCATTTGATCACGGGTCCGCATCTCTATCACCTTATCTTCATGCGACATCTTACCTATCACGAGGGGTATGCCAGGTCTCTGACAGACCCTTGTGATGGGAGACCGGGAACTACAGAAAAATTCGAGCCATCACTCTGTCTCCGGACACTATGGTAGTGCGTGGCATCAAAGACGGAGGCCTATTTTGTTTGATCTTCAATCTATCTGCTGCAACGCCGAGTATCTTTATATTTCTGGATATTTTAGGTAGATATGGCTTTCCGAACTTTCCATTTTGTTTAAGCTCATAAGTTTCATTTCCAACGCTAATGTCTAGAAATCGTACGGGCTATAGCCACTCCTTCGTCTCCCAGAATTGGAGACATTAGAGATTGGAGGAAAATGCTTTCCTATCAGTCCATATGAGTCGCAATTACCGGAATGGTCTCAAACGGAATCAAACATAAATAACTTCCTTTCCATAGGCTTGGCATCGTTGGGTGTCCTTGGTAAACAGTTGCAGTGTCTAAATCTCAGAACCAAGAGTCAGTTTCGTTTCGAGGGTTTCATCTTGATCATCACTCCTGGTTTGAGCACTTTCGACATCGTTTTATGGAATGCAAACTTCGGAGATTGGAAATTGTGTCTGGGAAAACGATTTCTACCGACATCCTCGCCGACAGGGTCTGAAACTAGAAGATGAATACTCCGTGCAAGATGATATATATAGCCTCGGAGTTTGACTGCTGGAGATTGGGCTTTGGGAGTCTTTCGTTGCCTACGCTTCCTACGATGCTGAGCCGGTACCCTCACCGGTCCTTTCGAGGTTGATGGAAGTAGAAGATGACCAGGCCACAAAAGCCATGCTTGTGAAGGAAGATTTGGTTGATATTGCCAAACAGAAGCTGCCGAGCCGGGTGGGGGATAATTACACTGGTGTCGTAGTAAATTGTCTCAACTGCCTGGATGGAGCAATGTTGACTTTGGCGACCGAAGTGAGTATGAAGATAAGGATGGAATACTAATAGGATTACTATATAACGTACTTTACAGGCGAGTTGCTCACACACCTAAGTTACTTACTTTTGCTAAGACCCTACTAAACTACCTTTCTTACACTAATGCATTCCCTATAACACTACTTAGACGTGCTAAAAAAATATTAGATATAGCTTACACTTTAAGCTTTTAAATAAAACATAAAACTTTTAAAAAAATGTGCTATAGCTATATATAAAGTTTTATAAAAAATAATAAATAACTATAGCACTAGATAATATTTATAAGCTAATTTTACAGCTAAATTATAAAAGCTAGGTAATAAAAAAAAGTAAGTAATTATTAAAACTATACTTAAGCTATATACATAAGAAATTTCCCCTTAGATAGCATTTATAGCTAATATAGCTAATTCTTTACACGCTAAGCAGAATTTAGGCTATGTTTGTAACAAGGTTAGCACAGTTAACTATGTAGCCTTCTCTTGCTTATAGAGGTTTAGGTTAGGCTAGAGACAACTGCTAGTGCTAGTGCTTACCCTAGCATTACCTATATATATATTATACTATGCGAGAATACTTAGCTTAAGTATTCTTATGCGTACCTTTTAGTATAGTAGGGAAAGTTGTATAGTATTAGCTTAGCAGGCAGGGCGCCTACCTTATTATAATGTTTACATAAACTAGCCTAGTATGTTTATAAAGTGTTATTTAAAGCTTAAAGTAAAGTTTTAAGCGCAAGTATAGTTAAGAGATATTTAGCTAATTTTAAAGCCTATCTTACTAAAGTTATATGTGTTATTATTTTAAATACTATACTTAGCTTTAATATTCTCTATAAGGCTAAACTTACTCTAAATTACTTTAGAACTTTTATAAAAAGCTCTTTTATAGTTATACTTATGCTTAAATGTTACTTTAAGCTTTAAATAACACTTTACAAACATACTAGGCTAGTTTATGTAAACATAGCCTAGATTACGCTTAGTGCGCAAAGAATTAGCTATATTAGCTATAAATACTATCTAAAAGAAAATTCTTTACATGTATAGCTTAAGTATAGTCTTAATAATTACCTACTTTTTTTTATTACTTAGCCTTTATAATTTAGCTATAGAATTAGCTTATAAATATTATCTAGCACTATAGTTATTTATTATCTTTTATAAGACTTTATATATAGCTGTAGCATATTTTTTTAAAAGTTTTATGTCTTATTTAAAAGCTTAAAGTATAAGCTGTATCTAATATTCTTTTAGCATATTTAAGTAGTGTTGTAGGGAATGCATTAGTGTAAGAAAAGTAGTTTAGTAGGGTCTTAGTAAAAGTAAGTAACTTAGGTGTGTAAGCAACTTGCCTGTAAAGTACGTTATTAAAAAAGTAAGCAAGTCTACACTTATCTACAACACCATATTTAACGCAGATAGATTCTGCTCCAACTCAATAGCATTTCGGTCTGAAGGTCAAATAAGATAGAGGTTTGTTCGCCAAATGCTTCCAGGTAGGCGGGAATCATAAGTCTGCTCGTGTGCCGACAGCAAGAAAGCTTTGTTCGAAGTGGACAACATGTTATCACCGAAAGTGGAACGTAAGTAGAGTTGAGTTCATCTATTAAGCCCATTACTAGAATAAGACAAGAGGTCATTAAGGTACAAAATTCTGCCCTGAACTACCTTGGTCATGTTCTATGTTACCGGTAGATGATAAGATGGAGTACGTACACATGAAGGGCTAATAATAATGAGACATACCTGTGCTCCACTTGTTTCTCCAATAAAAACTTCGGCTTCTATGATTTTACTGTCTGGCTCTTGAGTCCCTGAAGGGAAGCAGGGTCACAGCGCTATGGAACAACCTGGAAGGCAAGAACACACGTGACTCAAAGATACGAAGCTTTTGTGCCAAGACGCTAGCACAAAACATCTGTCGCTGCCCACCTCAAAAGTTCTTCGTGAGTGATCGTCAATACCGTCCTCAAGCCCAAGTCAAACTGCGTCCGATCAATCATGGGGAAACGCAAGCGACACTACCAGAATGCCGATGAGCCAGCCCCCAAGTTCGGACTTGCGGCAGCTCTTGCGCACCTCAGGAAACCCGAATTGCCTTACGAAAAGCCTACAGACACAGCCGAGGACGACGACGAAGGCTGGATTACCGTCGGGAAGGGTGGGCGGCCGTTGAAGAAGCAGAAGAAGGAGGGAAGCGACCACCATAGCTCGCACCACCCTCGTCGTACCGAGGTAGAATCTCCAAAGCAGAAGCAGAAACGGGATCTCGGGGAACACAGCGAGCGCAAACATTCTTCTAAGGATCACTCGAATCGGTATTCCAAGAAAGCGAATAAATGTGGCAAGGATGAAAACCAGTACCCTTCAATAGATCATTCCCACAACACACGTCTTCAGTCCCACCTCAAAATAACCGACTTGCAATCTCTCATATTGTATATACTAGCAGATGGCTTTGGCCCGCAATGGGTTGCTGTTCGGCATCGCAGTTCTATACGACAGGTGGTCGTGCTCATGGTTCCTGGCTTAGAGCAAGGCATGTTTACAGGCAGGATAGCTCTAGAATCTCCTCAGCCCTCCCTGCCTACTGGAGAGGCTGGGATATTGATTAACAACTCACCTGCTACTAATGCCATCAAAGAACAACAGAGCACATCAAAGCGACTGGAGATCTCACCCGACGACTACTACCCGGTCAGCCTCAGACCCCAACGTATGCCGGAATCTCTCAAGCCCTTCGCGGACATCTTCCCCCACGTCTGGCCGATTAGAGCTGTAGCGGAATCGCATGGTACCCAGATTTTCAGGGTACTGTCGCCGATGCACACGATGTTGACATCGCAGATGCCGAAGACGAAGGAAGAGAGACAAATTCGAAAGAATTCAGGGCATAAGGGCCCCGTGCCTCAGAATTCGAAAAATTGGGAGAATAAACGTACATCAATCACTGAATATCTTGCGGATCTGCTAGCACAGAAGGAGAATGAATATGTGGTGCACCCAGCGTGGTATACTACGCAAGAAGCCAAGGAGGCAGCGCATCGACAACGCAAAGAGGCCAAGCAGGCGTCAGAGGATGGGTGGGTTGATACGAATGTCACTAATCTTGAGGACGGCACCGTGCCTGATAATGAGATCGAGCAGGGTAGTGTGACTGCTGGAAGAGATATCCTGGTCATTGACTGTGAAATGTGCAAGTCAGAGGATGATGTGTTGGTGCTCACGCGGATCAGTATGCTTGACTGGGATGGCAAAGTTGTCCTTGATGAACTTGTAAAGCCAGATGTGCCCATCAAGGACTATCTCACACAGTACGTGCCCGTCAAAATAAAGAAGAAGCTACGCTAATCCTTGACAGGTTTTCTGGTATCACGGAAGCTATGCTGAAAGATGTCACGACTAGTCTATCTGATATTCAGAAGCGGTTGCTAGAGATCATCACCCCGCGTACTATTCTACTTGGACATTCTTTAAATTCTGACTTCAACGCTCTCAAGCTCACTCATCCTTATATTGTTGATTCTGGAATCATCTACCCGCATCCCCGAGGACCGCCATACAAGCAGTCGCTAAAGTGGCTAGCCCAGAGATATCTCTCCTTAGAGATCCAGAAAGGGACCAAAGGCCACGACAGTGTGCAAGACGCCCGCGCATGTCTTGATCTAGTCAAGCAGAAATGTGAACGTGGTCCACGATGGGGAACCAGCGAAGCGAACTCGGAATCAATTTTCAAGAGGTTGGGTCGGGTATCACGTCCCAACACTCATAAGTCCTCTTCCGACGGAGAACGATACAGGACGGGCGCTGTCGTAGACTGGGGAGATCCTACTCGAGGACATGGTGGCCAGGCACGAGTAGCAATCGGATGCAAGAGCGATCAGGACGTGGTCGAGGGTATCGAAGCTGCTGTAAAGGGCCGTGCAACAGGCAATGACGGCGCAACGACAAAAGTGGACTTTATATGGGCTCGGCTTCGCGAACTTGAGCTGGTTCGTGGGTGGTGGGATGACGCGAAGACAGCCGACGTAGAAGAAATTCGAACAAAGGCCCTTGAGAGGTTGGGACGAACATCTTCTGATCTAGAAGATGGCACGGAGGTAACTGGCTCAGAGCTCGGAGATGCCGTTGCCCGAACTGTCGACTACATTGTCAAAGTCTTCGAATCATTGCCACCCTGTACTGCATTCATCGTGTACAGTGGAACAAGCGATCCTCGAGAAGTGCGCCGGCTGCAGAATATGCGGCATCAATATCAACGAGAATTCGCGACGAAAAATTGGGATAACCTGAGCGTCAAATGGACGGATACAGAAAACCAAGCCCTCTCACAGGCGTGCAAAGCTATCCGAGAAGGGGTTGGATTCATTGTGGTAAAGTGAGAGGATTATTTGTGTGTCAGTTGTGCTACCGCGCGGTCGGATGGAAGTGGCACATTGTTTCAAGGTGGAGTGCCATGGCATTGTACGTCGATATAGGCTCACGAGGGAGATAGTCTGGCTTTACGGGCATTGTACGCCAATATAGCTGTTTGGTGTAGGGCATTATACGGGAGATCACGCTGGCACGACGGTTGTGTCGGCTCCGGCCTGACCCATTGTGGAGGCAAAAGTGTTGAGGCAGAGGTGAATTGATCCAATCGAAACGTGGACAGTTGAATAATCAAGAATAGATTTAGGCCTCAAATGTTTAGCGTCATAATTCCATCGGTGCGGCGATTCCCAGATTGTGAAACTGTTGTCATTGATATGCAAAAAGAGATCCCTGTCAGCAATCCCTTGCGCTGGTGGGTTAATCTAGCGCAGGGCTATAATGGGACAGGGGTTCCTAAGTCGAGCAGATGGCTTCTGCCGCGCCACATCGGGATGGGGTGACGGGGGCTCGCAGAAGAACAGGAGATAGATGATCCGGTACAGCGCTCCTATTTACTGTGGGCGCGAGAGGGAATTGCGGGCGTCGTAAGATTTGCTGGAACTGTTGGCCTTGGTGTTTTTCCTCCTGCGTCTGGCCCAAGATAGCAGCGAAGAAGCGAGCCGCGATTCGTGTTGGTCGGCTCGGCGGACATTTTCAAAGAGTCAATACGTGCTGCACTAAGTGCCAGGCATTATTGACCTCGTGAATTATTATTAACTGCTATCGTAGGCAGGGCGGAAGCGGTGATAATGACGAGCGACCGCTGTGAGTGGCCGGCCTGCGTGAATAGCGAAATACCAGCAATAACCACCTTGCGTGGGCGTGATGATGATAGGCAGTGGTGCCATTCGCGGGCGGGTCAACCGCGCTGGGAGATGTGAAAATTGAACTAGCTCTGGACTGATCTAGTGAGTGGCAGGGTTTGGCTTGACCTGAGCAACGCAAAGCAGCTTTCGTAATAGAATGCACCTATCCATCATTGAAACTAGGCCCTGCAGGGTAAAAAGCACCACGCTCCGCTTGCTAAACATGGAATATCTTTGCTAATTATCGACTTCGACGCCCATTCCCTCTCTAAGTCTCTCACTCTCGGTCTGACGCTTTCTTCCTTGTCTTTTTGCTCTCAGCATTCGCTATTGCTCACAATCGCGCCCTCTCGCCACTCCCTTGAAACGGTGAGGCGCTCCGCTCACGGCCACACACGCGCTCAAGAGTAGTCGTCTCCGACCGCTGACCTTTGCGTCACGCACTCCTGTTCCTTCGCCAGTCAGCAATTCCCCGGCGACGCCTTTGCTTAAGGCGTTGGCGCAGCGGGCCCCGCTCACTTGCGTCGATCGAAACGAGTGCAAGGCTCAATCTCACTGCTGAACTGCTATTTCCATCGGCGTCGACGCTCGTCAACGTCCTCGGCCTATTTTTTGATGAGCTGCCGTTAGCCCTCTCAACCTTGGAACCCTTGGTTACCTTGGGCAAGGGACGTGGCCAGGCCCAATCCAGCAGTTAATTGTCCAGCTCATGGCGGGGACGAGACGGCGCCCTCGTATCAGTGAGCAGCGCTCGACATGGCGTGCATCAACCATTGCCGAAAGTGTTGACGATGGCGATGATGGTGGTGTAGTCGAGGTGGCCGACAATGTCGACGACGACGCCCGCCCGCAATCGCCAATGAATGTGAACCGCTCCACGACGGCCGTCTGCAAGCGCTGCAGAGAGGTTGTGGGTGACTTCTACAATTCGTGGCACAAGATCACGGGCTCCTACTACCTACCCGCGCTACTCGGGTCATACAGTAGTAAATTGCAAGCGAATGGTAGGCAGAAGGCTGCGACAGCAGGGACAGATATAGAAGGATGGTAAGCTGGCCGACCTGAGGGTTCCCTTTCTGCGTCGTTACACAGTTCCCTTTCCCAGTGGAGCGTCGATATTCCCCTAGCATTTATGAGCTTATCCCGGCACCAATCAATTGGGACATGGTATTTTAATTTTTTTTAAGCGCGTCTGCACTAATCGGCCTTCCCAAATAATTTCCACACTATACATTTATCATCTATTAAACCCGCCTGTCCGCATTGCGCTGCACCATCGGTTTGACACTTCTACTGACACGCCCTCACAGTCTGATCCAGCCGCTGGTGTGCCCCAGCTGCACCGAGACACTCGGCATTACGGCCGTTGATGCACCAGACAGCAAGAAGGTCTTTCGGTGAGTCTTTGTTCCTTTGTCCATCCCCCTCAATTTGAAGCCGTGGCCTTTTCCGTTCCGATTTTCCCTGATCCGCGCCCTGTGTGGCGCTGGACTGGCCGGGGTTTGCATGCGCACCGCCTGCAGCGTGTATTAACACCACGACGGGGGCACAATCAAGCCAGCATTCCATAAGTCACTGCTAACGTATATATCGCTGCACAGCGGCCGCGACTTCTTCAAACTGCCCCGCATCGAGCTGCGATGCGAAGTGAGTCCAAGTAAATTCGTAGTGGTAGAGCCCCACGTCGACCCGGCGTCCGATCCGCTGGCCGTTGAAGACGATTCCGACAAGTCGTCCCCAGTTCCAGAAGGCACGATAGGCGACATGGAGGTTGACAGCCTGCCGCATGCATCCCAACCATCCCCGCCGTCGGGTCTGGGTTTGCCTCACCAACACCAACACCAACACCACCACCACTATCACCACCAACCGCTGCAGCAGGTTGAGGCAAACCGCCAGCCACCACCCCAAGTCCAGTCGCCATTAGGCCTGCACGTCACGTCGCAGAAGTCACCCAGCAACCCGCCGCCCGCGAAGCCGCCGGTTCAAGTTCAAGATGTACCCAAGTACACGGCGCAACCACCAACGCCCAAAGAGGGAAGTACCGGCCTGGCCAATCGCACCCGCGACCTCCCTCCAGTCATGTCGCATGCCCACTCGCATTCGCAGTCTCCCGCTGGTGAAGCCCAAGGCCAGCGTGCCAATGGCCAGCTCTATCCACGGTCGCCTCAGGAGGTGCAACTCGATGCCATTGAGCGTCTGCAGACTCAGGTCTCGCAGAACAGCGGCGCCCTGACAGTCCATGGCCGCGACTTGCAGCGCTTTGAGGAGGCCGCGAAGCGCCAGGAGGAGAATCTCCGCCACGAGTTCCAAGCCCAGTTGCATCGCCAGAATGTCGAGCTTAGGCGGGTCGACGACGCAGTGGTCAGACTGCAACATGAGATGGGAGGTATCCACGACCTCCTCGAAGCGCTCTCACGTGAAGTGCAGGCTTCCAGAGAAGTGCAGGCTGGACGAATGGCCCCCGTAGTTCCAATCACGGCCCCTACAGCCCAGGACTCGGCGCTCGAACTGATGGCAAGCAAAGTGTCGGTGGTTTCCCAAAAGGCCGACGAGGTCGACATGCTAAAGATCACCATTGAGATCATGAAGAACAAAATTCAACGCCTCGAAGAGGCCACACTCGCACCCCCCCAATCGACCACGCATACATTCCCATCTCCGGGAGAGCCATCAGTCCACTCTGCCCACTCTTCGCACACTGTGCCATCCTTCCACGCAACTCCGTCGACCGTGCCACACATCAACACCCCAATCCACCCCACCCAAAGACCTGCATCCTTCCATTCCCACGGCAGCCACACCACCGCCACCCCGGAAGTGTCTCAAAGGGCTGATCCCGCACAGTCCCAGAGTGGGTGGGTGACTGTCAATGCGAGCGTGAAACGCTCCCACCCCAATGGCATCGACGGCCCGCACGATTCCCTCGGACAACCGGTCGGATCGCCCAAGCGCCCGAAGCTTGCTCCCATTGAGCCACGCGTCGGATTTGGCAACTCTCAGGCTCCTCCGCATCAGCAGCAGCATGTTTTCTACGACCACATGGACACTGATGATTCTGAATCGAGACTTCACACCCACTCTCACTCGCTGCCGCAGTCTCAGACTCATTCCCGCGAATCCCTTGTCGAGGCCCCTCTCCAATCGCAGCCCTCAACTTTCGTTGCCTATGGAACACAAGAGGCTCCTTCAGATGATAGCTGGCGACCCGAATCCCAACGCATGATTGTTGACCATCGCAGCCCAAGGGGTCGTGGGCGAGGAGGGGGACCAGGCAGCCGTGGGGGTCGTTCGCGGAAGAGCATGCCTATACATGGCGAGCTCGGCACACCAGAATGGGAGAAGGAGGATTGGCAAGGTGTAACGGATTCGCAGACCAGCCCAGATGGTTACTACAACCATATTGCGCGTTCCGGGCGTGGCATCCTTCGTCGTGGGAGCGGTGGCGGTGGCAATGTGCCACGTGGTTCGCGCCCTTCGAGCTCAAGCGGTCGTGCAGTCAGCTTGGGGATGCAGGGTGTAACGGCCGGCCCAGTCGTCAGTATGTCGCAAGATCCGTATGCGCATACGAAGAAGACGCGAACAAAGCCGACTCGAAATGCCGACGGGATCCTCATACGCAAAGATGGTCGACCGGACATGCGCTCGCAGTCCTCTGCCGCTAATCTCCGCAAGGTGCACGCCAGGAAGGAAGAGCAGAAGACTACTTCAGACCGCTCGTTTACTCCCACTAACCTCCACCATAGCAGGGACGCAGGCGCCGAGACACCTAGTCCGACCACCTTTGCAGCGGATGGCCAGGATGTGACGGCGAGTGTCCAGAAAAAGCACAACTTAATTATGGGAAAGATGTTCCCAGGTGGTGTTGAGACGTCGAGGAAGGAGCATGACTATGCCCGGCAAGTCTTTGAAGAAGGACAAGGACACACTGCTCAGCCTCGCCGCGGCCAACACCATCTCCACCATCAGACTACACATTCACCACTCGAAATTAAGCGCGAGCAGGCCGAAGAACGCCGTGTTATCGATTCTCAAAGCCCTAATGAGGCTCACACTAATGGCGACATCGATATAGATCGTGTCGAAGATCACGCTGATGACGAAGGCCAAACCCCAAGCGGGCAGAGCGATAATTCAGGACGGGAAAGCCAGTATCATGATGCGCCTAGTCATGATGAAGAGCCAGCGCAAAACAAGCCGAAGGAGAACCGTGTTCCTGAGATCCAGGCTCAGCAATCCACTGTTGACTCTTCGGCGACCCCAGACGAAGCGCCCGCAAGTACAATACCAAAGAAGGCGTGAAGTGGTTGATTAATGGATCATTATATTCTATTCCTCGCCGACCCCGGATTTATACTGTTTATAGCCTTTCACAGGCAAGGCACCTAGAGTCAAAAGTTCGATTTTTTTTTTCTCTTTAGTAGGAATTTTATTTTCACGGAGTTTTTGGTGGTATTGTGTTCACTAGTTGGATTCCTCTTTTGTCCAACCGGCTTGAGTCACTCGCAGAAGGCCGTTTAAACCCTATTTCTCGCTAGGTGGACATTTCGTAATTTTCAACTCTTATTCCTTTTTCTCTCAAACCTTTCTTAGGAAAGCAAATTGTACCAATAGTTAGATGCAGGACTCACATCATCTTTTCGTCTCATCACATTACATCCTCAGATTGGATAAATTAGCGCGAGCTACAAGTACAACAAACTCCGTATCTTATCTATTGCTTAATTAGATTAAGAATCTGAGTAATCGTGTAACCACCCCTTTTATCCATTATCCCTTATCCCTTCTCCTATTGATCTATGCGGGTCTATTGTATACTCGATCCGGGTGCGCATGTGCCGGGGGCTCGGGGCTCTGGGTTCTATACATACAAGTCTTAGTTAGCATTTTGCCGCTTTGTATGAATGAAAGACGGGACATATATCTTGTGACGCATGCCATGCATAGGGGAGGCATTTAGGCGCCGAGGCGAACTTTGGTGTGCGTTTCGGGTTGAGGGATGGGGCGGGATGATGTAAGATGTGGGTGGTTTTAGGATGGGACTTGGGGGCGAGCGAGGGAGGGGAGGGGCGGGGATGAAGAGGGTTGCGCAGGTCGGGAGGGGGGGATTGTGATATTTGGATTTTGTATATGTGCTCACTGCTTTGCAAGTATTCTCCAGACTTACGGGTCTGGGTTCAGAGCCAGATATAACAATTGAAAGGCTTAAATTGCTTTCATTTAGGCACCAATATTTGACTAGGCCTTTGCTCGTCTTCCGAGTCACCGCTAACTATGGCTACAGACAGGGGGTAGACATCTCTATACTGTCGTGCCTATGGTCTTACCTATGTTCTCCAATTCCCTCCACGACATCCTTCATTCGTTTATATGATACCACAACGGATGTTTCTCCATCGATACTAGGCGAAAAGGCGTCGAACTTGCTACCTAGAATTCCTACACAGTGGAAGAAGGAAGGGTCCGCTTTTTACATCTCCGCCGAGGTCGAAGAACCTTACCGCACTACCAGCCTACCTCGTTACATGATCGCTGGTTCTTCGGTTCGAAAGGAGGTCGATGATGATATTCTTCTAGCGAATCCTTCTCGTTTTCCATCATTCCAACAATATACTCCCCTAAATTAGCCTGCTGTCTCGTTCTCCACAAACAAGGATTTTCTGTTGGTACGTGGACGGCTTGGTGCTTGAATTCTAGGTATCGCTTCTTTTTTGGGGTTTTGGATACTGGGTGATTGGGTTGTTAGGCTTGTGCGGCTTGAAGAACGGGGGAGCGGTGAGATAGGACCTAGCATCTACTTAGTAGGAGAAGGCGTTGCTCCGGCTCGGAAACAAAGAACGAGCCCAGTTAATCTCGCTCTCTACAAACGAGGATTCTCTGTTGCTGTGTTGAAAGTTCAATTATTGAATACTGGGTATCGCGCTTCTTCTTCAGCAGAGGAACTGCCACTTCGCGGCTCGGCGCGACGGCGGAGCTAATAGATAGAAAGGAATTATAAACAGAAATCATGATACCAGTTCACGTAGACCAGTTGCTGAAGGCTTTAATGAAGTAAACCTTCCACCTGGGTTCGCTGCTGGATCTGCATTGGTGGTTCAGAGCCTAAGGGCTAAAGCACAATGCAGCAGTTGCAAATTTCTTCAAAGGACCGTCCAGATGTCATTCAACAGGCCATGACATACGAAAATGAAGCCTATTCCGTTCATCATTTCTAGTATTATCCGCACCGCGAGGTTTGCAAGTGCTGCGGCGTCGAGTCAATTTCGCTATATAAGAGTCCGGTTTGCCGGAGTCACAAATAACCACAGTCAAAGTTTTTGTGCCCAATCCTGCATTTGTCCGTCTTAATTCTAGGAGACGAAGCGAAAACTGAACCGGCATACCCACAGCGCAGAGGAAGTGGCACTTGTGTGGCCCCATAGCAGCATTGTGAAATGCAAACAAACGAGTTAAATATCTTGACAGAAGATGTGCAGATGTTTTTACCTGAGGTGAAAATAGTCCCATGCAGTAGACGGGAAGGACAGAGGTGTGAGTTGTGCGGGAAGGTGCGCTGGAGGCACGCGAACCACCTCAGCGACAAAACCGTCTAAGAAATCATGAAACGCGAAAGGAACATTAAATGCGAGAAAATTTGACGTGCTTAGATTGACAGAGTGATACTGACATATTCAAATGTTTCAATTGTCCCCAAACCAAAAAAAACCCTCACAAACCTGCCCTCCACTCGGTAGAGCATTTGTCTTAGCGTAATTGGGCCTTGAGAACCCCAGAACCTCGACAAAGAGGGCAGGATCCTAACTGACTCGCTAAATGTGCTCAACGAAATCCCACTTAAAAAAACGCAAAAAAATGGGTCTTGCCGCGATTCGAACGCGGGGCCTCTCGCAAACGTACTCAGGGTTTTCCCTAAGCGAGAATCATACCACTAGACTTGAGGATGTTAGCTTCTGATGGTGGATACGGAGTTGGAGAGAAGGTACATACCCACAAGACCATTGCGCTTATCGCTTGATTGATGCTGAAGTTTAAAATTATTTAAATTATATAGGCTTCTTTATTCCGAAAGGATTATTGAAACATTTTAGTAGTGCAAGAAATTCGGGTGAGGGGCCTTTAATTAGGCAGAACATCGGTAGCGGACACTTGAGGTGTGATATTTGCGGTGTGGCTTCCGCACTTTATGTGTACTGGGGCCATCTCCGTTCCGACTCCTCGACTTCAGCGTCTGCCTTCATCAATTGTTCCATCGCAACCTTCCGAAAATTCCCCGTCCCCGAAGCGGTCTTCCCCGGGATTCCCGGGGATTTTTTTCCTTCCCGGACAAAGCCTTCTTGAACTCGTCCCGGCTGCCTGTTTCTCCACGCTGCGGCTGGATCTCGTGTTACGTGCTGCAGAATGAAGCGGGCCTCTCGCCGATTGCTCTTTTCACGACAACTGCCTCAACTTGACTCCGGGCTGGGAATGTCAATTGATCCCTATTCCTACCTGGGCGAGCAGAATGGGGCGTCTTTTTGTTCCCACGGGTGTGTTCAACAATTCTCTACGTTCAGATACATTTTATTAACACTCCTCAGGCGAAGGACAACACCCCCTCGTCCCTCGAACCCCTGAGCCCCTTCCCGCACACTCTGTCCATCTTAGTGTATGTTGTTTACTATCCGGTATATGGACAGCTGGGTGCTCCATCTTCGGAAGGGCTCGACCAGGCACCTTCCTACGAACGTCGGCCTCTGTTACCGCCGGGTTCGTCCTCTGGGATATCACAAAAACCTATTCAGCACGGCAACTCTTCCTTCCCGCACTGAAAAATGCTGGCATTGAGAAGCCGAAAGCGTGGAAATTATGGGAGAATAATGGCAAGTTTACATTGGACGATGCGGCTTTAGGGGGAGGTGTCCTCGGTCTCATCTGTGCCTTGCGGCCAACTGCATTCCCGGGGGTCAGGGGTTGGCAGCGCTTTTTAGGAGCAGCATCTGTTGGCTGGGCTTTTGGCGGAACTAGTGCGGGATATTATTTTCGTGCTAGCCAGCATTTTCAGATGGCCCTTGCAGTAACACATTATCAAGAGCTCCAGGAAGCAGTCACCCTGCAAGTCTTAGCCAATGACGACAAGTTCGTAGCGTCACTTACGAAGGTAGGAAGATGGTATCTCAAGTACCTCACATGGAACACCTCACATATGGGGCATCAGCAGCACAGCCAACCACAGCAACTAGCAGGACCCTTCTGGCTGTTGACATTTGAAGATGGTGCTTCGCTGATGGGATGTGACCATGACGGTCGAGCTCGAAGCTACCAATGGAATACCGATAACAATGCCCTTGACGCCCTCCAAGATCGGATCAGCGAGCTTAGAGCACTACGACAGCAGTATGCGATCGAGCTTGAGTATGTCCAGCAAGTGCTAGCGAAAAAGGAATACGACTTCTTTCAAATGACCACTGAAGACTTTGCAAAAGACGTCCTTCGCCGGGAACTGCAACTCCTTAACGGCCTGTCAGAGACCCTCTTTCTCCAAAGATCACTGTTCGAATTCCATATCCAGGATTCGGAGAAGTTATACAACCAAATACAGCAGAAGAATATGGGCTCCACTCAACCTTGGGTCCCGGCCCCAACACCCGATCTCGAGCTCCCCGACGGCTGGCAGAACAGGCACAGTCCTCATATCTCGACCTTGACAATTCGAAGGCATTGGGAGCAAAATAGACAGATGGTGTCTGACGCGGAGCAATCGGAAAGCGATGGGCTTGTGCCTATCCCAGATGGATCGCCATCAGTGCATGGTACTGCCCTAGAACAACAAAAGAAAAACGTTCTGGCGACGGAAAGGGTGTTAAAGGAATTTGAAGAGCAGATACAAAAGTCGGATGAGCAGAAAGACTACTAAGACTACCAACCTTATGACTAAAACAATTTTCTGGATTAATCGCATACAATACAGTCCTCGAAGCCACCCTTCTCAAGTTCTGATGTCGTCCTGCATCTCAGTATAGATGACGCCACATAACGAGGAGCTAATTCTGGGCACTAATCAGTATCCTCTTTGTAATCTCTCTTATTACAGTAAAAGGGCCGCGAGATTAAATCTACCCCCGTTAGGTTCCATGTTGTGCGATAACATGCTCCACTGCAACCAGGTACTCCGTCATTCAAACTCATCCCCAAGGCCAAGCATTCCCACGCAATCGTAGTAGCTGCAACCAAGTCTCAATCATTTTGCTATCCCCTCTTCGGCAAAGCCGCATGGCGTAGTCAGAGCCTCAACTTTACTTCCAAAGCAAGCCGTGTCGCGTCATCGAAATGTCTCCGCGCCACTCTGACCAGCCTCTTGCACTACTCAGGCTCGCCCGCAATGTCCGCCATCAACTACAGGCAACACGCGACTAGTTTCGAGATCAATGTGGAAGAAATCCCTATCCCTCGCAAGTCCGTTGGTTTACTCTTACGGCCTCAAGCTGCAGAAGCTGTCAGAGTCCTCAGAGCTATGCGTCGAATCACCGCCTGGGCTGATGCAGCCCTCTCCTCGAGATAAGTCCATACGGCTTGGTCAGATTAGGTCGCTAGAATCCTTGAGGACAGCGGTATTCAACCCTATACTTGAGCACTTGACAGTTGGATAGAGAAGGTTCAAAGCTGGATTCAGACTGCCTCCGATCCTGCCTTTGAGCCTGATCTTGGCTTTGACCTAGGCTCTTCCGGGCTAGGCCTGGTCGTCGAACTAGCTATTTACTCTAATATCAACCAAGCTTAATGCTTCACCCTCAGGTATGCTGGCTAGTATGCATCCACTACTTGGGGGCGCCACGTTGACGACCTACGTAATCCGCCCAAATCGCTCCTCAGCCAATTCTTCACCACTTGCCCGAAGTTATACCCATACGGGTGGAACAGGTGCGCGTCGACCAGGTGTCTTCCACCACAATACATGTTCCTCCACATCTGTCTAATTCAGACCTCCGAAAACAGGTTCTGATTATGTCACTAGCAGACCACCCCGCGCGTGTTGCCTGACTAGAGTGCCGTCTCAGCGTTAGTCTCCTCTGATATCGGTGCTGACGAGCACCGATGACTCTATATTCTTCAATCCACCCTGACGATTGCCACTGCTGGTCAAGCCGGTCCATGATATGTTCTACCACTGGGAGAGTCCATTTAGATCCTCATTGTTCCAACGGGATAAGTAGTTCGTTTAGCCGCCAATGGACATCTATCCTTTGTTGACGTCTTTCTATGGTTCGCAAAGCAACGTGACGGCTGCTCCTACACGCGAGGATTTATCGGTCGTTTTATTGCAGCAAGAACTTGTCATCCTATTAACATATAGCCAATTGCCAATTTCCCTTGCTCTTGAGTTGTTCCTAGAGGATTTTAGTGAGCAGTGGGCTTTTCGGCAATAATGTTGAGGGCACCACGCGAATAGTCCTGATTATCTGTTCCAGCGCCTTGGGCGTCCTTTCCTTCAACCGTTGAACATTACCGGAAGTAGCAACAATGACGAAGGCGATACTGTAGTTGTTATTCTGTACTATCATCCAAAATGTATGGCCTACACCGGTATCCCACCGAGAAGGCAACAGTGTTGTCTCAGCTTGCTCAGGCCTGGGTTGCAGTGGATTAGATCATCCAAGCATCCCAATTTTCCCCATTATTGATAAGGAGACAACTCTGCTCTGCAGTCGTGGATGAAATCGAACAGAAAATCGACATTTCCCAATCTTTTGGGGCGTATATTGCTGCTGCCAAAGACCACTGTTAACTGCGTTAATTCCTGGAGCTAGAGCAGGCAATCCCACATCCAGGGGGTGTACTTGGCCCGTCTTCGAGTGCCTTTGCAAAGCCAAAAATTCTAAATCAAACTAGAGGGCTAGCGTGTAAAGTCTCGACGACTTTAATTAGAATTCTCTTAGATGATATCCTCTGAGAGAGCTAAACCTTTTACCCTTGATATTCGCTCGATTGCTTCTCTATATAGTCCTATTTCTACCCGAAAAGGACATCTGTTGATATGAAAAGACACAGGCTCTGGTCCATATGACCAGTCATGCTTCTTGACAACCTCCTTCCACTAGCATCAAGCAACAGCAAGGAATCTAAGCGTAACATGTTCATGCAAATCCACTTGACTTGAGTGTTTTTCTAGCGTTCTAACTATAGGTATCACGGGTGATGGAATACATATTCGCGAAAGCAACGACATATCACTTGGAGACAGGGAACTCCTAGCTTCGGGGCAATGTCATTGTGTAACCCTCCTGGTCTCAGGAACAGTGGTATCGATGGCCAATGAGACTGATAGAGACCATTTTATCAGCCATTGGTCGGGGCCAGGTCGAGTCAGGGTCGGGGCCGATACGGGGACCCTTCGGATAGGTTCCGGGCGACCCGAGATGGAACGATTCATGAGAATCGTTACAGCATTAGTGTAAAAAAGGTAGTTTAGTAGGGTCTTAGCAAAAGTAAGTAACTCAGGTGTGTAAGCAACTCGCCTATAGTGTACGTTATGCTAAAAGAGTAAGCTTTTAAGTTTCTTTAAAAGAGAATAATAAGCTAAAGCTTTTACTATCTTTTTTTTTAAAGCTTTTAAAGCTTTTTTAATTAGTAAACACTTTACTAAAGCATAAGATAAATCTACTTTTAGTAAAATAAAAGATTTTAATAACTTTAAGTAGTAGTTTAAGCTTAGAGCATTAAATACTATAAGTAGAGAATGTTAGACAGTGTAAAGATGGGATGGTAAGTAGCACGAATAGCACTGAGAGCAAGCTTTCGGAGAAAGATAGGAGTGTATTGTAAGAGAGACGAATCGCTGCCAAGCTTCGCTTGTCAGGATTCATGCTTATATACGAAGCACAGGTCATACGACCTCCAAACAGGTCAGGTGAGGCCATACTGGCCCGTTCTGGGACATCCGGCCTTACAGACAGTTATTTTAAGCAGGTGTAAAGATTTTTATATTAAGATTAGGCTTTTTTAGATGCTTTTAGAGTCACACGTGACTAGTTTAATTGTACAATATTTTACTATACTAGTTAAAAAGCCTTAGAAAATTATATTGTTATATTAAGAGTCTGCTATACTGTCTAAGAGCGACTAAATCTCTAAAATTCTATCTGGAATTTAGTAGAGGGACAACAGGATAGAGATTTCTACACCTCTATACCACTGCGCCAATACAACCAAAAGGTGTGAATAATCAACCAACAGTTGATTCTGCGTACATAATAGTATATATACCTGTCGCGCGTAAGGACCATCGCGGCCTTACACCACACACACAACCTTCCATCGCAACATCAACGTACTTCTCCCCTCTCCGCCTCTAAAGCGGCACCGTCAGAGGATTCATAACGCTTGCCCCCCCATCCACCCTCATCTCTGCGCCTGTGATATAACTACTAAACCCACTTGCCAAAAAACCCGCAACCCTCCCCACCTCCTCCGGTCGCCCCGCCCTCTCCAAACCAATGATTTTCTTCTGAACCTCTGGAGACTGTAAGCTTGCCGGTGGAAATTGTTCGCCTTCCAGGCCCGCACCTTTTAAATCCACCCCAACATCGATTTGCCCCGCTGTGATGGCATTTATACGAACCCCAGTGCCCTTGAGGATAGCGACACCAGCGCGAACGACGCCCAGAGCGGCGTGGCTGGACATGGTAAACGCGGGACCCCAGCATCCTCCGTAAATACCTGCGACGGAGGATACGACGACAATGCTGCCGTACGGATGGTCTTTTGGCGCAGCATTCGGATACGGGCCTTTTGGTGTTGTTTTCTGCATGGCCGCAGGTGCGTATTTGAGAGCGAAGAAGGCTGGCATGGAGTTTTGTTCGAAGGCTTTATAGAGGTCGGTTGGAGAGGTGTTAGATATGCTGGGGGGGCCAAGGAGGCCGGAGGAGGTGGTCCATACGTCGAGGCTAGAGAATCGCATGGCATATTAGTATAATCTCAATATGGCACAGTCTGGCAGGAGGGGGGTGGGAGAATGGATCGAAAGAGGGAGAGGGATAGGGATGTGCTCACCGGCCCCAAGAGTTCAACACATCGTCAATCAATGCTAAGGTATCTTCCTCTGAGGTGATTTTGTATGGGTACCCGATTACTTTGGTGTTAGGATATTGGGCGTTCACGGATTCGGCGAGTTCGGCGTAGGGCTCGTTTGGAAGGGTTGAGCAGGCGTATATGCATGCTGCTCCGTGGGCTGTGGAGTTTCAACGGTAAGTATGTTGCTCGGTGTAGGATTTGAGGAAGATTGAGGCTCTAGAATGGGGCTTGAAGGGAAGTTTCAGAGAGGGGCGATATATCAGAAAATAGACAAAGAGAATGCAAGGAAGGCGCAAAAGTGATCTTTGCAGTCCCCAAGCACCTCCTCACAAAGTACTCACCCTGCCATCTACCCAAGACTGGCTTTCACCCCATCGGCAAAATGCAAACAACAGACATTAAAATTCCACTCACTGGCAAGTTCCGTTATAATAGCCTTTCCAACCGGCGAAGTAGCACCTGTCACCACACAAACAAATCCATACTACTCCAACTCAACCCGTCAGCAAAGTTCCTATGAATCTGAATTTTGGAACCTTAAAATTAGATGCACATGACCCCAACGCTGCTTTTAATGCTGTTAAAGAAGCGGAATGGCTTACAAGCTTCCCATCCGCTCTATATGGTGAGAAATGCTCCGAGTCTCCCTTTTCCGACATATCTGCTTCTCCTTGTATGGACGCCTACACTTCAATAGTTGGTCTAATTCGATTCAATCTGAACTCAGCACAATGACTTGCGTATGTAGTTCTGGCGGCGAGGGTATGTGGTAGGTGGAGGTCTGCACAAATGAATACAACAGACAAGACGAACAGGACACGCCATTATTTTTGCTTCTCCCACGTCGATCGGTAGAGTAGCTGCGAGTGTGATTATGTCAGTTGGCAAATCCACGGGGCGCGGAGATGCAGGTTGGAAAGGCAACGTAATTGAAGCAGGTGTGGTTGGAGGGGTGGGTGGGTTTCTTATCGAATCACTTATCGGGCTGCAAGGGGTGGAATAGCGGGGAGAGTGAATGAGAACCTGATGCTGCGTGCAAGGATTAGGGAGATGGGAGAGGCATGCATACATAATTGGATCACGAGACTGGGAGATTTCGTGTTCTCTTGTAATAAGATGTAGCCCAAAGCAGTAACTGCAGTATCTAAGATCTAATCTAGCTTTCACCATCTCGGGCATTCCTATCTCGCCTCAATCCCAGCACTCTCCTGATTCCAAAGCACCGGTCTAGATAGAGTTACAGATCTCCAGAATACGCAAAAAGTATACCACACCTTGTCTACCCAATGTTATATATTTCAAGCCACTTTGGTTTTTCCCTCCTCCTCTAACCCTCTCGCCAACACCTCCCTACTCGGCAGCTTATCCGGCCCGAAGCTCATCGGCAACAGCTCCCCCAACGTCATAACCCTGTACTCGCCCCTCTTATTGAACATGAAAATCGGGACCTCATTCTCACAGAACTCTCGCAGGTATTGCCGACACATCCCGCACGGAGAGCAGAAATCATCCATATCCGTAGCTACACCGATGGCTTTAAATGACCCGATGCGGTGGCCTTGAATTACTGCTGTGCCCATTGCAACGCGTTCGGCGCAAGTCCCAACGGGGTAGGATGCGTTTTCTACGTTAGCGCCGGTGATGATGGCGGGTGTGGAGGTAGGGGATGGGGTTGCGGTGTTGGGGTTGATGAGGAGGGAGGCACCGACGCGGAAAAGGGAGTATGGGCCTATACAAACAAACCATTAGCTATCTCAGTTATTAGAAACCTAATCCATCCCAATTTCTCCTTCAGAAAGTGAAGACAAGATGCAATGAAGCGCAACTTACAATAAGCGGTCGCCTTCGCCTCAATGCATGTCAGCGACAGAATCTGGAACTCCGCCGCTGAGAGACCGTGAACTAGACCATTCTGCTCAGAAGAAACAAGAGCAGTAGCGACAGGGTCTGGAATGGCGGTTGACATGTTGGAAGGAAGGAGAGAGAGAAGAGCAGCGGAGAGCTTATAGCTCTGATTGTGACGGCAAGCCTCGGCTTTGATATCGCGCTAGAGCGCTTTGGGATCAGGTATGGGACCGTTGAATGGAATGGAAAGAGAGTTGCTTCACGGAGGGCAAGTTGAGTAAGAGGGACTCCGTACGTGTTTGGTGATCTCTAACGTGAGCTAGAGATCAAAAGGTAGGAATGATATTCTAACCACGTGGAATTCTTAACGCGCCGCACGCAGCTCAGACATCGGGCGTAAGATCGTCTCAAATGCGACAAATGCGAGATACGATCTTCGAGAGTGGGGAGAAGATGTAAGGATCTGCCTAAAATCTGTTGCCTTATCCCAAGCAATAATGCGTGGTAACTCCGGGAAAGAGCAGGAGGAGAACGGAGACCGTAGCTTTCACATGGGTATTCTCATTCATGTGCATGCTAAGAGGAAAGCTGCACGAAATGTAACATCTACATCCTACTCTTACATCCACCGAAACATAGGACAACATGCTACCGTACACCCGGAGCATGAAAGGCGCAACCCATCTCTCCAAGCCACCGCTAGACTCAGGCAGGGAGCCAAAAAGATGCCACCTTCCCCCAAATAGAGTCCCACAACCTCCCTTCCTATACACCAGCTTATAGCAAGATTGCACCTCTTCCCCCACTAATGCTCCAAAATAACCGGCTTCCCCCTCTCCCATCCATCTAAACAATCCTTAATATTAACCCAATACCTTAACCTTACGGCCTCACTCTTCGCCCTATCCACATCATCCCTCTCAAACGCGCCCTCCAACACCTTCACACTCTCTCCAATCCTCCTTTCATTGTCCGTCTTCATCCCTACCAGATCCTCCTCCGTCTCCGCCTCCTCAATCTGCTCCCTCGTCTCCAACACCTCCATTAACAATTCCGGATCTTCCACCTTCGCTGTCTCATCCTCATGTACATCAATACCCCTCAGACTCAGCAAATACTGCGCGCGTAACAGTGGCGACTGCAGTGTGTTATACGCCTCATTAATCCTCGCGCTCAATGCTTGCGCTTTATTCTTGTTCTCCGCTGGATGAAGATCCGGATGCGCGCGGGCCTGTAATTGAAGGAACTCTTTTTTCAACGACGGCAGGTCGATCGAGAAGCGGCCGTGCGGAGGTGGACCTGCGGGTAGCGATTGTGGGAAGAAGTGATAATGTGTGTGGGATTTCAGCGACGAGTCGCCACGCAGTTGTGAATGGGATGTTGATTGATGTCGGCGCGAGGGTGTCAATGAGGAGGGGCGGCTAGAGCGGAGGAGACAGGCGGCGTGTCTGCGGTGTGCGCGGAGGGGAGCTATCGAAGTTTCGGAGATGAGGAATGCACGGAGCCAGGAAATGGCTGTTGGAGAAGCGGGACGCATCGTAACTGCCGTTTAAATGAAGCGTGTCTCGGAAAATCAGTTTAACAATCTGAATAATGGCATAAGGGTGCAGGTAGAGGAGCGAAATGAGGTTGTTTGATATTTGGGTTTGCGGAGCGAGGCCAGAGGCGAGGATTTCCGTTCAAGTTTCGTTACCCATGCACTTACGTCACGGACATTGAGAAAGCCAAGTGGGCGGGAAAGTCCGCCGTCTCCGAGCCAGATATCCGCAGTCTACCTAGATTACAAATGCCACTAGTACTAAACTTCGGCTATAGTTCAGAATCAACGTACTGTATATTGGCAAGTCTAACGATATAAGACAGATATCAGTGTCCACTTAACCTGAATGCTAGTCATAGGGTTAACAAATCAAGCATCATTGTTTAGGTTCCGTGGTAGGCGCCAATATTCTGTATATCTGTGGGAAGAAGCTTCATAAGATTAATTTCGGTAAGGATGGAATTGCATGCAGAAGCTAAAGTGAATGTCTTATGAACGGAATGGTATGGTCTACAGTCACCAACCAAAGTACCCTAAGAATACCCTCTCGTGCAGCTTACAGCTCATCCTTATACACCTCCTCGCTCCCGTCTTGCTCATTTTCCTCTTCTGATTGCTTCTCCCTCTCCGCCTCGCCATCCTTCCTCATTCCCCTCCCCTTCTCCTCACTCATTCTCCCACCCTCCTTCTCATTCTGATCCTCCGCCTCAATAATCCCTCTAAACTCCCTCCCCTTTGGTGTATCTACCAAGTCCAGCTTCCAGCCCTTCCTCCCGGCCATCCTCTGCAGATTCCGTTTCATCGTCTCCACGTCCTTCGGATCACGAATATTCAGTTTCTTCATATCCGCTACGCTCATCTGCGTCCCGTCAGAGCTAGCCACGGTGCCAACATACACTTCCTTGCCACCGCCTACGACAACACTCTTTTCGATAATCTTTCCTTCGCTGCCCACGAGAACGTGAGCTCCAACTTCGATGCCGCCGATGACAGGGCCTCGATTTGAAGATCCCTCGGTCCCAGTTTCCATTTCCCGGAAAGGATTTTCGTTCTCGAGCGCCATGAGGCGATCGGCTTCTCGGGCCTTATCCTCCAGCTGGGCGGCCGTCCAAGCATCGATCTCAGACTCTGCGATTACGGGTTGGCAGGAGATGGGGTGCGCGAAATTCTCCTGGGGTGGGAGGAATGCGACGTCGTTGCAGAGCCGAGGAGTGTAGATTACCATGAGGTAGGAGCAGGTGCTGGTTTCTTTGATCATAGAGATTTTGTCCGCTGACTGGGGATGGCAGTGAAACTAGGATATCATTAGCATAGAATATTTACCACGGGGCACACTGAGGCGTACTTGAACCTCAATCTTCCGCTCCTTGCCCGTCAAGTCGCATTCTGTTCCTCCGCTCAACCGCTGCACCATATATCTTGTTGTTCCCCTTGTCTCCAACTTTGCAACCTCCACTCCTTCACCCGCACCCAAACCCACATTTCCTTCATCATCCAGCTTCTCTTTACTCCCTTCCTCCCTACCGAGCGTCTTCCTCGCCTCCTTCCCTTTCTTCTTATCCTTTTGTGGAAACCTTCCCAACACAAAACTCTTAACATCCGTATCTTCAACTGGCGGGTAGAGCGGGACGCCCCGGCTCGGTGGCAGCTGATGAAACTGCTTGATTTCATCCTTGTAGCAGAAACTGTAACTCCACCATCCACTTAGGTAATATATGCAATTCCCTTGCATGCCCTCCAGCAGCTCCCACCCGCGATGGTTAGCGCGCATAAGCTCCTTCTCTTCCTCCGCTTTCGTTTGTTCGGCTGAGGCAGTCGAGTTCTGTGGTAGCTCTTCCGGTATTACTGGGATGCTGCACAGGTATCGCTGACCGCCAAGAACAACAGCTTCGTACGTTTCTTCGAGAGGCGCGCCATCATTTGGTATGGAGCTGGCGGTCTGCTTTCCTGGTTTGGAGAGCTCCTGCGTTTCCTGAGATTTGAGATTCACGGAGCTTGTGCTTCGTGAGGCGGAGTAGGCGAGGAGTGATGCAGCGTTCTCATCGGTTAGGTAGGTATTGGGAAAAATGACTTCATACTGTTTGACGTAGTTAGTATTGAAAGGGAGGACGACATGACCCTGAGAAGTGCGCAAGCTTACCTGCGGGAAAGCGAGCAGGTCGTCAAAAACACTGAATGTGTGCTGACTTGCAAGAGCAATGCGCAAGAATGCTGGGAGAGCCCAGAAGTTCCTCATTGCTAACTGCGCCGAGTTACAAAATGAGCCGCGCCAGGGTGAGTCCAGTAGCAAGGTTGGGTGAAGCGGCGAAGCGGCAAGGTGGTGTTTGGAATGAGACAGATGTCACTTCCTGGAGCTACATCTGTGCTAGCCAGATCAAGCTAGCGGCACGCGAACAGAAACAAAGTGAACCTCAAGTACTATGTCCACGGCACGTAACAGGGTATATTTAACCTGTTAATACTCTTACTATATCAATAGCGTGTTTAGAGGGTAACTTCATTTTTGTTTCCCCTCTGTGGTATGCGTTAGTACTGTAAATCTGTAGAGCACCTGTCTTCACAGTCTTTGAGCAGAAAACCAGACTGCTCCAGAGTCTATTAATGCTCAAAATGAGAACCTGCAAAGTGTACACTTCCCGCCAGATATTCTGAATTTTACTCGTTCATATTGATGAGATCTTAATATATCTTGAATTCCCGCCAACATTCACCACACATAGGCCCCAACTCTAAGATGGCAGCTCGAGAACTCAGGTCCTACTCATGATTTTGCAACCCCATGTGGTCCACCTATTCCTTGTATTCGCTGTGTCTCAGCCCTGGTTCAAGAGTCCTCCACGCCGCCCCAAAAGGTTGACAAAGGCCACCGCTCTTTGTCCCGGTTGAGGTGTGATGATTTCTTTACGAAGAAATGTAGGCTATCGAAGAAGGACCGACATCCACCAACACCCGCTAAAAACACACAAGCAGTTATTCCTTCTAGAAGACATGACTCCAGGCGCCAATCCATCTCAATTCTCTCTTCGTGCTCTCTAGAGCCTCACCTTAGACATACCCCAAAGGAATCCTAGGTGCTCAACTTTGTGCCGATGAGGATATTGAAGCCCTCACCAGGCGGTCGTGGTTCCTTGCCGGATCCATGATAGAATTCGCATTTGAACTTCAAACACTCGGTACCCTTCGCGTCATGATACACCTGGATGATGTCACCGGTGTGCAGGTGTCCGAACAACGCACGACCCTTGTCGTCCTTCTGGCGAATGTGCTTTCCATTCACACTGATGCCGGACGTGGCACATGTGAAAATACCAACATGCAGGTTGTCACATTTCGTCCAGTCCTTGCCTTTTTGCGATAGTTCATCAATGGCGCCGGGATCGGAGTCCGACTTATACCAGAAAATGACAAAGGCTGTCTTAGGAACTCGCGTGTCTTTGCCGTTCTCGTAGACAATCGTATTCCCAGGATATCGGCCCCATGAAGTCTTATTTCGGTCGATCGCAAGGGTAAGACCAGGCACAAAGGAGTCACTCGTAGCAGTGAGCTTACCTAGACGTCGAGGTGGAGGCTTGATGTCGAGACCAGCGGGCGCGCTAGGAACAACAACGGATGTTGTAGCATCCTGGGTGACGTCCTCACCAGTGACAGATCCATCCTCAGTTGAAACCCGCATAGTGTCCGGAAGCTGAGCATCAGCAACAACGTTCGTTCCCTCCACTTGTCCTAGGAAATCGAAGCCGCTCACTTTCGATGCATATTCAAGGTTATGCGTGCTCGGATCATACGGATCATAGTAGAACGACGCCGTCCTTGGAAGACTTATCTGGCGATTGAATGTCGGAGGTTTGGCCTTTGGCGTGGAATCACTGAACTGGCTCTGATGTAGATTATGATTATCTAGGGAGTTGTGCTGTGACATGTCTGGAGTCTTAGGTGTAGCCGGTTCATTCGGGGTGTGAGCTCCAGAACGTGGAGATTGCGGGGAGGCCATGTTCAACTCTCGAACCATAGATTCAGCTCCAAGAAGGCTTGGTGACGAGAAAGCACCATCGAGATTTCGAGGAACAGGGGGGGTCTGGCGGGGATCTGATTGACCTGGGGCTTGAGACTCCGTAGGGAGAGCATCACCGCTAGAACCCGCATTGGAAAGAGCCTCATTCGCGTGGGCGCTGAGTATGCCGGAGCTCTGGAGAGCAGATTGTCCAATCTCTCCAAATAGACGCGCTCTTCCGGGAGGCTGTTGCAAGACTTTGAAACTCTCTTCAGCTTCGACTTCAAACCCCCCTTCAACAAGATGTTCTGAACGGAATGAAACATCGGCACTTGAATCATGCTCACAATCTCGGAGTTGGTTTCGTGGGAAGAGGGGATCCAATCGAACCTTCTTTGACTGACGGGTGTTGATAAGCTGCTCAAACTCATCATCCTCCAGAACAGGGTCTTCAAGCTCCTCTTCGGAGTCATGGACTCCATCATCAAGCAGATTAAGCTGGGAAAGCTGTTCTCCAGCCTCTTCCGACTCATCTTCTTCGGCAATGGACTGAAGGCTAGGATCTTCTAGAATGGCAGCACCGTCTTTTAGCCATGGATGGTTTAGACATTGCCGCTCGGTGGGACGGCGGTCAGGGTCTGTCTGTAGCATTTTGCAGAGGAGGTCGATGCACGGTTCCGAGACGTGAGCTTCTCTCAAGGGAGTCGGGTCTAGACGAGTGGTCATGATGTTGTTGTACATAGCGCGGCCAGTCGCGTCCGCGATACCTTCGAATGGGGGTTTACCACAGAGAGCATACCAAATAACCCCTGCAAACGACCAAATGTCAACAGCGGAACTATACGAATGGAATTCTTGTTTAGTTCCACGACGTCGCTTGGTTCCTTTGGAGGGGATAGTGTCGAAATCTGGGAACACTTCTGGGGCACAATATAGGAGCGTACCACAAAAGGTTTTTAGGAAAGTCTCGTTGTGTGTGACTACCTTCGACAGCCCAAAGTCCGACAACTTCACCTTGAATGGGTTTAAGTCCGCGATGAGAATGTTGTCCGGTTTAATATCACGATGGGTTATCTTCATCCGATGAAGGTAGGTTAGAGCGCTCAGGATCTGTTGGGCCATCATCTTGGCTTGCGGTTCTTTCATACTGCCGTGTTGATTCAGATAACCCTGCAGGTCGCCCAGGCGAACAAACTCCATGATGATGTAAAGATAGTCGCCTTGGTCGTGATACTCGACGAACTCGACAATATTGGGATGCCGAAGGCCCTGCATGATCTTCATCTCGTTGTCAATCTTCTTATCGAGCAGACCGTTCTTCATGAAACGACGCTTTTCGAGCTCCTTAGCAGCGAGAAGCTTGCCCTCCATTTTTGTAGCGAGCTGGTGGACAGTAGCAAAGGCACCTTTCCCGAGTAGACCTGGCGGCTAATCAGCAAAAGGGCACTGGTTGACATATGGCGATCCACTTACCAATAATGTTGTATTTTGAACCACCGTCCCACTTCATTGACGGCCCGCCAAACTGGTTCTTCCCCATGCGTTGTATAGCTGCTGATTGGCTTAGCGTGAGCTCAAAGAGGTATTATTACAGACTTACTCTCCAGCTTGCCCTTGTCCGTAATGCATCGAGTGAGGAAATTCTCGAGGTTTGTCTGGAATCGATCCAGATAGGCTACCCGGGATGGTATACGGACAACGAACTTGATCATCTCGGCCTCGTTGGTGCTGTGAATACAGATAATCGAACCCGATGCCAACATTCGCACTTTGCTGAACCTTTGATCTCGACTTTTAAGAAGGATATCATCTACAATCGTTCCATTTGTAGACATATCCTCCAGCATGAGAACTCCCTCATTGTTCAAGAAGATTCGAAAGTGCTGGTTGCTGATGCGCTTACCAGAGTCCTGTCCGAACAAAATATCAGTGCTGCGCGGGTTGCGCCCGAAAACGAAGCCGAGGTTGGGCTGAACGATGGGTGAGGACATCCGCAGAGCAATGTCATTGCCGACTCTGGATTTGGATTCACTGGAACCAGGTCTGTTAATAATAATGGTCTCTTGTTCTTCTATGTCCGTAATATTATCATCAAAGGAATCATACGGGTTTCTAAACAAGACATGTTGTGGTCGGTGCTCTGCAGCATCTTCCACTATCTTGATAGCGCCAGGTGACGCGGGGTGAAGGATCGCCAGAACATCAGCAACATCTTTTTCGTTGAGACCGGAGTTGTTCCGTCCTAATCGGCGAGGGTCGAGGACCTGCTGGGTCGCGGGTTGGGTAGCTTCGTCTTCCATGTTGTGTTAGCAAGGCCTCAATGTTGCTAACGGGACGTCGCAGCAGTAGTGGTGCGTAAAATCCAGCCAGAAGTGGGACGGGGTCGAGGTTATATAGCTGTCGTCGCTCAGGCGCCAAAGGGGACCACGTGAGTGTCAGACAGTGGAGCGCAACGACCAGTAACGCCAAGTGTTGCTGAAATTAGGGAGTCAATGAGGGCGGGGTTTCGAATCACCACAATGGTAATCTTATAAAGAATCACAAAAAAGGCTCTCCGGGTAGTGATAGATTGTAAATTTTTGTGATGTCCCAGGTGATCCGAAAGGGGATGGAAGGAGGAGCCAGGTGAAAGGTTACAAGGGTTTAATATGTTGTCCAATCGAATGGAACATATCCACCGCACACCAGCTTAACGAACAAGCCGAGAAAGAAGCGCAAGAGGAGCGGACCGTCCTTTCACTCTTTGCTTTCTCTCCAAGCCAGCTTGGCAGATCGGTCTTCACTAGCCTAGCCGAGACCAGGCTCAAGCCAGGCTTCCTCCGCTTAGCCTGTGACACTTCTTGTTTACTATCAAGTATGGCGTATTTACGGAGGTTTTGTTGTGTAAAAATGGGTTCGAGGGTTCACCGTCGCTTTGCTGAACCTCGCGGAATGGGTTCAACCCAGCACAGGACCCAAAATTTCGTGCTTGGGATTCGGGGTAGTTCTTATAGAGTGCGAGTCGTAGGCAAAACTTGAACGTCGCGAAGACACACCGCGAGGCAGACGTTTGCCTTTTGATTGTGAAGGCGAGCAGGATGTGGTGGAGTGAAAGGTTGCCCGGTGAACGGTTCTAACGCAGATTTGTCAGCTCTAGTGAGGCCCTTGGAAGAGTAAGACGCGATTGATGTGTGAAAGAACCAACGTGCCTGTTCACAGAAGTAATTTGAGCCCCCACACAGCACATTCGCGAGAATGAAGGTGAAGACTCGAAAATCTCCGAGCTGTAAGACTTTGGTGTGAAGTGCCCTCAGCGTTCCAGAGTCCCATTCCTTATTGGTCAATCAAAGAAGCTTAAATAAAAGTGGGCCTCCCGACCGCAACACCACAGAAACATCACCGCGCCCTAGGCAACAACTTGCCACCTCATCCAGCTTGTCTCTCATGACCCGGGATGCGTCCTACTGTTTGACATGTTGCGGCAATAGTGATGATGGAGAGGGTGATGGAAATGACACGTTCATGCGAAAGCTTTTATGTCCTTTACGAGCTGACTCGAGAGTAACTCCACGTTGGCAAACAATTAAAGTTTCAAATTAAGTCCTTAATGGGGTATACCATTTAAAAGAGATTACAAGCATTTCCTCTCACGCCTCACCCTTCACCTCTCCTTGGACAACCATTCCCCAAAGCCTCCCTTTCCTCGACATCAAACTATCCCACCTACCTTCTTCCACAACTGTCCCCTTGTCAACTACGAACACCCAATCGGCATCGCGCATGCTTTCGACTTGGTGAGTAACGCTTATCACGGTCAACCCTTCTCTCTCTTTCTGTGTCTGGGCGAGCGCCTCTCGAACGGCCTTTTCGCTCTCTGGGTCAAGCGCGCTTGTTGCTTCATCCAAGAGGAGAATATCGGGGTTGCTAATAAGGCACCGCGCAAGGGCAAGTCGTTGCCTCTGACCTCCGGAAAGCGCGACACCTCTAGCTCCAATATCCGTCGCATATCCTTGTGGCAGGGAAACGATGAAATCGCGAATGTTTGCCTGCTTACATGCCGTGTCGATTCGTGATTCGATTTCTTCCGAATCAAGCTTGCTCTCGTCAATTCCTATGAGAACGTTTTCTCGAATCGTGCCTTGGTAAAGGGTGGTATCTTGCGCAACGAGGCCCATCATATTGCGAAGCTTCGTGATGTCCCATTCTGCAATCGGTCGGCCATACACGCATATTTCCCCTGAGTTGTGATACTGGTCATCGCCGGAGGTGCTCTGAAGGTCGTAAAAACGCTCTAGAAGAGCGACTACTGTGGACTTGCCGCACCCACTTGGCCCCACGACACATACATGAGAGCCACGTGCAACAGACAAGGATAGACCGCGGAGGACAGGAACGGTGGGTCGAGACGGATATCGGAAATTCACGTCCCGGAATTCAACGGTAGGAGTATCCGCAGGTACTGGTGAGGATTTGGGGTCAACACCTGTGGATGAGTTGATAGGTGGCTTCGAGTGAGTGAGGAACAGAATGCGGTTCATTGCCGCGTGGGCCTTGTTGGTACCTGTTGAAAGTTATTAGTCTCTGAACTTGGGCTACCAAGGGCCAAAAGTGGTACCTACTGCTCGTAAAACCAAACATAAAGCCAGCAGATTGACCACCAAAGATGACCGCAGAGAAGATAATGAAGTACTTTGTGGTCGAGAGTTCTCCATAAGAGATGAGTCGGCCTCCGTACCAGAATGCCATCGCACTTGCTATTTGTTTCTAAATCAATCAAGACCTTGGGGTTCACAGACGAATGCGACACTTACCCGCAAGAGCCAAAGTATCAGACAACGAGTACAGTGCCATCTGGAACAACATTCTCCTCGTCGAGGTAGTCGTCGCCGCTTGCAACTTTTGATGATACATGCTCTCCACCTTGTCTTCCATCGTCAAGCTGGAGACTGTGCGAATCGCTGAAACAACCTCAGTGCTGTATCTCGCACTCTCCAAAAATGAGTGTGCACATCTGTCTTGCGCTGTCAAGTCCATCCTCATTCGAAGGAAACCAGACGCAAGGAGCGGTGGGAGGCATCCGAAAATAGCAACCAAAGCCATCTTCCAATACACAGCAATAGCAAGTATGCAGCAGCTAAGGAGATCCGTTACGAAGACGAGAATGAGGCCGGAGTTAGAGGCGAAAAGCATCGTGAGATCGTACCCGTCGGCAGATAGCAGGGCCGTTAATCCTCCAGATGTGTTGCCTCCAGCTTGGAAAAACCCGATGTCTTGTTGGAGCATTGAACGGAGATACTGTCGTCTATAGATCCTGCCCAGTCTTGCTCCAACAATACCCAAGAAGTAGAAGAGAATAAAATATGCCACGATTTGGGTAAGACCTAGGACGAAGAACATCAAAGCCCAAAAGTTACCTCTGCGTTCCAGTTCATGTCCTTGAGCCTCGAAAACGGTGACCAATCGCGAGAAGAGCACGGCTTGAAGAGGGAATGCGGCGCCACCGACCAAGGCTGCTACAAAGCCCAGAACGCTAGGCCATATCAGAGACGGATGCTCTGAATAAATCTTGTACATGCAATAGAGTATGCTGTAGCGACGACTTATTTTTTCTGATTCCAGTGGCGATTTTATATCCGCTGCCATATCCGTCAGCGTTGCCTTCGTCGACCGATGTGTTGGCTTCCGCGATACGGCTTTGGAAATCTGCTCTTCTTCAATCGGAGTCTCTCGTCCCGAGCTTTCTTCAGAGTTTCCTTGTGCTTGGAGTAGACGGCAATAGTGCCCGCCCAAAGCAAGTAGTTCTGCATGCGTCCCTTGCTCCACAACAACTCCCTTACTAAGGACTACAATGTTGTCGGCGCTGACGACTGTCGAGAGTTTATGAGCAATTATAATTGTGGTTTTACCCCTCGAAGCTTTTTCCAGCGCGATTGAGACTGCCCTTTCGGATTCCGAGTCGAGGGATGAGGTGGCTTCGTCTAAGAGAAGTATCGTAGGGTTAGACACGATACTCCGCGCAATAGCTATGCGTTGCTTTTGTCCGCCGCTAAGGAGGCCAGCACGTTCTCCCGCCGGCGTGTCGTACCCGTTCGGCAATAATTCAATGAAATTATGGGCATTTGCTTGTTTACAGGCTTCAATCACGAGCTCCCGTTTGTTGGAATCAGAGAGCTTATTGTACTGGGCTCCTCGCAACCCATTGAGCACGTTCTGGTAAATTGTGTCATTGAACAGCATTGGTTCCTGTCCATGTTAGTCAAAACCGATTGAACAAAGAGGAATGGCTCACCTGTTGCACCAAGCCAATCTGACTCCTCCACCATTGCAAGTCTAAGTTGTTAATGTCGTGGCCATCGATGAGAATAGAACCTTTGCTAGCTCCATACCATTGCTCGACAAGGCCGACGACGGTGCTCTTCCCACTTCCACTATGACCAACAATTGCAGTGACTTTATTAGCTGGAATCCGCAGGTTTATATTGTCCAAGACAGTGACTGTTGGTCGCTCCGGATATGTAAACGATAGGTCCTTCAGCTCCAATTCTCCGTGCAAATTATCAAGTTTAACTCCTGAGCTATCAGGCTTCAGCTTTTTACCTTCTTTCGGGTCTCCTATCATTTTGATGATTTGCGCCGCAGAAGCGGCGGCTTTCGAGAAATCGGGTATCAGAGGGGCAATGAAACCCATAGCACTAGATGCCATAATCATACAGAACAAGACACTATCTCGCGGTAAGTATGACAGCATTGGAATCACAAGAGTTGGACTGACACAACAATAGTTCCTCCAGAAGTGACCTCGCCCTTAGAGACAAGCTTCACACCATAGAACAGAGCAAGTGCGTACCCGGCGTTCATTGCAAAAAACACTATATTTGTTAACATTTTCAGCACTCGAGATACACTGAACTTACTATTGCCGTAGATCCCAGCCATGTATGGACCAATCCTTTTCAAGAATGTTGAAGATTTCCTCAGGTACTCATCGAACCGACGCACCATTTTCTCGCTTGCTCCCATAGCAGTAATATTGAGTATACTACTGAGGGCTTCTTCAGCAACACCTGCGGCAGTATCCAGTATTTCATTCCCCTTCGACTCCGTTTGCGTACTGAGTGCACCGAAGATCATAGTGGACATGACCATGTAAGGAACAATGGTAGCAGTGACAAGGGTGAGCTTCCAGTTCTTCGTGAATGCAATCACAAAGGAACTGAGAATCATTGAGATAACCTGACAAATAATTCCAAGCTTTTCAGCTAATCCTACTTGGACGATATTAGTGTCATTAGCCAGACTGGTAGCAATAGTGCCTGGTGCGGTTTTATCAAAGTAGGATATCGGCTGGTGTAGCACTGTTCTAAGGTACCGAAGCCGAATCTTCGCCGTCATTCTTGAGGATGTGATACTGAAACAGGTAGCCCCAATGTACACCAACTGGATGTTGTTATAAAATGTTCGTCAAGAGTAAACACAACTATTGAACAAGGACTTACTACAAACTTTCCGACGAACAAGTACACGAAGTAGAGCGCATTCTCATTGACTTTCGATCGAAACTCCTCTGGGGATATAGGTAGGTCGCCGTTAAAGAGATCCACGAGCTTGCCAAAAATGATAGCCATTAAGGGTTCAGCCGTTCCACTGCCTGCAGCCGCGAGCGCGCCAATACCCCGAAGGAGTATGTCAAGCGGAGATGCAAAGGACCAGAGCTTAAGATATGCTCTCATCGGAGATACCGTTTCCTCCTTCTCCTCCTTCTCTCCTTCCTCTTTAGCGTTTTCCATCTCCACAGATGCATATTTTGTTTGGCTAGCATGCTCTGCAGTGGTTAGAATGACGTCTGTCTCTAGCGGTTTGCTGCCCATGGCGAATTCAAAGGTACTGGGCAAAGTGATTGGAAAACAAAGAAACTTATCTAATGCCTATGAAAAATAATCAGACACCCTAACGGAACTGTTCGAAGAAATTCCGGTATACAGGACATTATATAGCGCCTATCAGCCCTCGAGGCAAGTATGAGCCACCACAAGCGACCACGTTTGCAAATTGCGCGGTGTTGAGACCGTGATCCTATTATTACCGGAGCTGAGCAGACCATTATTGGCGACGCCTTGCGCTGTGCAAATGCGATACGAGAAACGCGCGAATGTGGCTGCTTGGCTCGGGAGACATTTTCACTATCGTGTGATGCCTGAAATTCGCGTTCTTCAATGACGACGACATGTCTTAGTGAGTGAAACGCTGCAAGACTGCGGCAAAACTCAAGACTGAACCTAAGCCTATTCCAGAAGACCTGAGTTGAAGAGAAAGAAATGAGGAAACCAAGGAAGAAGGTCGGCAAGTCGGTTGTCGATGCCGCCGAGTCGGTTGATGCGGCCCGATCACATGTCTAAGTCCCGCAGCCTTCCTTTTCGAGTCGATCTCTGTGCCATAAACCTGTTGGATGTGTATCTTCATTTTGGCTGGAGAGTACTTGCGCTATATCTGTGCCTATTAAGAACATTGACAGGACATATTCAATATCTCGAACGTTTGTCTATAATGGGCCTGTTGTTCCGTTATATGTGCTAACATGTCCCTCAAAAAGACTTCGAGTGTTGACAATGTTTGAGCGGCTGCTAGTTATGAGATCCCAACTCACATTTTGTATCAGGAAGAGACAAATCACAGAACATATAGATCAAATATGATCTCTTAAACATTATCCTTTATTGGACGAATTTCGGGGCTCTATATCACACCATCCTTTGAAATCCCCATATATTTCCCATTGCTTCATATACAGATCACCCTGCTTTCCAGTAGGAAGAACACATTCGAGCTTCTCAGGGACAGCTTTCTAATCTCCAAAAGGGAATCTAGATGCGGCACCTCGGTCTTTTGCATGGGTTTGGCAGCCAATACCACTTCCAGCGTTATGGGCCTTAGTTTGAAGTTAATATGAAAACTAATAAGAGAATAAGGTATAGAATTTACGTTGTTAAGGAGATTTTCCTCGAGGTCTTGTGGTGCACTTTGTTCCGCCGTCTGGGAAACCTTGGACTTGCTGACAGTGCGGGAAAACGCCTTGGCCCTACTCATTCTGCATGGTTGATATTGTTGGAGATTTGGAGAGCTAGGGTAAACTTCGTGAATGCTTAAGGTTGCGTTGTGAAGTATCTGACAATGAAGAGCGTAAGAAAGAAACTCCTCTTTTTTTTAAATCTTCCTGAGGTCATGTTGTCTCTTGGTTTCGTCACTGCGGCTTCGGTGAACCAGGAAGTAACTTCGTCCGTGCGCAAATCTAGACGTTAAAACTTAGACGAATGCGAAGATGGTTCCTACGTGGTGCATTAGCTGTAGGACATTGTAACACCTGGACCTGGTGCGCTCCGTCCTATAAGTTCGACGTAGAAAGAAATCTTCTAATTCTTTGCATGTTCTACCTGCATGATGTTTTCCAACTGAGCCACAGTGAACCCGAAACGGGCTTCTTGACCATAGCCATGTCGATAATGCCAATATACCGTGACTTTAGGTACCTGTGCTCGATTCAGCGTGGCCAACAGTCCGTAGTACGTAACGTAACTACGTGAACGTAGTAATCACGTGAGGCGTACAAAAGTAGTCAAAATGTAAGACGTAACTTTTGTACAGTAAATTGCCAAGTACGTACTGTAGTACAGGTCAGAGAGGTTATATTTTAGGAGATTTCCCTCTTGTTTTTAGACTCTATTAGCTATTACGTTAGGAGCTTTATTTAAAGTTATGTTTTAAAGTAATAATTAAATAAAACTCTACATTTTATAGCATAGTAGCCTAATTAGTGTGCTAAGTGGCCTTTTATAAAAATAGTTAACTTTTGCCCTAGAAAAGCTTTTTATTTTATTAATTATTATAATAAGCTAGATGTCTTAATTCCTTTATTATAGCAGGCGTACAGCCTTATTTTAATCCTTTTACTTATTAAAGTTGTCTTAATAAGCTAAGGTACTTTATTACACTAGCTTTTATTATCTTACTAAATTAAAGTTAGCTCTTTTAGAGTTATTAGTGCCCTTAACCTTAACTCTAGCCCTAGGCAAAGATGTATTCTTTTATAATTTTTAAGTAGACGCGCACCTTAACTCTAAAGCCTTTTTTATAATAGAGTAGAATAATATTTAGCTAGAAAAGAAGAAGCTAGTGCTAGAGAAACTTAGCTATTAAGTAAAGCATAAAAGTTAACTTTATAGCAATTGTCCTATCTTCTAGGTCTAGTGTTATAGAGAGGATTTAGTGTATAAGGACAATAATAGCACTATTCTTAAAGTGTGGCTTTGTAAAAGATGTCACCTCTAAGGGCAACATAGAGCTGCAAAAATTATTAGTAGTTATAATTATATTATCTCTTATTTTTAGAAAAAGCATAAAATTAATGCTAGTAGAGATCTTCTACTTAATAGCTTAAGGCTTTTTACTAATTTTTTTAAAGCTGTAATAAAAGTAGCTAGATTTATAAAAATTATTTTTTATAAAGCTTAGCAGAAAAAAGCTTTTTAAGCTGTAGTAATAAACTAAGTTATTTTTTAGAATTAAACCTTTAGAAACGCATCTTTAGCTAAAACTTATAGAGTACTTACTTAGAACTATGCTAACCTTCTTAACGCTATACTATCTTTCTACACTACGCTCTTAACCTATATCTAGAACAGTCTAGTGCGCTAGAAGCAGGAGATTTAAATAATACTAAGATTAGCCTATAGTAAAATTACGCTAAGTGTTAATATATAAACTTCTCTAAACTACTTATCCTACTTAGGGGTAGTAGCTTATTTTTTTAGTATGTACTAGCAAAACCTTAGCCTAGCTGTGTTAGTGTAAAAATTAAAACTATAACACTAACATCCTCTACACAGATGCTAACTACTAGCATAGAGACCTTCTTATTAGCTTTAACAATCTATACAGAGACCACACTAGGGAGAATTAAGCGCTAGAGATTGTTAAAGTGCTTAAGGACTATAAAATTATGTTTAAATTTTATTACTATGTTACTAATAATATGTTAAATAATAACATAGAGACTATTATAACTTTAGCTAAAAAGCTTTACTTACCTCTTACTACTAAACACTATATCTGCTGTGCTAGCTATATAATTTAAATTATTATTAAGGTAGTTATATACAGCTAGGGAGTTTCTACTTTTAAAAAAGCTTTAGCCTAAGCTGCTCTAGATAATTAATTTAAGCTATACTAACAGTAGAGTGTTGTAGGCAAGTTGCATAACTTTGTTAACATAGTGCTAGCATCTTATAAATAATAATTAGCCTTTATAACTTTTTAGGCTTTACTTTTAGCTAATAATTTTTTTTAGAGTTTTAGCACTCTTAATCTTATCTAGGACAGTAGAGTACACTAGCACAGCGTATATCTTATGCTTTTACATTGCTATAAGTTAAAAAAGCCTATTAGTAAGTTTCTATGTAAATAATAAAGTGCTAATATATTAATAGCTGCTACCTTCTATAAAACTATCTTTAAAGAAAAGTAAAAGAAGGTTAATTATTTTATTAAGTTTCTTTAGTTTTTTTACTTTATAATAAAAAGACTTAAGGGCAACAGCAAGTACAGCTCTATCTAGATAACTATAGTTAACCTCTAGCACCTGTATACAAAGCTTACAAAGATAGAGGAGGAGCTTAAAGGTAAAAGTAATAATTACTACTTTAAAAATAGTGTTATGTTTAGGATCTAAAAGCTAACCTTATACTAGAAAAAGATTGTTATAGATTTACCTATATTATACTGCGCTATTGCAACTATTTTTAACCCCTAATTACAACTTGTTTAGTTTAAAGACTACTAGTGTAAGCACCTAGTATAGCATAAGTAAGCTAAGGCTTTAATAAAGGCAGTTTTTTAAGACTATATTAATAAGAAAATAAAAAGTAATAAGAAAAAAAAGAATTTATAACCTTACTAGTGTAAGCTCTCTAGTAGCAAGTATTATAATAAGAGCTATAAGTAAACTTTCTTTATTAACATAAGCCTTTTTATAGGCTTAAGGTTATACAAAAAACAGTAGAAAATAATAGAGCTTTAATAATACTATAATAGCTATATTAAAAACCTTTTTATAGCTAAAAAGGGATCTCTACTATTTTAATTACTTTTTACTTAGTAGCTTAAAGTTAGTTGTTACTTTTACCCTACGCTTTTTAAAATTACCCTTAATTTCTTCTGTATACTCTTAATAAGCTACAACTGTAAGAGAGCCTTCTTTAGAGGCAGAAGAATAGTTATAATTAATAAAAACTACTTAGTAGGTTATATAATTAAGGCTCTGTAGCTCTAAAAGAACTAGTTATGTTATAGGGCTGTAGAGAGTAAATTAACTACTTTAGGGGACTTTATCTAGGCTAAAAAGCTTCTCCTAGAATAATTTTAACCTAGACTAATAAAACTTCTTATAAAAAGTACAAAAGTATAAGAATTTTAAGAAGTTACTGTTACATTACGTACTTGCTAATTAATTCACTGCTTACGTACAAAAGTACTACTAAATTAAGAAGTTACTGGCAGAGAAAAGCTCAAACGTAACGTACTACGTACTGTTGGCCACGCTGGCTCGATTGAGGTAGATGATGTTCAAGTTCGAGATGTAGAAGTGAAGTTGATGACCCGGATGATCGAAAGCTACTTTAGATCACTCCTACCTGGCTTTAGTATATTTCAGTCAATCCATTGTGGAGATAATATGCCACTCATCCTGTGGTAGACTCTACTCACGTAGCTTAGTAAGGCTCATGGGAAACAAATATACCGTCCAAAATTAATTCAGAAGGGTACCCATGTTCACCGTGTAATATCATTCATAGCCGACAGACTGTTACTAGAGCAAGGACTTCGAGGTGGCTCATCAGACCAAGAAAAAAGAGAATCTAGAAGCAGTACCCACGTAGAAATTGATTCTAGTGACCCAACTGCTTGAAAACACCAAGCACCAAACGAATTGGTATAGGTCTTACAATATTTATGCAAAGATGAGACTAACCCTCCAAGTTCTTCCAATCGTTAAGTATTAAGAGGGTCACCCGGTTTAAATTGAAGAAATCTAGACTATTTCAACCACCGTTGAAGGCAACAAAAAAGACCAACCGTGCATGCGAGTTAACCAAGTCTCCACCCTACATATTGTACCTCACTCTAACCTGTTACCGTTATTATTGAATATGTTCGGGCAGTTCATGAGCTGCCAAAGTCACAGGGGGGGTATGTGAAGGTGCAGCCACGGCTTCATGCTGACCAGAATATGAAGGACCGTGTGTAATGGCACTATCTTGGTAAGGAGTGGCTGGAACGGATGGTTGAGCAGATGTTATCAACGGTTGCTGATAGTCGTAAGAGTGCACCCCACTCTTAAAGGGTTCGTACGCCGTATGTGCTGCAGCTGGGGAGGTGTGTTGGCCAACCCAAGTTGCATTTGGTGCTGGATGGCTTCCGACCGGAATGTACTTCGTATTTCGTCGTCGACGGAGAATGAAGAAAACAACAATCGCAATCACAGCGCCCATTCCGCCAATAACACCAACAGAAATTCCAACTATAGCTCCAGTGGATAGCTCGGACGATGCGGTTGTTCCATTGTTGTGGCTCATGGAGTTTCCCATTAAACTAGGAGGTTGTGTCCGCATCGGCCTACTGACTCTGGAATCGGTAGAAGCGGTTGGTGGAGGGACGAAGATGCTTGTGACTACGATGGTGGTAGGCGCGGCTCTTGCCGTGGTTTTCAGCTCGACTTCAAGGAGGCTTCCACAATCCTCTATGTTCGTGCCCTAGTAACCGTCCTCAGTCCTAGCCTTCATGTAAAGTAGGCGTACGGAGTAGAAACATACATTTTCACAACACCATGCTACCTCTGCATTATCGTATGCGCAGTAGAACCCTTCGATACACGCGGCTGCTTCAAGTTAGGTAATGCAACCGAACTGTATCTGAGAAACTCTTGCGTACTGCCATAATAATCATTGCAGCCTGAGGCAATGATCAGCAATTGGCTCCAAAGCGGTCGTGCAAATCAACTCACAAGTCTCTTGTTTTGCTGGCTCGTAACAAATGTTGGAGAATGCATCGGCGTGGCACCTTTTGGCGTCTTCGGCGCATTCTGCACAAGAGGTGCCACAAACCTCAAAATCTGGATTGTATCCGGTGGAGGAATTGACGTCTGGAGGGTAGCTCCACCAGTAGTCGGTGGCTACTTCAGCGGATGCTAGCGAAGCCGAAGATAAGAGAAACACAGGGAGAATTATGAACAACATGGTGTAATGCAGTGTGGAGCCAAACCAATGGAGAACAGAGGGTTTAAAGGCGTTGAGAGTGGAAGGGGACATTGGGTGCCACAGCAAAACACGCCGCTAAGGGGGATTACTCTGCTTTGAATAGCTCTTGAATCCTTCGAGGGCAAGGCTGCCAGGGGGCGGAACCGTATCATCCCAGTTCCATGTTCATGCTCAATCTTACTTCAGTTGTCTTGCCCCATTGAGTAAAGCCTACTTGACTGGAGCGCGATAATGCTGAACCTGGATAGAAGAGATGTGACTAGGTTGCTTGCACTCACACTACTAATTTATAGTGAATAGATGCCCACAGATTATGAGAAATCGAGTTGGGGGAGTATGTGGTTTCGAAAGATTCAATCAACGGAAGGAGTAAATGCTTAGCTGTCATATGTGTTGGGGATTTCTGGTAAACTGCGGGTGCTGGTTGGACAGAATGCTGAGGACTTGGGGGCGAAAACGCACAGGCCAATCCACAGCCTCAATCATTTGAATGAAAGGCTTTCCGAAAGCAATGACACTTACAACACACTATGCCTACGCAGTCTAGGCCCGCCTGGCTGACGTCTTGCCGGAATTTAAAACATCTCGTTCTCCCTCCTATCCTACGTCAGAGCGTACATGCCTATGTTACAGGACATGGCTCTCGAGAGGATATCCTTCTGTAGATGGTAGCAAACATATTTGTAACGTTGCAAAACAGTGTTCAAATCCAAATAAATCAACACCGCGGATATTCGATATTATTTTGGCTTAGATTCCTGGACTCGTGAGTATGTTGATTTAGCTTCCCGCCTAACAGTCTCTTTCTTTCATGGTTTCCGTGCATACCATTAAGTTAGGGAGTAAAGCATCAAAGGTAGCAATGGGACATCCTTTCAAGACACCACCACCCGGGATATACATCTTTCCTCTAACACCCACAGCTGACGTTCCATGTCTTGCCACTTTCGCCGGGGCGAGCCTTTGCCAGTTGTTAGTTTCGATATCGTACACCTCCGTCTGATTGAACAGTCCGGATTCGGCTTCACAATTCCCTTCTCCACTGAAGGTGTATATGTTTTTTCTGGCGACGCCTGCTGAGACACCTCCACGTGCTGTTGGTATCTTTGCCTCACTAGCTTTCCAGCCTGCTCCGATAATGCAGGGATCAAGGATGAACACCGGTATTTTCCGTTGTATTGGCCTCTGTTCCCTTCTTCCCAATATATAACATACTGTTTCCAACTACAGCTGCGCCGGCGTGATCTCTGCCCTCGGGAATCCTCTTTGCGGCGTCCAACATTTCGAACCCTCAACGGAGTTTTCAAAGACCGATACCACGTCAACGTTATCCTGGTACCTGTTTCTCACAGGCTCCAGGGCCCCCAATCCACCTAGCTAGGATGATTTAGTTCCCATATACACCTAGCGCTGCACTACCTATAGCTTCTGTTGCTGGCAGCTGAGCAACTATCTCCCATTCATTCTTCTTTGGATTGTATGCCAACACATCTGGGATGGCACTCCAATTTCCTTCAGACGTATATGCAAGCCTACCGAGAACATAAATATTTCCGCCACTCATAGTTGCGTTGATGTAGTTCATCGGGTTCGGGATCGGAGCCATGGTTTTCCAAGAGTTCTGGGAGATCGAGTAGAAATACATTAAAGATGTCGTCGAGATGATCGTATCACTTAGGACGATTCTTCTTAGGATGTTGATTGTTGACGGAGTTAGAAAGACAGTAATATGCTCTTGTCTTGGAGCTTCCGTTATATTGGCTAGAGATGTCCATGTTTGAGGAATTGATGGACGAGAGAGGGTGGCTGGAGTGGAAGAGAGCATGAGACTGGAGAGCGTGGTGTGATTCTGGAATACAATGGTGAGCGGCTACTGTCTAAAGACATAATGATTACCATCCAAGAGCTTCGACACCAGGCTTCCCAAGTAATAAACTCTAGACGCACGATGAACGATGAGCGATCTCATCCTTTAAAACTTCACCTATTTATATCACAGATTTGCGGTTTTGTCGAAGGCTTAGCAATTTGTCTGGCGAGCATTTCAGCCGCACGAACTGCAGCCCCAAGGGACCTAATAAATCCGAGAAACAGCAATGGGAACAATTTTGCCCGAAAAGTAAAAGGTTGTACGAAATAGCGTGTGGTAGGAGGCTCGCAATCCCCCGGATCCGACCAGCTACTCGTGCAAAAGATCGAACTCCGACCTTGTTTTTTTAAGTCCACCAACACTTGAATTTGTGGACATGTATTTTGTCGATGCAATTGTATACCAGAGATTACCTTTTAACCTTTCGTCCGGACGGAGAACGGTGTACACAATGCGCCGATGATGGCCGTCATGTACTCGAGCACCAGTTTCCAACTCTAACAAAACCAGCTTCTTCTTCCTTTTCTTGAGGGACTTTCCTCGCTGAGGCTAAAATGGCTCTAATGCAGAAACGAGAGGGTACGCAAGATGAAGAATATCTTAACATATCTTTTTATTTGCAAAATACCTACTCTTAGAGACTTAGAGTCCCTATCCGATTTAGGGAATCAGACAGAACTCCCAACACTATATTCGTGCGAATCCCCCGGAATCTTAGGGTCATTCAAACTGTCCTCGTGACCTTAACCCCCGTCTTCTCCGCAACATCATACAAGGCCTCCATCACCCTATTGACATCCTTACTCTTGATTGGAATCCTGTGCGCCCCGTCCCACTCCACCAACGTCGTAGTTCCCTTCTCACAATACTCGTTCAACAACTTTCGATGTAAATGCAATCCCGCATCTGCCATACCATGCACATGAATCGTCGGTTTCTTTAAAATCGCCTCATCATCAACTTCTTTTACAAACGCAAACCCCTCAGAAATATTCGCTGCAGAGACAAGAGCTTGACTCTGCTGGACTTCAGGGTTGAGATTGCTCAGCGGTGCGCGGCCTGCAATAAGGACGCCGAACCGCCAATTCAGCCCAGGAACCCCAATCGGTCCAACTCTAATAGAATCCTTTCCTTCTTTCTTAGCTTTATGTTCTCGAGATTGCTGTTCAAGCAACAAACTAGCACTCAACTTCGCCCCCTGACTAAACCCCATCAATCCCACCCATTCTCCGCTCCCGCCATCCCTGTCATCGTCCTCCATCGCTGTGCGTATCGCATATCCGATCTCCTCAATACAACTGTCTTCGTCAATCTCAGGGTGTTCTGGTAGCCATCTTAACCACCGCCGAAACGGTGCATAAGAACCATAGACGTGGATGACGTCGGAGTGCGGGTCGCAGAAGAACGGTGCGTCGACCCACACAAGGCGGAAGGAGTATTGAAGGTGGCGAACCAGGGACCGGGATTGCGCCTCGAAGATTAAGGCGTTGACCCCGCCGCCGTGGATGCAGAGAATTCGAGGAAGAGGCTTGGAGTCTGGGATTGTGGATGGTAGGTTGGAGGTTGGTAGGGTGGATGGGGACGGCATTTCTGGCCGTGAGGAGGGGTGGAGAGATCAGTTATTTGGATTCTGGGAATGGGCAATGCTCTGAGGCTTTGAACAGACGTGGAAGCGGAGGGAAACACAGAGGAAGGGCTGTGAGAGAATGGACGATTCCTAAGCTAACGTCTGAGAGTAATGAAGAAAGAGGAGAGAAGCTTTAACACAAAGACCCTGATCTGCTACCCTACAGCGAATCCACACTTCAAAGGCGGGCGCCGTCACCGGCTTATACGACGACTCTCGGACTCCGAACTCAGCGCCGTAAGGCTGGACCATCTCTCCGTTAATACTAGTTCCAATGGACTCCTCAAATCTTCCATACTGCTCTAAACTTCCCATAAAGCCCGACACTCTTTAATGAAATGTCTCAACAAGGTATGCTTTAGATTCCAATTTGTGAGATGGAATTCGACTAGGAAATGGGAGTAGATTCAAGAGTGGGGCCGAGACACATCGGAAAAAGGTAGGCGCTAAGCCTCGGGACAAAAGCTTGCATGGACCACGTTATGTGATTAAACCTATAAGGGTAAGCGACACAAATAATGACATTTCTTTCAACAATCCTCTGATATCTTTAACCAGGTAGAGAAGGAGCGGCAATTTTTGTCCTTTCGTTTTAATTCAGCAAGTTAAATACATATTACACATTCCTTGATATGGTGTAGCTAGCAGGGTCCTCTAATATCCCCTCTAATTCTCCATGTACTGAATAGTCCGAAAGGGCGGAAAGGGTAGAGATTTTCAGGGATTTAACTACTTGGCAATGACTCCTTGAACATTGAGGAAAGCTCTAGAACCATCAGTGGACACCAAGACGTTCTTCAGCAGTCTCGGAAGGGTCTTGTGATTCCATGCCACCGTCCATAGATCGAGATCTCGGCAACATTCTTTCGTTCACTCATCATGATCTGCTTGATCATATAGTACGTTATGTCATTCAACAACTTGATCTCGTTGAGGTTGGGAAATACATACTCGTCAAGTCCTGCGTTGATCATGGGGTACAGCAAGCGCGGTCCTCCATGGAAGTCGATCTTCCCGACATTTTTCAGGTAATTAAGCATCCGGGGAAGTCTAAGTCTAGCTTGAAATTGCAGAACAATCCGGTGATAAACGCGAGCGAGTAGACGAGAGGAGCGCACTCCGAGGATCTTCGAATCGTGCTAATGAACCCAGTCTAGCGGCTCGCCATCTCCTGCTCCACTTCCTTCCTATTCTTGTAATCCTCATCAGTCTCCAGGTCGTACAAAATGGATATGTGGTGATATAGAGCTAGATAGCAGAGCTCCTTGAATGTCTTTCAGGTCGCAGGGAGCCGAGCGAGCGCTTCCGGCTTCACCACATCCAAAAGTACATTGAAGATGTCGGAAGGCAGTTAAGAAAAGGTGAGACCACTTCTTCTAGATCTGACTCTGATGTGGTTGAGATATCAATAGACGGTTCGTGAATAGGCGGCACCACTGTCTCTGGACCGGAAACTGATGGGACCGGTGACATTTGGAAAGCCTGCTGCACCCTCTGGGCGCGCTCCATGTGCAAAATCATACGACCATGCAACCATTCCAGTGGCTCTTCCGCCAGCATATCTTCGTTGTAGGATATTAGTTCGTCGTACTTTGAAATCAGCGGGTTGACGAAATAGTAATCGTCAACACACTCATAGTCTGCACAGACAATGTAAGACGGCGCCTTCTTGCAGGTCTTGGGGACCATGTCCGAGTTGGCAATATGATCGATACTCCCAGGAGGATTCGTGCGACTATCGTTAAAAAGGGGCTAACTGAGGAACTTACAGAGCTGAGTAGATAACACATTATCTAGGGGTTTCCCCGAATTTTTGGAGCCCCTCTTGACCTTAGCATCCTTCTCTACTTGAGGGGCCCTTCACAACTTGAGCGTTGGTGTTCTCTAGGCCAGTAACGGAGATGTTGTCGTCAATGCTTTAAAGCAGCTTGCTGGCTTGGAAGCTGATGTTATTGGGGCCATAATGGCGCAGATAGGTGTCAGTCTTTACGAGTTTCCAGGCCTTAAGGTTGTGGACCATGCCGCTCTGGGAAATACCGTTATGAGCACTCCTCGGTAGTCTACTTACCGACCGCAGCGGAGTGAACTCGAGGACTCCGCTGAGACTGGCGCTGAGACTGGCGAGCTGGTTCTACCAGAGCTACCCAAAGAGCCTATTCACCGGGATGACCATCTTGTCAGCAACTTCAGAAGATACAGGTCAATACTTACATTTGTCGACCGCAGTAGTAGAAATTCCTGAGCTCTGCTGAAACTGGTGAGCTCGTCTTAGTAAAGCTAATCCGAGGGTAATTTCCCTGGAGCAGAAATCCTCAAGTGCAACTCCTGAACATAAGTGTGAAGCCTCGCTCACGATGGCAGAACGAAGGTCATCGTACAAACCCGCGCAAATTAAGACATGAGACATATTCGAATCGCTAAACGCGAAGGTAGACGCACTGAATACATCGTTGGTAATACACATTCAAAACTATATAGCGTCATCGTAGCAAAAGAGCGTAGGGAACAGACGCGAACAGACGTGTTGAAGTGAAAGTTGTCAAAGCGTCAATGAGGGCAGATGGCCTACCCACCTCACACTTTCTATATAGGCGACGGGGAGATATTTTCCTTTCTTACTATCAATCTACAAGGCCCCCAAAAGTGTATGGTTCCTTCACCTTCACCCTGATGTTGGCGCGACACGACCCGCTGTGCAAGTGTAATGTTGCACTTGTGGTTCATTAAACGCCACTCCCATTGTGGCGGTTCCTTCACCTCCGAAGGCTGGAATAGGGCTATCATTCTTATTAAAGACAACTAAAATGCTCGTGGAGCTGGTAAATGGCTTCTCTAATGCTTGGCGGAGAAGAGTTCATACACGGCAAGAAATTGCTGATCAAAAATTACCCTACTGTTAACATTAATCTTGTTGATAGACATGTTGTTGCCCAGTAATAGTAGTGCAGTATAAGGGTGATTGATTTTGATTGCTCCAAACAGTTTTTTTTTTTTTGGGGGGGGGGAGGGGTGTAAGGTGTGAACAAAGCTTGACCGCACAGGTATACCAGACAATCCACACAATAAAGTGAGAGAACACCACCACCGAATTTGGGGTGCAGTAAGTAAAAGAGTTTCAATAGTTTGGTCGGTGACCGGGAATGAAAGATTTCCCAGAAAGGGCGACCTTAGGAAGGTAGGAAGGCAACATTTCGTGTTCTATGTTGTGCGGTATTTTCTGAGAAAACATGAGCGAGTTTCAACGCTCTCATCGTCAATGAAGCTGCTCTAGACTAAGTAAAAATCTAAGGCAATCTTGGGCAATCTCTGGTAGATTTTAAACGGTGGAGGTATAGCTCAAAGCATTATTTCTTGCACTCATCTTCCACCATTTTCCACCACAACTACCATGATAAAACCTTATCCTAACATCTCTACCGACAAACATGTCTTTAGTTGTAGCTGAAAACCCCAGTTTTACTTCCGCAACATCATAATCATGGCTTCTGGACTGCTCCTTAGTCTACTTTCCTTCTGCCATCTTCTCCGCATCGCTCCATACTCTCATATCGCTGACCTCGACTACGCGCTCATATTCCTGATTCATTATTAGATTATCCAGGCTGGCAGGGGGTTCGTGGCCTAGTGCTTTCCTGAATTCGAAAAGGGACACTAGGATAGGAGAAGAGACTTAGAAGGCTGGCAATTTAGGTGGCGTTGGTTTAGAATTGGGTAGGGAAGGGTCCTATGAGGCACAAGGAGAAGCCTAAGATCTGGAAAGCGCGAAGGTAAGAGGGAAGGCGAGGACGTGTACAGCGATTGTACCATATTCAAAAGAACAAATTTTACCTCAAGGGACGAAATCACTCTTAATCCGTCGCCTAATACTCAAAAATTGCTTGCTCAATCAGTCCTTCCAGAAGTAGAACTCTCGGCTCCTAGCTTACGGCAATCAGCCCTGCCAGCATCGACATTGCGTCTGCTATGATGTCGAAGTTATGCTTTCATTGCTGTAGGGCGAAGAACGGCTAGGTTGGGGTTTCACTTCCAGCAGTCTTTACTTTACTATACCACTATTACTAATTAGATCGGTGTACGGCGCTAGAGGGATTGGGAAGGGCCTTAGGTGAAATGTGATGTGATACAAGTGTGTTTGCCTTTCCAATTTTATTTTCCACCCTCATCTCTTAAACTCGCATCGGCTTCTCCCCCTCGTCAAAGAATCCCCTACAAGTACATCCAAAGCTAAGAATGGTGCCCATTATGCTCGGCAAATCCCTCCTCTCCCTCGTCGCCCTCGTCACGCTCGGGGGTCCATACAGAGTAGACTGTAGGTATTTCCTATTTTTCCCTCCTCATTTCATAATCTCGTAAGATCTCTTCGAAATCGCTTCCTAATTCCTCCCACATCAGCGAAACCCGCGTCCTAAACTCCCGCCTCGACAACGGACAAACCATGTCAGCGGGTCTGTTCCTTGGCCTCCTAATCCTATACTACCTCCATTAGCTCCTCACACCCTTCTTCTTCAAACCCTCTAAACTCTCCCAAACCTCCACCTCCCAGAGCAAAAACTCCCTACAAAACCAAAAATAGAATGTCGATCACGCGCTCCTATGTTCACACATATACTCTACCTACCCGGATTGTCGGAATGTCTACATCCCGGCGCATCATGAACTGATCCCAAGTTGGGCAAAGGGTGACCACATTTATATTTGTTTAGTGGGAGTTTGGGGGTGGTGTGGTCGGGTTAATGGGTTGAGGGGTGGTGGGTGTTTGCTGGGGAGGAACGCAAAATAATGGACGGGAGATTGGAAACTCTGCAGACTTATTGAGACTAGTCAACGGGAGGGAATTGGATAATGTATTGGGAAACTGAATGGCTTGCATTAGGGTCGAGAAGCATATTTATTATGTGTATCCTTACACACGGACAACACGGCACCCGAGGCAGAAAAGATGATATGAGTCGAAGTGAAAATTCAGAAAGTAGGAAACGAAAAACCTGCACTTGATGCTGCATGCTAGCAACACCTAACTCATCCATGCGTATTAGTAATAAATCTCCCCAAACCCCAGACTGATGCAGTCGTGACACATTGGTACAAATACAGAATATCTTCGAAGATAAAGCAGGGAACCCATACGAGCATATCAAACCCTAAACTCCACATAAAACCACCCATCGTATATAGGTTGTCTCTCACGTATCAAGGCCCCTCGATAGGCACCGCAGTCTCGACCTTGATGTCCGGAGGCTCATATGGCGGCTCATTATCCGGTTCAAACGCGGGTCCGGGTCTACGTGTTGGTGGCGGCGCCCTCTCCCTCTCCTCGTAATAAACGTATGAATTAGATGGATCGTCCAGTCGTTGTGGCAGAGGGCGGTCATTTGGAATAGGAACGTATTGGATGTGGTCGAAATCATGCTCCGGAACGTATCGGGAAGGAGGATGGGAAAGATACGAACCGCGCGCTGAACGAGGGTCACGAGGCACGCGTATATATCCATATTCGTGCACGGGTTGGCAGTATTCGTCAACGTAAACTGGAGGTGGACCGCGAGATTCCTCTGGTGGACCTGCGAAACGGTACCGGGTGGGTGAATATGGATGAAGGCGTTCCTGGACGGGGACATACTCCGCGGGCGCATGGCGAACAGGAGGGTAATAGTGCTCATCGGGGGGTCCTTGGTCAACGCTCTGATCTCTCGAGTAGGCAGGATCATAGTCTCGGTCCGCGTTGGGATGGGGTGTCTCCTGTTGGTCGAGACGGCGACGCGTCTCTTCGTATCTCTCATATCTCCGGCTTTGGGAACGGTGCATACTAGCTCCACGAATATATGGTTCTTCGCGTGCAACACTCATGTATCTGTAATAACGCGAGGGTATGTGTTCATGAGGGATCCTGTCTCTCCGACCATGAGGACCTATTCTCCTCTGGACTCCAGAATCCGGCGTTGGTACCTGGCGGCCGTTTGGTCTGTTCTCTTCATATCTTGATCCATTAGATACAGTAGACGATGCGGTGTGGTGTACCGTTGGTAGGGCGCGACCGGGGTCTAGTTGCTCGTCTGCAGAGGGGACATTTGGGGGTGGTGGGGTGTAACGAGACCCATCGTCAGGGTCGATCTCCCTAGAGGGTGGCTTTGGTTCTGTCCGAGGGGGGACTTCTTGCTCAGGGGCTTTGTTCAAGGATGGTTCTTCACGGTCAAATTCTTCCAGAAATCGATCTGCTTCGGCCTTGGCTCTTGAAGGGCTGGGTTCTGAGTTAAAATCCCTTACTAGTCGATACTCTGGTCGACGAGGCTCCTCATCTCGGTATCTAACCTCCTGAATATATGGCCCATATTCTTGAGCACGCAATCCCTCGCGTGGATGCGCGTAGACTATCTCCGGTTCAGGACCGTAGAACTCCTCGTGCTCCCGATACAAGGATCGCCTATCATGATAGTCATCATATGGCGTAACAGCATCACGGATAATCCGGGTACCAAGAGGAAGTTCCATATACTCTCGCGGGCCAGGATAATGTTCGTCCAGATGATCCCTGGGGACCTGAGTGGCGAAATCGTTAGCTCTAAATACCTTTCCGCTAGAATCTTGTGAGCCACCTACATAATATCGTGGCTCAGCGTAGTACCGATGCCGACGATCGGCTGGGGGAGGTTCACCATGATAAGATAGCTTCTTGTTGGCCATCCGGAGGGTTTGGTTCGACTGGGACGGTAGCGCTGGGCGCCGAGGATCGTACTCATCTTCGCTTGGTTTGGGTGGGCGGGGAGAATCAGTATATGGCGAGGCCAAAGACGAAGGACCGGACTTGTCTACGGAGGTGCCAGGAGTACCACCGGTTCTTGCTGCTTCCTTGGACAGAGAGTGACCTGGGGATGCTACTCCAATATTATCCGATATTCCGATCTTAGGCAATGGCATAGGAAATAGCTTTGGAAATACAGTGGCAATTAAGTGGAGCTTCTGGTCATCCATACCAGGAGCATGGATGAGGCCAGAGATCAAACGATCACTAGGGAGCTCAATCATATCTTCTTTCCAATCCAGATGGGCCGGCAGTTGTGCACTTCCATAGCCTGGAGTCTGGGGACCATGATGCTGAGATTTGAAATGCGATAATAGGTTTAGTACGGTATAAGTCCTTCTCTCTTCCGGTCGAGAAGGGTAGGTAGCAGATGACTGGTGAGACAATTCATCTAGACAAGCTTTACAAGAAAGGCCTGGAGCATTTTTCAGAGCCTTAGGAATCTCGTGATTGGAAAGTGCATCAATGAAGTGATTCAGATTCGGTTCATGATTGAACTCAACATGAAACTTGGAAATGACAGCAAGCAACAAAACGTATATCCGAACACTGTTTGGAAGATCCTTGATGCCGGATGTCTGTTTCCAAATGTCCTGGACTATCTGAATCACGGTACTCACTTGTTTGTCGTATAGGTTGGTACGATGCTCGGCGTCCTCATCGCCACCTCGCATGGAAGGCTCACTGGGGTCTTGTCCTTGTGGTTGGTTTGCCTGGGCCGGTGCAATAACGGAACCAGTGGCGGCAACGGAAGTCAAGTAACCTGCATTGCTTGCTTGCTGGGCATAAGCGGGTGGGCCCATGGCTTGGTATGAGGAGTAAGAATCCATAGGCGCTCCATACGAGTGAGAATAGTCGTAGCCCGAGACCACACTAGGAGGAGGAGCAAAGGGCCCACTGTAATGACTGCCGTACTGGTTATAAGGACCAGGGCTGGCCTGAGGAAGATGGGGAGCCATGTGAGGAGTTGATGTACCAGCACGTGAAAACCCACCATAGTAGGAACCGTAGCCATGGCCGGCAGAGCTTGAGGCAGGATGGTGGGCATGCTTCACAGAAATCGGGTCCGGATGAAACGGGGTATCCTCTGGCCACTCGGCTTCTCTCCAGGCCACTACTACGTTGCCAACGCTAAAGGCATTAGTGTGCTTTGCTCCAAAATGTTGGATGACTCCTTCAAAGCCGTAAAATCGGGTATTACCCTCGCACCCACTGCCGTAGCATAGGAAGAGCTCTTTCCTGAACTGTTCTGTGATTGGTTTGAGCTTGTTGTCATATACCCACTTCATGTTTTCTAGGACCAATTTCAACCTCTGGGGCTCTGCGGAATCAGGATCTGATAAGGGTTGAGGGGAAGTATCTTGGTCCTTGGGGAGTTCGGCGTAGAACATCCGCCGAACATACACCAGGAGATCCACTGCAAACTTTGGGCTGTTCTCATAAGTCACTGCTCTCCCGTGATCCCAGTCCTGGTTGATGAACTCATCTGCGAAAACGCTGAGCTTTTCTCGTATTGGTCTCTGCGATTCTTCCCACTCCCGATCTAGAACTTCCTTGACTTCCTTGAGGCTGGCGTCTTGTTGACGGCGATCAGCTGCTCTTGTCGTAAGGGAGGAGAGTCGGGAAACATGATCTGATTCCGCCTGTTGGGCAGCAGGTAGCTGAGCCAGAAGGCGGGGATAGAGCATATTCCAGGAATAGTCGTTCATTGGCTGCGAGATCTGAATGGCCGCCTTGAATGAGTCCATATGGCGTAATATGTTTGGAGGGATAGGAGGGGCGAGTTGCTGACACCGTCGTTCAATGTCGACTCTTCGAGCTGCTTTGGCTTCGTTTGCATCGTGCAGGTTTCTTTCAGCACGTGATGAAGCTGTACTTGGGCCAGGGCCTGGGACGGGTTGCGGGGTAAAGACAGCCGGTGGTATAGTTGGCGGCCTGGGCTGAATGTATTGGGGAGCAGCAGCTGCAGTTGTTAGGGTGTGCACTGGAGGGGAAATGTTGATGAAAGCTCGAGTTGCGATCTCTCTTCTTAGAGAAATATTGAAAGTCTGATACTTACAAGCCGGAACTGGGGCGTATATGATGGGAGATTGAGCTTGGAGTAAAGGAGACTGCAGTGTTTGGGGCATGTTTACAGCCGGAGATGGCGCCTTTGAGACGGGGCGTTTGGGCTCGTGGTGATCAGACCACCACTGGTATTTGACCTCCCAGCGCTCCCAATTTTCGGATGCCTTCATTCGCTCTTTGCCTCTTCCATCTAGTCCTTTTGACCATTCTTCTGTTGCCGCTGAACCAAGGCTCTGTGCTTGCTCCAGTTCGCGCATGATGTCTTCGACGTGTACGTTGAAATAGTATTTTCCAATATCAACGCCTGCGGGAGTAGTCGCAGCTTGGAGTGTGTAGGCGAGAACGTAATTTTGGTCGGTGGTGAGGAAGGCAAAAGGGAGTGCAGGCCGTAATGCGGATGCCGTGGAAAAAAGAAGGCTCGAGTCCTACGAAATCAGCTTTCGCTCCCATACTTGCAATGCCGTGCTTACAGTTCGACAGCGCTGTAATAGGCATGGCCCACAGGCTCTGACACCAAATGGCCAGATTGTTCGGACCCCAGTTGATCCAGGGCCTTTCTGCCAAATTTTCTCGCCAGTAACAAATTCGTTCTGCCTGGTACAGAACTGACACCTTTTGCCCCAGACGAGTTGCCACATCTGCAACTCGGAAAAGCCAGGAAGCGGCTTTGGAGGCTTGGTGGGGTGCGCATTGCGGGCAGCTGCCCAGATAGACTCAGATTTTAGGAGACGGAGAAAACCAGAGTCTGGTTTTACATTTGGAACATGGCGAATGTCCGTAAGACATGAATGAAACGATCGATTGACTAATAGTAATCGACCAAGGTCTGCGAGCGAACAAGAAAGAAATATGTGCTGCCATATTTCTGGGAGAAGCCCAGCGCATGGCGTCACTGGGGTTGTGGCTGAGGCAGAAGCTGGCTCTAGCTTGCGTTTCTTCTCTTGGCTTGATTCGAGCTCTTCGGCCTTGCGCTTCGTGGACAAGGCGTCATTTTGAGCTTCTCTTCCTGGTGTGTCGGGCTTGTCGGATCCATAGAAGTCGGTAGAGGAGGTAATGCTAGCTTCGCGCTCCTCCATTGCTTCCCCGCACGTCTTCAGGCGAAGCTCACAAGCGGAGCTCCACCCAGCGCATACGACAGGCTGAAGACATGAATTGAGTCGTGAAGAATGAAGGTTGCACGTGTAGGTGGTTCTTAAGAGGGGAGGAGAGGTGGTCGGACTTCGAAGAGTGGGCACAGAGAGCAAAGGAAACTGGAGAAGATATTATAATGCGCAGAGAGCGCGTGGGGAGAAGTTGAGGACCAAGGCTGGTAGCTTGGAGGACGAGGGTGGATAATAAGGGAGGGGAGGGATGGATGCTGCGATGTTGAGGCTTACGGAGCAACGACAGCCAAGGGATAAGTGAGGCGAGAGCCCTGCGGAGGTGTCATATCCAGGCATCTTGGCAGGCGCCATTCACGTGACCTTTGCCAAGCCATTCACCATGGATGATGTAATCGTGTAGGAAGGCTGTGAAGACCCCAGAGCCCGAAAGCATACGCAAGTCTCTTTCGAGAAACATTTGCATTCCTGAGCACGCGACAGGCTCTTGCTTTGCTGCGCGCCCTCTATATTTCCTTCTCTCTTCTCTCTTTGTCCTCTTGTTCGAGTACACCGACACCTCCCCATCCACTATCCGCTCGACTTCTGCCACCATGGCCACCCTCAATACCTCGACCAACGGCCCAAATATTACTCGAAGTTATCAGGGCATTGTAAATGCTCCGCCGCCATCCGGAGCGCAAGCCAGCTCACCAACGTACGGCCAATGGGCTGTCTTCACCGTTTCTGCCCCACTAGTCAGCGCATTCCAGCAGGACGGCGGGAAGGAGAGCGTCTTGAAGGTCCAGAGTACTGGCGGTATGTTTGACCACACTGTCCCAGGGCCTTTGGAGCTTTGAAAGCTAACTGCATCACAGAGGGAGAACTTACCGACCTCATCGATGAATTCTCCGACGGCCGCATTCAATTCGCCTTTGTCAAAGTCAAGGACTCCAACACGACCCTCCCAAAATGCGTCCTGATAGCATGGGTATGTATTGGCTTTCACGAAGCACCAAACCCACCGCTGACCTTGTACATAGTGCGGAGAGGGTGTGCCTGAGCGGACCAAAGGCTATTTTGGCAGCCATCTCGGTGTGGTTTCAAAACTTCTACATGTATGCTTCTATTTCATAGGCCCGTGTCGTGTTCCTTGCTCATCGAGAATAGGGCTACCATGTCCAAGTCACCGCCCGATCAGACGCGGATCTCACCCCGGAGAAGATTGTGCAAAAGGTTGCCGATGCCTCAGGTTCGAAATACTCAGGCGGGCCGGCAATTTCCTCAGCAGTCGGTCCTCCACCCATCGCCACCAAGAAGCCCGTGTTTACACCAACTCAAGTAGGCGGGGGAGGGTCGGGATTCAATCCTCTTGGGTCGAGGTCCAGGGCACCAGCGCCAAGCACGAACGTGGACGAGGATGGTTGGGGCGCCGATGCACCGCCTGTGACGCGCACGCAGCTAGAGAAGGTCCAGCCTGCCTATAAGCCGACGAAAGTCAACATGGCTGAGCTTGTTTCGAACAAGCCAGAGCAGTCCCGCTTCCAAGCTCCGCAGGCACACTCTTCAGCACCGGATGTGGTCAAGGGTGGGTACCAGCCAATTGGCAAGGTGGACATTGCAGCACTCCGACGCGAGGCAAAAGAAGCACACGATGATAGACCTGCGCCGGTCAAGGGAGCATACGAACCAGTAGGCAAGGTTGACATTGCAGCCATTCGCGCCAAGGCTCAAGGCGGGCCTTCTGCGACCTCGCCGCCCTCAGGATTATCACCAGCGGCTACTGGCGCATCTGGCCGTAGCAACGACGACGAAGAAAGGCCAAGGTCCCTTGCGGAAAGGTCCGCAGCTTTCTCGCAGTCCGAGAGGCTCACAATGCTTCCAAAGCCGAAGGTTGCAAACAAATTCGGCAGTGCGAGCGCTTTTACAGGAACGAAAGCCCCAACGCCCGCGGTGTTTGGAGTCAAGGCGCCTGCTGCGTCCGCCCCAGTCGGAACCGCGAGCAAGACTTTTGCCGACGAAGGTGGGAAGACTCCTGCTCAGATCTGGGCCGAGAAGAAAGCTGCTCAAGGGGGGTCTTTGAAGTCCCCCACCGCTGTCAGCGGCCTCACATCTCCTCTTCCTGCACAAACCAGTGGCGGCGGCGGCGGCGGAGGAGGAGGAGGAGGATGGCAGAGTGGTTACACAGGCAAGAGCTGGGCACCAGTCCAGACAACCCGAACAGGACAGTCTGTAGGTAGTAACCTCAGCAACCAGAGAACCGGCGAAGAGTCCCAACAAGAAGAGCCTGCATCGCCAGCTGGCGGTATCAGTGCTCTAAAGGACCGCTTCAAAGGGGCTGCGCCGATGGGTGTTCCTACCACGCGACCCATTCCTCAGCCTGAATCACCACCACCAATGGACATGTCAAGCAAGCCGAATGCAGGATCTCGAGGCGTCCCGATCCCGGGTCTGCCAACACGTCCTGCCGTGCACGAGGATGATGTACCTCCCGTACAACATCAACGCCTTCCTTCACCTCCACCGCAACCCCGAAGCCCGTCTCCTGAGCCCTCGGGATCCCCCGTCCGCATTGCTATGCCAGTCGCTCGCGGACGAGAACCCGAGAAATTGTCGCCCGCAGAAGAACACCCACCTGCGATGCCAACTCGTTCCCTCGACCACGCTGCTCACCAAGCTCGCGACCTCTCTCCGGAACCCCAAGTCGGAGCCAAAGAACCAGCCCGTGGTGCCGGCGTCGCTGTCGCCGCCACAACATTTGGAGTCGCCGCCGTCGCTGGCGCCACAGCCATAGGAGCGGGAGCAGGAGCAGGGGCCGGTTCAGGAGACTCAAGTGGAGGCAAACGTGCCGTAATCCAATACGACTACGAAAAGGCCGAGGATAACGAAATCGGGCTCCGCGAAGGCGAGTACGTCACCCACATCGAAATGGTGGATGAGGACTGGTGGATGGGGCAAAACTCGGCTGGAGAAACTGGACTCTTTCCTTCTAACTACGTCGAACTTGTCGAGGACAACGAAGAGGGTGGGGAAGGCGTTGGCGCGCCTCCGTCACTGCCTTCGCATCCTTCCGCCGCGGAAGAAGAGCCACCTGCGGGGCCCTCGCAGCCCGCAGGTGGTGCGGGACCCACAGCGACAGCGCTGTATGATTATGATGCCGCCGAGGATAACGAGCTGAGTTTTCCGGAGGGTGCGACGATTACAGGTGTGGTAAGTCAACACCACAGACACATACACATCTCTTTCCGAAGTTTTATGGCAGGCACTAACAGCTGTGATAGGAATTTCCAGACGAAGACTGGTGGCTGGGCAACTTCAACGGGCAGTCTGGTCTCTTCCCTGCAAATTACGTGCAGCTTGATGTGTAGGCCTCGAACTTGCGACATGACATAATCTTGGTGATTTTCGTGATTGCAAGTCAGTTTCGGTGCCGAGGTTGTAGATTGGATGAATAGAGGGTGTGTGTCTTTTTAAGCATAGTGAGCGTGTGCGTGCGAGTGATGGATGGGTGGTATGAACGTCAAGATTGGGTCAAGTCTGTGGGTGACTGGATGGAGTAGCCACAAAAGTTGAAATGGATACTATTGAAACATCTCTCCAACTATTGTATCTATGTGGCTGGCTGGCTACATTAGTGTGCCTATGAGTGAGCGATGGATTGTTAATCATTTTCGCCTAATCCCATTTACCAGCTTCACTGTAATCCTCATGTGCGTTAACGTTATTCCGGGGATCGTTCATTACCATCACCTCCATCATCATTGTTAGTTAGGGACTTGGATGGCTTTCAATGGAATCCAAAATATGGGGCAATGAAATCATTCCCCAATGCTCATGTTGAGATCCAATACTGTTTCCCCCACAATCTCAAGGTGTAAACCAGTCGCCAAACACATCCGCAAAAATGCCATAAACCATCATACCACGGTACTTGGAAGTTATCCACCTATCTAACCCGCACCAAGGCCTTCATGAGGCAGCCATTACCCAGTGTAGACTAAAACACCCCAGCATTCACCAACCCATCAATCCATACCACAAGTTTACTCCCATCTCAATCCTCATCCCCATCCTCATCAACCGCTAACCACTTCGCCCTACACTTAACTGCCTGCCCTCTCACCTCCCTCTTCCGATCATCCAGTGCCGCCGTCAATTTCTTAACCACCTGTCCCCGATACGGCAGCACGATCTCTTGTCTCAGCTGCTCAGGCACTAGCGTAAGACACCTCAACGCCGTTGCTCTCACTCTCATGGAATTCGCTGGAATTTCCTTTCTCACATCTGAGCTTAGGATCACTTTGCCAGACGGGATGGAAGACGAGGTGTTGAGTAGCCGAGAGATGAGGCTACCGGCATGTTCTTCGACCTGTTTCGGTCGTTCTTGGAGAATGGATGTAAGGGTGCCGATTGCGGCTTCTTTGACAAGACCCTCGCCCTTTAGGTCTAGACTTTGGAGAAGCAGCGGGACTAATTGTCCGACTTCTTCGACCACGATGTCGAAGGGCGTCCACTTTAGAATCCCGCTTAGAGCAATCAGGTAGTTTGGTTTTGTCTCTAGGCTTGTGTCGCGGAAGGACTGGGTAATGTTAGGCACAAGCAGCGCGAAGGACTTCTGCTTGTGCAATCCTGAGATTTGGCAGTGGTTCTGTTTGGTGAGGAGATCATCTGGTTGGAGTAGTGTCGCAAAGCCATGTGCGACGGCTAATCCGTATTGAGGGTGTGAGAGGAAGGAGAGAAGTTGAGGGTATAAAGTTGAGAGTATCGGGCTGCTTCGGAGTAGGATGCCTTTGAGACACGCGAAGATAATGCGTATCCGCGGCGGGTCCAGCCTTAGAGGATCGAAAATATCAATGGGAGCTTTGAGAAGGGGGTCCAAACAAGTTTTTAGGGCTGGTGTTGCAATGAATTTGTTCATCACGAGTGATATTTGACGTAGGGAGGCGGACCAAACTTGGGGAGGAAGGAGAGGCTGTTGAGAGTAGTTCGCCAGAGATGAGATGAGAAGTTGGACCTCGCAAGGCAGTGTCGTCTCCTTTCGAAATGAAGCGAGTAAGTGGGTGGACACGATCATAGTCCGGTTGTACTCGGGAGAAGTGGAAGTACTGAAGGGTGGAAGCTCTGCTTGGGAAGTCTCTCTGAATAGGGTGTAGAGTTCAGCGGAGACCTTGTTCTGCTGATCCAGTGGCTGCGATCTAACGATGATGTTGCATATCCTTCCCACCAAATCGAGCGTCGCTTCGTCATCGAAGGCCTCCGGGTGCGACGCATCTACGCTAGAAGTCCGCGCCAGGAGAGGAAGAACAATGTCTTGATGGTAAAGCAATGATTCGTGATTTTGCTCAAGCTTACTCGCTCCTTGATTTAATGCATACAGCATAGCTGAGAGTAAAGCCACAATATAGGCTGAAGAAGCATTTTGCTTGACCGCCGAGCTGAATTTGTTCTTCAGTCGAAGGATGACGGTATCGAAAATCTTCTCTTCGCTCGCGAGCTTCGCAAAGGCCTCGAGAACCGGTACGTAGCCTTTTGAGCTGTTGACATCCGCATCTGGGAGTTGAGCCATAAAGGCAGGGAACGCCCTGTCTACCACGACTTGTGGTTTCTGATGTGCAATCTCCCCGAGACCGTTCATGGCAGCCTCCTTGATTTCATCTTTACCATACGACTCCTCGTCGGTGACGATGGCATGGAACAGCTGGATGATCTTGCCGACGTCGTCGTCACTGAGTAATTGTCGTGCCTTGGAAAGTTCAAGTAAACCGTCCAGACAAACCAACCGAAATGATACCTCTTTGACAGGTGCTGTGGACAGACCATTTACCATGACCTCTACAGCCTGATCACGGAACTGCGCCAGCGCATTCGGCGGTGCATGTTCTTTTGCCAACCCAACCGATCGCCAGTCGCCATACACTTCAATGTCTGCTCGAACAAGCTGGACCAATACTTCCAGTAGTCCTCGTTTTTTTGCCATTGTGTCAGCAGTCTGAAACAATAGGAAAAGGTTCGGAAGAACGCCGGCCATAATGAGGTTAGTGACTTCAGGGGATACTCCAGCAATCGTACGAAGAATCCGTGCCGAAGCCTGAGACTGTTTCGTTGGAGCATCCTCGAGATGCTCATTACACTCTTTCGTGATTGGTCGTAAGTACGCATTCAGCGGCCCACTCGTCCCTTGCGACAACGTTCTCGCAATAGCTGCTAAGCCCATGAGGGCCTCCTGCGCAAGGTCCTCCTCCTGCACATTAAGCACTTCAAACTTGAGTGCGTCCCATAAAGTAATTGAATACAGACCCACGGTCCGAGGGCCGTACTCGGAAACGGAAGAAGTGATGGTTTGAAGCACATCTCGCTACACTTTGTCAGACCACAGTCACCCCAGAATGGCATGAACCGCCTACCTTTGTGTTCATAGAAGTGGAATCTAGCTTATCCAAAAGCGCCGGGTATGCATAAGGGGCAAAGTCAGGGGTGGAAACTATACAGTCTCTGAGGCGGTCCTTCAAGTGTTGGGCAGTGATGCCGTACGGGTCGTCTGGTGGAGGTCTAAAGGTAATTGGAAAGTAATTAAACACGGCATCGAAGAGTTCCTGGACGGAAGTAAGTACTGGAGGCCTGCGGGACTAGAAGAATCAGGCAGGTATACCTGGGCATCTGCGCCGATGGTCCACTCGGTCATAGGTACTCTCAGGATCGAGAAGACGACCATGAGATTCCGCGGGTCCTTCTCACCATCAAAGTATGAAATGAAACGAGGCATGAAGTCGGGAGTGGTATCGTGTAAAGTTCGTAATGCTGCAAGAAAATCAGCGTGCTGCCTTCATAGATATGCGACTGGAGTGGGTCATACCATCTCTATATTTCGCCATCAATGTGTCTATAAGTCGTAACACGGGGTATCGTTCGCTCTGTTGTTTGTACTGGCGGAGGGGGTGGGTGTGATAGAGGAGCCTGATAAAGTGTGAGCTTGTGACCAGCTGGCAGAGGATGAAAGACGAACGTCTCCATAATGGCCCTGACCCTCTCATTGTCCCACTTACCACGCTCCTCGAGGGCTATCAAGCCTTTGGCGCATGAGCCCAAGCCTTCAACATCTTCGAAGCGGGACAGGATGAAGTCACAAAGGAGGTTCCCTGCCAATTGTCTTAGCTTCTTGTTCTACCTATGTACATTTATTGAAGGAACTGCGGGATACGGGAAGATCCGAGTCCGTTACGGAAGGAGAGACGTACTCTGCTGGAGAGACAGCGCCCTCTGTGGCACGAGAGATAGCACCTCGGCCAAGTACGACATCGCTGGGAGGGTCAGCAGGCTGTTATTTCGTCTAGCGACCATATGTTTTATACTCTTGGATCTGGTAGCGCCATCCTCGCCGTTGAAGTACTCTCCCAGCTCTTCCACCAGTGCCAGCAGCTTCAAGTCGCCATTCTGCAACCCTGCGTCTTCGTCAGTCTCGGCTCCCTCCTTTCGAAGCGGGGGGTGTAAATACGCGTCGCCGACTGCTGGGCAACAGCCGAAGCGTCCCGCTTGTTCCTGTCATAGTCCAACAGGTACTGTTGGATATCTGACATTCTCACGGTGCGGTTGTCTGAAAAGTTGACGGCCAAGGCTTTCAAGAAATCCCGTCGTGATTACATATGACGGCAGCAGAAGGTCTGCGCACTGATTGGCTCCCGATGTCGGATGTGGGGCACAAAAGTTATGCACGTCGCGGGTGATATTCGCGGAATCAGAGGCATATATATTGGTGAAAGAGTCAAAGAATTTCTTTTGGGGTACTACTCCCACGGTCTAGTTTTCCTTGACCTTTCTCCGAGAAATTCTCCACGTTCCTTTACCTTGCTTTTTCTCAATTGGCGCACCATGGCCGAAGAAAAACCCCACTGCAAAGTCGTTCTCGCGAACAATATCGCCAAGGGTCTTCTCGAGGAGGTCGCCGAGGGGTTGAGAAAGATCGACAGGAAACCGCTGCTGGTGGGCTTCTTGTCGAGTACGGATCCAGCGGCCAGGGTCTACGCCGAATGGACGGGCAAGACGTGCAATGAAAAGTGAGCAAGTTCGTCCGTTTACTTCCTGTTCACGTTCCATTTCACCATTTCAATTTGAGGATAGAATCGACCTGATGGGATGGTAGCGGTTTTGCATTCGAGCTCCGCGAAGTTGACCGTGAACTCCTCGAGGACGCCATTATCGACGCGAATAATGACCCCGAGGTTGACGGTATTATCGTGTACTATCCAATTTTCGGTAATCGACAGGACCAATACTTGCAGCAGATCCTCGATGTTTCCAAGGATGTTGAGGGCCTGTCACATAGGTACATCTTCAACATGTACCAGAATATCCGATTCCTAGACTCGCACAACCAGAAGAAGTCGATTCTGCCGTGTACGCCGCTTGCTGTCATCAAAATTCTCGAGTACCTGAGGATTTACAACACGATTTTGCCATACGGAAACAGGCTCCATGGCAGGACCATAACGGTGATCAATCGAAGTGAGGTTGTAGGAAGACCATTGGCAGCCCTCCTGGCGAACGATGGAGCATGCGTGTACAGCGTTGACATCAACGATGTGCAACAATTCCATCGCGGCGAGGGACTACGGAAGCGGCGGCACGAAGTCATTGAGAAGCCCGGTTGGACGCTGGAGAATTGCTTGCCATTAAGCGATGTAGTGATTAGTGGGGTGCCCGGCGACAAGTACAAGGTGCCGTTGAACTTGCTACGGGAAGGAGCCGTGTGCATCAACTTCTCCAGCGAGAGAAACTTCAGCTCCGATATTAAGGAGAAGGCGTCTATCTATGTCCCCGCCATTGGCAAGGTTACCATCGTCGTCCTTCTAAGGAATCTGCTCGTAAGTGAAGCATCCAGTCCTGTGCACATCACCCGCTAACCCTGGAACAGCGCATTGTCCAGAACAAGATCGACGCGACAGTAGATGCATCAGGGAAAGGTTCTGAAGAGAAAGCGGCTCAGGTGGCCTCATAGGAAAAATCATTAAAGACAGTCTTAGAGCATGCGCATGCGCCATTTTGATACCCTTTATAGAAAGGCGGGATACGCAAATAAAAGTACGTTTGCACTCGATTTTTCGTATTAGGATGGTTCTCAGAACGCCATACCCACCTGGCGATTGCCTCCTAACGCCATCCATGCAATTGTGAATCGTTCAGTATCGCCCTTTTTTTGGTGTTGGTGGCTCTTCGACGGAAGGGTGCCCCTGCAAGTCATCAACCACCGTCCCCTCCTCATCGTCAGACGCGCCCCTTCCACGCTTGAGACCCTTCATTTTCCTTGTCTGGAGAGCACTAAAGTCCTGCTTCCCGACATGAATCTTACCAACCTTGTCACCCATGATGTCAGTGTCAATATTCTTCTTCGTCTTCGGCTCAGTGCCCTTGGGCTTCCTCAAAGCGTCCTTCATCATGTTGGGCTCGGCGAACCTCTCCCTTCCAAGACGAAAGTCTATCCTCGGCCCAGTCTCCTCGACTTCTATCCTCGGCAACTTCTGTCCACTTCGCTTTGTGAGGATTCGGTACACTCGAATGTGGATCTGCGGCGCCGGCCGGCTCGCATCCTCCTCTTCTGCAGAAACGGATATTAAGTATTGCAACCCTTCTACATCGACACCGGTGGCTTCCTGTCCCCTAAAGAAATCAAGAAGGAGAGACTTTGCGAGAGTGTATTTCGTCTCGTTTGGGTTCTCGAAAACCGCCCCATGGAATGCAATCATGGGCTTCAGTCCTTCGGCAGCTTTTTTGTTCTTAAACTGCTGCATCTCTCGGAAAGTCTCAGGGACGATATAAAGCTCCAGCATGTCAAGAATTCTGTAATCAAAAGTACGGACAAAGGTGAGGCAATGCGGACGCTTCTTCGAATGGAGGCTGAGGACGAGGATTGAGGTGTCATTCTTGTTGGCAAAAAATTCGAGTGCTACTTTCATCAGTATCCGGCAATCCTTCTCGTTGCAGCATCTTACATGAGGGATCTTCAAACGGGTGGATCTCGTTCTTCTGGGTGAACTTCATACACAATGGCTTCTTCAAGACGGCTAGGTCCTTGACGGCAAGCTTCGAAATGTTTGTTGTCTTGTTTCCAGGGACGAACAAGGTCATCTTAGGGTTTTCATGCTCCTGGGGAGCCCGTTTATCTAGGGCACGCTTGGCGCGGGCATTCTTGGGTTTTCTAAAGGAATAGTCAGTCCCTGGTCCTAGTAAAATCTAGGGGAGCATGTGACTTACGCCTGTCGCAACATTTTGGGCGGATGCTGAGTGTGAGGATGCGGCCGTGTCCGTCTCGTGCCTCACCAAATTTTGTAACTTATTTCCCCACTTAGATGGAAGGTCTAGCCGAGGGGGCCAGTTTCCGCGGCGGGGGTCTTGGCGTGTGGCCGTACTTCGGCGGGGCAAGCACGTCAGTCGCATTCTCTGCCGTCGCAACTAATCAATTTATCAGATCATCTCCGGCCCCCGTACGAAGGTGAATTGCTTTTGACCTTCAACCACCTAGGAGTACCTCTTCTGTATCATTTAAGCCTATCCCTTCCCTGACTCTCCTTCGAGAGGATCCTTCTCCTCACCCCGTACCAGAAAGGCCGCTTCCCCCTCACCCTATCGTACTTCACCCCCCTCACACGACCATGGCAACTGTCAAGGAGATCGCCGACGAGGCCGCTTTCGCCTCCACCATATCCTCCCTCCCCTCCTCCACACTCGCCGTCCTCTACTTCCATGCCCCATGGGCAGCGCCATGCAAGCAGATGTCGACTGTCCTCGCCGCCCTCGCAAGTACATACTCAGCAGATGCGCCTGTCGTCTTTCTGTCGCTCAATGCTGAAGAGCTTCCGGAAGTCTCCGAGCAGTACGACGTGACGGCGGTCCCATTCATAGTCCTCCAAAAAGATGGCAGGGGCCTAGAAACGGTGTCCGGCTCTGATGCTGCAAAGGTACGCGCGGCGGTGGAGAAATATGCAGGGCCTGGAAGCGGTAATGCGTCAAAGGCCGCTCTACCTCCCGCGCAAGCAGTTACGAGGCCACCACAGCCGGCAGCTGCGAACGGCACGAATGGAGCTCTAGATGGAGTCAGGAATCTTGCCGCTTATACGCCGACCGCCGAAGGCCCGAAGACGGCGCCAGAATATAGCTCAGGAGAAACAAAGGAAGCCCTTTTCAAGAGGATAGGAGAGCTCGTGAAGGCGGCACCAGTCATGCTGTTCATGAAGGGCACACCAAGTGCACCACAGTGTGGGTTCAGCAGGCAGACAGTCGGCATACTGCGAGAGAAGGGCATTCGTTATGGTTTCTTCAACATTCTAGCCGACGATGATGTGCGACAAGGGCTGAAAGAGTTTGCGGACTGGCCGACGTTCCCGCAGCTATGGGTCGGCGGTGAGCTGGTTGGTGGTTTGGATATCGTAGGTCCCCCTTTGCCGAGGTTAGCATGCACTTCTAACAGCGTCTGAAGGTCAGGGAAGAGTTCGAGAACGACGAAGACTTCCTAAAAGAGTACTCGGTGAGCGGTCAAAGGAACACGGGGGGTCCAGCTGCCCCATCTACTCAGGCCCAACCGACGTAAATAATAGGGGCTTCGAGACTATAGCAAACCGTCATGATTTATTCATGTATCAGTCTTTAGAATATCATTCGGCGAGAATTGCGTTGTACGGCTTGCTACATACCAATGAGTCACGACTGAGCATATTCAATTGACGTTTCTTACTCATGCGTTTGACCCGTGTTTTCCCGGTACCACTCCTATCAGCCATGGTTCACAAAGCTTTGGCATCCACGTCATTCCTGTGTTTCATCTTTCCTAGCAAGTTCCCACCCCCTGACATATATAGGAACTGTCCTCCTCAGCCCTCGATATCCTTTTACCACTCTTCGCACTTGCTTCAAAAATGCGGCTTCCCCAGAAGCCGTTCGGTTTCGGAGGACAGCGAAACCCAGTCTTGCTTTCTTCACCAGAATGGTATCTATATCTGGGATTAAGGGTTCTGGCTTCTTCATTCCGACCAACATGCTCGAGTACCCCGAGGCGAGAGCAGTGAGACAGAGAATAGGGTTTCGGTTTCTTTAGAACAAATCCACCAATTAATAGCCCCATGCCCTCCATTCAAGACCCCTGGACATCAACACGAGCGGAAGGGATCTATCAATAAACATGTGTCAACTCTTACGCTCTGTTCGAGCCGATTCTCCCCGCTCTGATGTTCCTCCTTCCAGCGTCTTAGACACAAAGACGATGAAAAAACCTTTCCAGTGGAGATTATGTTCGTTCCAAGAACCCCACGTAAAATCCTCGATCTTTGGGGAAATATACTTCGACTAACCGAGATCTGTAAAAGAATCTACCGGAGACTATATGTTTATTAGTCAGGCTGTCTTCAAATATTCAGAACTATGCCGTCATATGGTGCTCTAGTTCCTCAGCCTTCGAGGCGTAGTGTTTAATAGACCGTAGTATTGTGTTATGATATCTCCCCTAGAACAGGGTCTATGTGGCTTAACACGGTGACACGTGACCTTGTTGAAAGAAGAAAAAAATTGGTGGGGAAAAAGGAAAAAGATGTAAATAAGTACATAGTTACTAGAGCTAGGGGCTAAGGTGTACAATCTTAGGTGGACTGGAGGCGACTATATTAGAAGGAGATAGGAGTGTAGGTAAGTGTAAGGCCAGGATGGCGCTTACGTGTAAGGCCGAGATGGTGCTTACGTGCGACGGGTATATATACTATTCTGCACCCGAAAATCAACGTTGGTTGATTATTCGTACCTTTTGGTTGTATTGGCGGAGTGGTGCGGAGCCCCGTCCTTACAGTAAGAGCCTATAGGCTTTCGTTTAACTAACAGTAGGAGTAAACAAGGCATTTTAATTAAGATGAATGTTAGATAGATTGCTCTATCTAGGCTGTGTTGTAATAATTAAGAACAACTACAACTGTCGCGTATAGTAAGAGCCTTGGCTAGGGCTCGGAGCCTGGGACGCGGCTTAGGATCTAGAGATAGTATGTTCTAAAGCTTAGTGTATATAAAGAGAGCCTTTAACTTTTTTAGATAGTAGAGTTACTTTATCTAATCTTCTAAACAGCTATTGCTAAGCTATTTTACCCTCTACAGTTATAGGCCTAGGGCTTTAAGTGTAACAAGGTCGGCACGGTCAACCACGTGGCCTTCTCTCGCTTATAGAGGTTTAGGCTAGGCTAGAGACAACCGCTAGTGCTAGTGCTTACCCTAGCATTACCTATATATATATTATACTATGCGAGAATACTTAGCTTAAGTATTCTCGTGCGTACCTTTTAGTACAGTAGGGAAAGTCGTATAGTATCGGCTTGGCAGGCGGGGCGCCTATCTTATTACATTAAGAATCTAGAATGATTTTTTTATATAACTATAGTACTAGTAATTGTAACAGCACAGGCAAGACAATGGGTCCGAATGCGGTGGGAATCCACTCAGAGGCATATGGGAGTGCATGGGGACTTAGAACCTGGGAATGCTATTAACACTTATAGGCCTTGTATAAAAGGATATTAAAAAACTACTAAGCTAGCTATAAAAGCAAAGTGCAACTAAATACATAAAAGAATAGGGGTAACAGCAGAGGGCTAGGCAGAGCTAGAGCTAGGTTAAGTTAGGGTTAAGCTAGAGTTAGAGCTAATATAGAGACTCTTTAAATAGATTCTAGGCAACTTAAGATAAAATAATTTATAAGAATTATTACACTACTCCCCCTTTATAAACTAATAGTCTTTATTAGTAACATACTTTACAGGCAAGTTGCTTACACACCTAAGTTGCTTACTTTTACTAAGACTCTACTAAACTACTTTTTCTACACTAATGCATTCCTAACAACACTACTTAAATATGCTAAAAGAATATTAGATATAGCTTACACTTTAAGCTTTTAAATAAAATATAAAACTTTTAAAAAAATATACTATAACTATATATAAAGTTTTATAAAAAATAATAAATAACTATAGCACTAGATAAATTTTATAAGCTAATTCTACAGCTAAATTATAAAAGCTAGGTAATAAAAAAAATTTAGTAATTATTAAGACTATACTTAAGCTATATACGCAAGAAATTTCCTCTTAAATAGCATTTATAGCTAATATAGCTAATTCTTTACACACTAAGTATAATCTAGGCTATGTTTACATAAACTAGTCTAGTATGTTTATAAAGCATTATTTAAAGCTTAAAGTAAAGTTTTAAGTGTAAGTATAGTTAAAAAATATTTAGCTAATTATAAAGCGTATTTTACTAAAGTTATATATGTTATTATTTTAAATGCTATACTTAGCTTTAATATTCTTTATAAGGCTAAACCTACTTTAAATTACTTTAAAACTTTTATAAAAAGCTTTTTTATAGTTATACTTACACTTAAATGTTACTTTAAGCTTTAAATAATGCTTTATAAATATATAAAGCTAGTTTATGCTAACATAGCCTAGATTATACTTAGCGCGTAAAGAATTAGCTATATTAGCTATAAATACTATCTAAAAGAAAATTTCTTATATATATAGCTTAAGTATAGTCTTAATAATTACTTACTTTTTATTTTATTACCTAGCCTTTATAATTTAGCTATAGAATTAGCTTATAAAAGTTATTTAGTGCTATAGTTATTTATTATTTTTTATAAGACTTTATATATAGCTGTAGTATGTTTCTTTAAAAGTTTTATATTTTATTTAAAAGCTTAAAGTGTAAGCTGTATCTAATATTCTTTTAGCACATCTAAGTAGTATTATTAAAAATGCATTAGTATAAAAAAAGTAGTTTAGTAAGGTTTTAGTAAAAGTAAGTAACTTAAGCGTGTAAGTAACTTGCCTATAAAGTACATTAGTAACGTACTTCATGGGCGAGTCGCTCACACACCCGAGTTGCTTACTTTTGCCAAGACCCCACCCTAACAAACTCTATTATGGCCTATAACAACCTGCTCTAGCACTATATAGTATAGTACAGCCTAGAATATTATTTAGATACTACTTCTGCTTCTTGCTTACATATTTGCGCGTTATGCCTAGTCTAATTGCACTGTCTACAGCGCCTTTAGGATAGCTTACCTACTTTAGCTTACACCTACTTCTTTGCCTTTTTTTTATTACTGCGCGCTTTAAACTCTTTTAAAGCTATTAAGCGTAGGCTTTTTTAAATTATTAAGGTTCTTTTTACCTTAATTTACTTTTTTTTATATAATTTACATTACATAGCAGCCTTATTAGCTACTTAAAGCTTAGTAATTTTTTATTATACTAACACTAGCTTATGTGTAATTATTACTGCCCTCTTTAAAACCTTTTTAAACGCTTTAACTATAGAAGTTAGTAAACTATTTATATGCTTTTAAATTTTTATTTTTATAAGCATTAACTATAACCTAAGTTTTAAAGTATTACTTAGGGTTTATAACTACTAGGGCTTATTATATATAAGTAGTAGTAGTAATAGAGTGCGCAACTTTACATTAAGGCCTATTATAACTTATTATAGGTTAAAAAGAACTAATTTAGCGCCTTAAAACCTTTTTTAAATATTACTAAAAGTAATTATAGCATTATAAGCTACTTTAAAGCATAGTAAGAACTTTATTTTTATAATATAAGTAATCTAGTTATGTATAAAGTTTTTAGCTTAGCGCCTATATACTTTTTTAAAAAGAGTAAAACAACCTATATTAAGTAGCTATAAGAAGTGCAATAAGTAAAAAAGTATATAAATAGTAATAATCTTATTATTCTTATAGTATTACTAAAAATAAAGTAAGTTATAGCTTTTATAGCTGTTAATAACTAGCAGACAGTAGCTACTAACAGTACACTTCTTTATATGCGTGTTAAAGTGCTTTAACTAGTCTAAACTAAGCTAATTAGTAGTCTAGCTACACTTAGAGATTATAATAACTTAATTCTAAAGTAGATTTTTATTTTTATACTAGTTTAAAAAGTAGTTGCTACCTTAAAAAATAATAAAAAGCAGAATAGCCTACTTTTTAGCATTAATGCCTTAGATAGCTGTTGTTTACTTCTAGTTACCTAGCTAGACTGCTTTTAGCTATTCTTATCTCTCTAAACTTATAATAACTACTTTAGTAGATATTTAGCCTATTATAAACCTTATTTTATTAAAGTTGTATGTGTTATTATTTTAAATGCTATACTTAGCTTTAATATTCTTTATAAAGTTAAACTAGCTTTAAATTACTATAAGATTTTTATAAAAAGCTTTTTTATAATTATACTTATACTTAAACTTTACTTTAAGCTTTAGGTAACACTTAATAAATATATTAAGCTAGTTTATGCTAACATAGCCTATATTACACTTAGTGTGTAAAAAATTAGCTATATTAGCTATAGCTACTAGCTAGAGGGGAAATTCTTATATATTTAGCTTAAGTATATGCTAAATAATTACTTACTTTTTGTTATTATTTAGCTTTTATAAGTTAGCTATATAATTAGCTTAAAAAGGTTATCTAGTGTGTTAGTTACTTATTATCTTTTAAAGGACCCTATAAATAGCTACAGTGTGTTAGTTAAAAAGTGTTATATTTTATTTAAAAGCCTAAAGCGTAAGCTGCATCTAATGTTCCTTTAACACATTTAAGTAGTGTTATTAGAAATGCATTAGTGTAGGAAAAGTAGTGTAGTAGGGTCTTAGCAAAAGTAAGCAACTTAGGTGTGTAAGCAACTCGCCCATAAAGTACGTTAGTTATAGTATAAAGTGTTACTGTTAGGTTCTCTGCATTTTTAAACTAAAACTAGTCTAATTTAGCTAGGTGTT